CCAACTCGCCATCTGCTCGAAGCGTGTAATTCCATATTCTCCCTTCGCCTTCGGACGGAGAGGAATAGAATACTACGGCACCATAACAAGACGATACGCCGCGCAAGGAGCTCCGGCATGCGTAAGACAAATCGGACAAGCTCGACAACCTCGATGCATTCTTCCCGGCTCCGGTGACCGTTTCCGAAAGTGTATCGATAACACGTTCGATGTCGCCACCCACGAAACCATTGTTTACAAAAGCGACTGTATTACGATTCGCTTCGGTCGCAGCAGCAAGTCCGTTCTGTAGTGATCTAATAGCGCGCAAGTCTCCAATACCAAACACAGCCGGGGGCACGAACAAATTCCGCGCAAAGGTAAGGAAAGCCGCTAGAAGAACAGGAAGGATAAACGCTCTTATGATAGTCGCGAACCAATGACGGAGGACGATGATCTTGAGATTCTTGGCCGTCAAGGTGCAAGTCTGTCGCAAGAAAGCCATTATCGACAATAGCAGACAGACTCGCAATCTATCTCGTCTCGAGAGGAAGTAAAAACGTCCTATCGAAAGGCGGTCGAGTCGAATTGAAGGCCGACGTCTGCTGACAGATCCGCGTCGTAAGGAATAAATTTTATCGCGCCATGTAAGATATGCCAGGTAGTTAATGTATCGATCTCCCGCAAAAGTAAGAAGAGTCGGGAAAGTCGGGAAACAGACAAAAGATGGAAAGTGAATTGAGTATAGTTATATTTTTTGTATCGAATAATATCAACCCAAGTACTAAGCCTCCTAACCCTTACTCGAGAACACCATCAAGTACCAAACCCGCCTGAATCATGTAGCCTCGTTCAGACCAGATGTTGCACGATCTACCAGTCTACCCGGACTCACGAGCTCTCATGGGTGATGCGTCAGGTAGGTATGTAAAAAGAAATCGGCGATTGGATTGGTCCGAACGTCCCGGAACTTCCTATGTACGAAATGACGAGGACCTGGAAGCAAAGGGCCCGTATGTAAGCAGTGGCAGTGCTTCTAAGCTTCGTAGAATATTACCCACCTAGGAGGTGAAGCATGGTAAACTGACCAATGGGAGCCGTATATGTAGAAATCTAGCTGCCTACATTAGGTGGCTGCAGGCCTGCAACTTGCAACGTCGAAGATCTAACATAGGTACCTAGGTACTTATTAATGTATGCCGACGGCCGATTGAAACGGCCATGTCAAACCTTAAAAGTTTCTACATACATACATGTAGCGTAGCGTGTACTTCCAAGATCCACTACGTAATCGTAATCGAGCCATTTCCCATTTCCCATTTCCCATTTCCCATTTCCAGCATACACGAGAGGTAATACTTCCCGAGGAGTAAGAAAACTGCAGCACGATATTCCCTTTGAGCAAACACCACGTTCCCGCCAAGTCCCAATTCGCCAATTTCGATGGAGAGATATGCTGCAGATTCCCGCAACAGGCAGCAACATATGTACATGGTAAATCTGTGCATATATTATGTAGGTACATATGTATGTACCTAGGTATGCTGGTATGTAGGTACCTATGTACATACCTAATGCATCCTACCTACATGTACATCATCATGTTACACAACGCTGCAAACGAATAAACGAGCCATACAGAATTGACGCGTTAACTAATACATAACCCGTTGCATAACCCGTTGAAAAGAATGACGAAAATGCATATTTGTACTTTATATTATTGAACTTATAGAATGCCAATATCTCCCCAAGAGCATCGCCTCCTCCTGATGGAAGATACGCACCTTAAACCCCTGCTAATACGCCCTGTAATGCGGCTGCTTACTCATCCGTTATTGTCCATCCCATAAAGCTCCGGGCATGGGCTAAAAATTGTATCCACATATTATTCACTACATGTGTATACGTACCTAGGTAGGTACCTTATATTCATCCAATAGACTTAGAGCCTCAAGTTCGGTACCAAAAGAAAACCTCACCTTTCTACGATTTAATCCACAACAGCCAAGATAAGATTGGTGGAGTATATTTTGGCCCATGTCCAGAGCTCTATGGGATACATAGGTGAAGGATTGAGATCGGCGGGCTACACCGGTTGAAGGTTGGCCAGATCTGACAACAAAACCTAACCTATACCTGCACTTTACATACAACCTTACTGTATTATATTATCTGCCAAGGCAGCTAGCTAGTCGCGTAAATGTTTAAAAGCCGCATCTATGCATTCAGCTCCTGACTTAGTCGGCCATGAAACCACCAGCATAGTCGTCATCTATCATAAAGCCCCCAGCTTCGTCGCTGTCATCACTTTGCTGTGCCACGTCCTCCATGTCGGGCTCCTGTACTACCCCTTCTCCATTATCAAGGTCAGCAGTATCTTGGTTCTTAGTTTCCTCTTCAGAGTCAACACCTTCCCAGATCCGTTGCCGAACTCTAAGGCCCCTCAAAAATAATTTCCAAGTCTTGAGAGCTTCGCGGGTGCGCAATTCTTTCTCTATGTCGGCTTCCCGGTCTTGAAGACCTGTGATCACGGCTCGGACAGCCTCCTCATGTTCTGCTGCGACGACCACTCCATATAGGACCGCTGTACCTTGTCTACCCTTAAATTGAAAGCCAGTGAGGGCGGGCGCATAATCCACCCCCAGTATGAAGGCGGCTCGGGCGCCAAGCTCGTCAGCTACGTAGGCACCGCCCTCTGGAACCATGCTGGGCACGTAAATATCTAAATTTCCAAATCGGTTCTTCGGCACTTGCCCGTTGACAACCGGGGGGTGTTTAAATTGTACCGTCTGATTGATTGTGAATATTGGTGTTCCGACTGTCCCGTCGGGATCGCCATCCTCGTCGTCATCAAATGAATCTGTCTTCTGTTTTGCACGTTTAGGTAGGAATTTAGCAGGTATCTCATTCGGGAGAACCTCTCTACCCATTCGATACCACTTTTCCCTACTGCGAGCAATCTGTACATCCTTGCGCCTGTAAATCTTCTCTAGGGGGCCGTTACTACCAGCCCCTATAGTTCCTGACGCAGAAGCACCAGGCACAAGCACCTCATTCCGCCTCAAGTGTCGTTCGAGTGCATATATAGGATGGTCCTTGAAGTCAGCAATGTTACGAGGCATCGGCTCCCGTAACTCAATGGCTGTCAACTCGTTATTCTCGATCTGATCTAGGTCTGAAGTGAACCCGCGGGAGAAAGCCCTAAGAACTTTCCGCCACCACCTTTCACCAGTAGCTTCTGCGCTTTCGATTCGCATCTTTCTTGTTTTTGCATTGAAAGCCTTCGCATAGCGGCGAGTTACATCTTTTGCCGTGCCATCAGCTTCAAAGGCAATAACGTAGGTCATACAATTTTCCCTGTCAGAAGCTGGGGGCTCCATTTTCTGAGGTTTCCAGAACGAGTCTGTCACTAATGGGTCGACGGGTTGCCATTTCTGGTGGGCTTCGTCTAGAATCTCAACCCAATAGACAGGATGTCGTGATTCCCGGATCTTTTTAGGTACAGGAGGAGCTTCTCGAGATGAACTAGCAGCATGGACTGTGGGAACCTGGAAAGCCATGGCGTTCGGATGCCCTAACCGCCTGCGGATTGGGCAAACGGTCTCCTCTGGTGAATCGACCGTATTACTATTATCATTTGCAGTATTCTGTTGCATCTGTGCATATCGCGCTGCGATAGATAGCTTTCCTTCCGGTTTTGGCGGTTTCCCTAAAGGAGGGCCTCCGGAAGCGAAAGCAAGGGGTTGAAGGGAACATACAAGCCTGGCTTCAACTCCAGCGCTGCGGAGAAGTGCACAATACAATTGTGCGCCGACATCACGCGAGCCACGGAGAGATTTTGCCGCTTCTCGGAAATCGGGCTTTTCTCTAGACGATTCTACATCGTCTGGAAGCTTGTACTATGAAGATGAATTAGTCTACTCTCCATAATAAAGAAATCAAGTGGGCGTACGCCTTTAAGATGCTCTTCGTTCTCAGCCCAAAGTGCCCGCCGAAGTCCTCGCTCGGTGATCTGGAATTTTGTTTTATATATAGTTCCCACTTGTCCCAGACCATCCTTAAGGGACTGTGCCCGTCCGAATTGAGTAAGCTGGGTCCCCGGGTTGAGATATTTGACCATTTTCTTAGTCAGAAGCGTTCGCAGCGTGTCCTGAACAACGGCATCATTGCACCACCGATTTCTACGAGCAACATGGGCTAAGAGGCAGAGCAGATGCATCTTATGTATTTCAATTCGACGATCCTTTTCTGCCCTGCTGATCGGCTTTCGCCTATCAACAGTCTTCTGAGCACCCGTAGCCGCCTGCGTCGAGAAGTCAAGCACCAAATCCTTATTAGCATCTTCAGCATCCTCAGCATCCTCAGTATTATTTAAGTTCGGAGGTGCTGAGAAATCGACATCCTCAAATTGTATATCATCATCGTCTTCATCTTCTTCATCTGAATCTCTATATACCGTCTGCACAGTCGCAGCTGGTAACGACACATCCTCGAACTGTATATCCTCTTCATCGTCTGCATCCTCGATCTTCGGCGTTGTTTCCGGGGGATTCAGTTTCTTGGGTGATTCTTCATTTTTCTGGCCGGGTCGCCGCCTTTTTAAAGGCCGCTCAGGTAAGGGCGCATCAGATTGGACATCGGCTTCGACAAGCATTTGACGATAGATATCCGGAACATTGGAGCGCCTCGCACTTGACCTTGTCTGTCGGGAGGACCCAGAGGCCGTCGTGTTCGTCGCATGATTTCTAGATGCTGCACGCTTCCTTCCGGCCATTAGAATGGAACTATAAATTAAAATATATTGAGTAGGGAACTAAATCGATGTTGAACGTAAGCGTTGTGTCGGTATCGACAGATACAGCAGTTGGGAATGCATTGTGGTATTGCAAGTTAATCGCCTTACAAATGCTTTAGAAGGACGCCTAAACTTGACGTAAGTGTTCGGCATTTAGGTGCGGCCGCGAACGAGGGGCAGGAATGCGATGCGACAATCTCGAAAGCACGTGACTTTACAGTTTCGCGTTTAATGAGAGCTATAATAGGCTAGGGGGCCTCTATGGCATAGGTTAGGTAGTGGACCTTGGGCTAGGTACCTGCCTTAGGTAAATGTAACATTATTACAGGTCACATTTAGTTATTTACAGTGGATATCCTCCACAAAGTCCCGCCTCAAGTTCTGCGGGTTCTTCAGTGCTAGCTACCTGTCTTTGATTCCCAACTCTACCTAACCTAGGTACTCTTTACTGCGTCCTTTCTCGCTATGTAGTCTCGACAGACAGCACCGTTCGTCTACATCTTAACTACCAGCGGAACGACTCGTCGAAGAAGCAGAAGCTACAGCTAGTGCTTCGGCCTCGTCTTCGGCCTCGGCCATCTCCCTCGCTTCTTGAAGAAGCCTATCCCAGCATTCATTGCACATCCCCTCATTCCACTTGATGACAACTTTGTCCACCTCACCTCTAGGTCCTAAGCATCTCTTGAACAATTCAGCACATGTCTTAGGTTGCATGAATCCCCAACAAGAGCAGCCGTACCAACGTTGATATAGCTCCTTACACATCGTTCGGAAGCGATAACGGAGAAGGGATGAATTATAGATGGGAACGAATAATACTATAGCAGCTCGAGTATTATAGTTCTTCTCATGCCAAGACGGTGTAACGCCGGACGTTAAGTTCATAAGCCTCAAGCCTCAAATTAATGTTGAGTAGGACTTGGAAACTTGTATATTCGACACCTGTCTTTCGTTTCAATCTCCTCCACTGCCAATCAACAATAAGTATTGGATGATCGAGAACCCTCTTTGGCTGTCTAATAACAGCGTCGATCACTTAGAGTTGCCCGGTTGTTAACTCGCCAACATCTCAGTGTTGGCGTCGCGTACTGGCGTTCCCGTGTTTTGAAGAATCTGTTTACAGCGATGAATCCTAGTTGTCTAGTAACAACATGATCATGCTAACAGGAATAAATGGGCTTGAAACTTGGTAAGATTATGGAATGGTCCAGCAACAAATAAAAAGGAAAGCGAGTTTCCGTGGCTGCGTGGCTAAATGGAACAATGTTCATGAGACAGAGATGTTTGCGTGCCGGATCAGATCACCAGATGTATTTCTACGACATTTCTACGACACTTACATACAGCATTCAGGGTTCCGTGGCCTAAAACGGCGGTAATTGCAGCTGCAAAGAACCCCACTGTGCGCTGTGGCTTGCTGTCAGAATCCCGGGGACTATACCCAAAACTACGTTCGACCGTACGACATAGCTGCTTAATGTGGTGTTCGGGAGAACCCTTCATTATACTTAGATACAAGAGGACGCGAGGACGCGAGGCATTTTTAAGGGGATCGAGATCTCTTTCGTATGTTTTAACTTGTCACAGGCCGTCTTCGGCACAACACGGTGAAGCACCGGGAAGATCATTCACTTAAACCCTTGAACCAGTCTGCGAACTTGCGAGCCTGCGAACCTGCAAACTTAGGTATATGTATAACATCTAAGGCACTTCGAGAACGTTCCACGACTGCCTTGCTCGCATGAACGTCGGCGGATTAAATTAGCCGCATGTAACTCCCCAACATCTTTATCAGCCTCAATATCTCAATATATCTCAACCTTTATACTCCCCTACTATACTAGTAAAGGACGCCGAGAGGATACGCTGGAGAAATATTGGAGATATTTGGGTGCACTGTCGGCACCGAAACATAAGGTTTCGTCGGCACGATATCGTTTGCGAACGCTGGCGTCTTGCGCAATGGTCGAAGGCAAGTAAAGTGATTAGCAATGTTAAGCAGTTTCTCCTCGCTGAATGGAAGGCCTAATATCTCCATTCCAATGGGGACGCCGATCGGCGCATCTGGCGATGGTTGCGAGAATCCGACCGGAACGGTGACCACGGGAACGCCGGCCAGTGCGGCAAGAATACCATTACGCCCAGCCTGGGACGGCGAACCGATTTTGACTACGAGATTTCTCTGCTCCGGGTAGATGACAGCATCAAGCTTATTGCTGGCGAATGTTTTAGTAACTGCCGCTTTGAGGCGATCGATCCCTTGCTTGGCCGTTGTATATCCCGGATCAGCTGGCGACCAAACCCTAGAGTTGTTTACAAAGCTGTATTGGGCAGGAATAACCAGGAATTTTCCACTCTCATATGCCTCGTCCCAAGTAGTCAGTCTATCCCCGGTAAGGCTTGGGCTAGACAGGTAATTGTTTAGTGATTCTTTGAATTCATATTGCTGGACATCGAAATCGGCCATTGATGATGTGTTGTAGATCGGTTCTGTCACGTTGATGATTTCAACACCCTCTGATTTGAGGAAATCAATAGTGCTTTCTAGAGCGTCGATTACCGGAGTCGTCTCATCAGATACCGTGTGGTTCCAGAATCCGTTCAACAATCCAATTCGAAGTCCATTGAGTTTTCCGTTGTTTAAACCTCGTGTATAATCTATTCCCCTAGCCTCCGGTGGGACAAGGAGTGTGGCATTATCAGTTTCATCAGCACCAACGCTCGCCATTACGGTTAGTGCAACTGCAAGGTCTTGGATATTTCTTGCGATGGGCCCAATACTGTCCTGTGTGAAGCTGATAGGCATGATACCTGCTCTCGATATGAGCCCCCAAGTCGGACGCACGCTGACGAGATTATTCGCACTTGCCGGACTACGGAGGCTGTTGACAGCATCCGTACCTGTGCCAAAGACTGCGAAGCTAGTTGCAATCGCGACACCGGTGCCACCACTACTACCCCCCGGGGTCCGGGTTTGATCGTATGGGTTTATCGTCTGTCCTCCTAGCGAGGACACTGTGAGGCCCTCCAGCGCCACTATTCCAGTCTTGGTCAGTATAGCCCAAAGAGGTAAAATCATCCACTTAGAATTCGGGGGACACGTACGTTCATGCATATTCGTTTTACCTAGGATCACGGCGCCTTCCTTCTTAAGTGCCTTGACGGAAGGGGTATCGACGGTGGGGCGGTTGCCAGCTAAATCGGCACAGGATCCTGTCGTGTTCGTGCCTACGGCATCGTAATTGTCCTTCAGCAGGACGGGAACACAGAGAAGCTTGCCTGATAAGTCACCGGCGGCAAGTTTCTTATCTAACTCATCTGCTGCGACGAGGGCATCAGGGTTAAGACTAAGGATTGCGTTTACAGTCGGATTGAATCTCTCGATACGGGAGAGGAAAGAAGACACCACAGTACGGCAAGTAGTCGACTTCGTGACAAGCGCAGTACGTACGCTCTCAATGGTCGACTCTAGAGGTTCGAATGCATCGGTGTGAGCGTGGACAGTCGATGTCTGCAGGAATAATGCGCCGAGTATCCAAAATATCACAGACACTCGAGCGCGTAGCAAGCTATCAGTAACGGATATGAAGGATTTCATGTTGAGTTCTAGTGTTTAGAAAGGGCAACTTGCATATAAATATCTTTCAAATTCGGTCGATACTTTTGCTAAACCCGGGTTTATATAGGTTCGTCCCAATACATGATTAAACCCTCTAAGATAGAGAGGCTCTTCGTTTGCTAGAATCATTTAGATGGGAATTATGGGCTCTTGGGTTACACAAATAACCACAATTCCATTTCTCAACTATACTCTCACATAATACGGGTAATATTTCACTCCAGCAAATCAAAAGAGCGATATCACCTTTCAAGAGGATGTTGGTTGATAGTTGACTCTATTCTGAATCACGTTGACATTTCTAATCCACCGAAGGTGGTATATAAAGCGCAACTATGATATATTCGAATTCCTAGCAGGCTACCTAGTTCCACCAGCGGACTTATTACTACCACGAATCAAGTTAAAATTCATAGAAGCCAACGAGGAACCCTTTCAGCTTTGAGCTGGTTTTTCACCCACCTCTCACCCACCTCTCACCCACCTCTCACCCACCTCTCACCCAATACCGTGTCCACTTGCAAATATATAATAATCAGGGACACGCGCAAACGACTTCTATGTCGTGGAACAGGGGTTTCGGGAAGACAAATTACCTACTAAAGGTAACCTATCAAAGAGACAAATTGGCAGCCGATCGATACCTTTTCTCATTCTATGCGATACTACCTATCTACATTGCATATCCTTATCAAAACAAACGTTGCAATTCCCAACAACCCTTTGCATATGTAGACGGTGTACACTGAAGAAAGATCAGTCAAATAAGCTAGGTTCGCCGCGTAATCACGGTTGCTGGAAGGACCAACAGACAGGTTCCCAATGAAAATCAACAGGAAGCAAGTCTTGTGATATGACAATCCGTCTAGCAAGTACGCAGTGTGCGTGTGGCAACTGATAATATGATTTAGTAAATCCCGTTTATTGCGCGGTGCTCTTATGTATATCACATTTGACAGACACCCAAGCGGCAAGCACTTGGCATGCCACTTCATAGATACCTATCCATTAACGATAAAAGCCAAGTCCCTGTTGCAGACCCGGCATGTTGGGATAGCGTCTGATTGGCTAGCCTTGAGGCTTGCGGTGTATGTATGTACGGCCAGCAGGGTCAGTGCATGTATTACGAGAGCCGGGTCTATCTAACGCTTTGGTCAATTCGAATACCTACCGCATTCAGAAAGCTGTCGTGGGTATGTCAGTACCTGGTTGGACGATCTGACGACACCCCGGGTTTCCAGAAGCAGGGGTTAGGGAAATCGGACCATGGTCCCCCTGTATGAGCACGCGATCTACATGCGGTGTGGGAAAGGTATTCTGGAGATGATGCAGGTGATGGTTGCCAAGTATCGAGGTGCTTCGGAATTGGTCCAAGTGTCGTGATGGTAGGTTCTGTAGGTGTGCAACTACATAAGTTAGTCGATCATCACTCAAGCCTACGAGCTGTCATCACGTTTCAAAAAGCATCAGGTGAAGCAGTAAACTACTCCAATTCATCGTCCCTATGTACAAATCGTATCTCGTAAGAACAAGGGGAGAATGGCATATGTAATGTAATCTCTGTACCTCGGTAATTCCGCAAGCACCAATCCAAGATTCCACCAACTGCAGCCCCCGCGGTCTCCGTCTTTTAACGAGACGATACATGGAACTCGAGCTTACGTGGGATAGACCCATCTTTCTTCATCGAAGAAATAGTACGAGACCCTCCCCCTTGGAACCCGAAAATATCATCATCATCACCATATTAATGAGATGCGACGCCTCTTTTAGGCCTCACCCTAACGTTGCCCTCTTGGAGAGCCTTGTCTGAAATATCGGCAAGCGGATCCTTCTTGTCGAACGCGTAGCCGGCGCGTTCGTCCCGCGACATCTTCAAGATGTTGAATCGTTCGCCGCCGATCTTATACTCCTTGGAGAACTTCTTGAACTATGAGACGAGCGCGTGTTAGTTAGTAAGACTGGGTAAGGTAGTTTACATCACCGAGGGGCTCTGCAGGGTGAATTTACCTTCTTCTTCCAATCCCACCTGTCGGCCTTTGGCGTGCTAGGAATTGGCTTAATCTTGCCCGCCCTTTCTAGCGCCTTAATTTTCTCATCCGTACCGTAGCACCCGGCCAGGCTGAGATCGATGCCGGCTCTCTTCGCGTAGCCGACGACTTCCTTGCGGTACGGCAACTCGAGGTCTGGGATCTCCAAGTCTTCAACCCAGTAGAGGTAGAATGTCATGATCAGCCCTAAGTCTTTGATCTCGGAATCAGCCTTGAGCATCTTGGCCCGGTCAAGCTCGTGGAGCACCGTGAGTAGAGCACGGCCAACGAGGTTAACGGTGGTATTTATTCTTTGCACGTCGCCCGTTGCTGTTTGCGCGCGAGGTCAGTTAGTTGGTCTTAGCATGCTCGTCTAAGCTCTCTTGAACTAACCTATCCATCCGTGAAGGGGAATTTCTAAAAGCCACTGCATCATAGCAGCTACAATCGCCCACATTTGCTTCACGGCTCTCTTGCCACGCTTCTTCCGCGCAAATTCTTTATCGAAAGCAATGAGCTAACAATAGTCAGCTAGTCAGTTCTAGTAATAAGCCGAGTGTGAGAGCTGGTAGCCCCTTACCATGTTCTCGATCATTTCCTGCATGCCCTGGCCGTGGAAGTGCTTGTGGATATGCATTTTGAAAAAGTCGGGGTTGGTGTACGATGCCCGCCTTTCCCATGCGGAAAACAGTTTCCAGGTCTCCCACATGGCGATCCACCGATGGTCTGGATGCTCGGTGGCTGGCTTCATCTCGATGTTGTCTTCAGCTCGGATTTCCTGGTTGTATTCTTCAAGCAGGTCATCGTCGTCAAGCTGGTCGTCCTCATCCTTGTCCTCATTCTCATTTTGAATGTCAAAGAAAGGACGGAACATGCAATAATACTCATAAGGGGGGCGAAGGTCCGAGCTGTCTTCGGGAGTCTATTAAGAGGTTTAAGTAAAGCTACTTTCACATGGAGAGGATAAATACATACCTCATCCTCATCTTCTTCCTCGGCTTCGGAACTAACATTCACTTCATCGCTTTCCTCCATCCATTCTCCTCCTCTTGTAATTCTTGGTGGTTCGGGCCGTTCACCTGAATTCGATTTTCTCCGGGATGTGAGGAAGCCCGGGGGTGAAAATCTATATATGAGATATGCGGATACCAGAACCGGCGCGATCGACAGCACCAGCGTCCTCTTTGATGGAATCGTGCTTAGCGAAGCCATCGCGAGGGTCTTGCGTCAGTCGCAAATTTCAGTTCAGCTCAGCTCTTTTTTTCTTTTCTTTTTTTTCCAACCTTAAAACTGTTCTTATCGTGTTGTATGTATGCAAGCCTTTTCTTTCCCTTTTTCATCGGCCCACTACGAAGACGCGAATCGATCGCGGCTGATCACGTTTTTAAGGACGAAACAGTGGATGACGGCTTGGGTCTGACGCTATGGCCACGTGCGGAAATACAGCCCCTCCGGATTTCCAGACCGCCCTTTTAGGCATTAACCATTAACGCCCCCATGTCAACTAAATATATTAACGGCGCTTAAGACGATGGTATTTAAGCCTTCTATCTACAGTCCAGCGTCATCGATTTTTACTTGTAAAGAGGTCTATCTCGCTATCTACGATACTAAGAGTGTCCTTCTTATTTCCATCTCAAACTATCTGAGTAAATACTTCAAATTTTTGAAGACAAATCCTACGACCGAGCAAGGATAGGTAGTTGGGCACAACCGGAGGCGCCGGCAACGGAGCTCTCTTCGAAATTTGCCTAGTCCGCCACCCAGCCTTCGGAAAGAACTGTCCTTCCGATCCCGTGAAATGTGCCCGTCTTTCTCGTTACGAGCCATTCTACTGCGCACACTACCTCTCTCACGCGACTGTCTTTAACAAGGGAATAACCAACTAAAGACAATAAACTGGTCGTCTCTGACCTTCTTACCTTCCAGAAGTAGATAACTGAGACAGTCAATTGGCACTTTTTAATATCGATGTTACACAGATAAGACAGATGTGAGGGGTTCGCTGCCAAAATCATCGTCATGTGTGTTGATACTAGTACGATATATTTGGCCAGGTGAGCCCATCCAGTCTCAATCAAGCCCAACGGTCTCGGTGGAAGCTTTCAGAAGGACACCAGAGCGTGACTTGCAGGTATGTAAGTAGGTAATTTAAGGGCGGAAAAGTGGGTTGATGGAGCTCCAGGCGGAGCCAGGGCCATTGATATGTATATGTCCGCCTATATCCACTGACGTGACGATTGGGTTTCAACGCAAACACCAACATACCTAGGTTAGGTCAATAACCAATCTACGAATTAACTACGGTTAGATTCATACGCTTCTCATAGTATTTAGTTTAATCATCAATTCCAATATAATATTTGTAAATAACGTTGGATAGCAAGGGGTAAAATAAACTATTGAGTCTTAACAAAAGTGCATTTTAAATGTTTCATGCTTGCTTAAGCGTGGTCTGTAAGAACCCGTAAACTAAACTTAGCGCCGGCTATCTCTTAGCGGACGGGAGGCAACATGGTACTATAAAATTGTTATTGGCGTAAAGTGACTAACCTAGTCTTCTTAATGGATTAAAAGAATCAGAAATTGATTTCCTTATTACGAGGTAACTACCTAGGTTACTTGTTCAGAATTCATTTATGCTAGGCAGGTATATATATTTATATTTAACTAAGATCCCTTAGCAGATGTCTTAAACTCTGCCAATAGCTCATAGTAAAATGAGTCTTATACTCTTATATCTCAGTTAAGCCAGCCATATTAAGCAGATCGCAATTGAGCCTTTGTCTTAGACTACCTAACAGATCCAAAAATTAAGTAGCTGAGCCAAGTCAGCCTTGTTATATTATTAGATCACCGCGATATAGGAAAAAGAGCTTTTAATTATATCAACAATTTAGCCTTAGATGGATCCATATTTCTTCGTGCATTAATAGAGTTAATATGGTCCTATTTCTTATCCCCGCCTTTACAAATTTCAGATAACGACCTACATTAGTCAACAACGAGCTATTAGGTATCATCCCGCTATTTATTTGGCTTGTTTAGATACTTACAGGTAGTTACCTTATTTTACTTTGATGAAATTAGTTACCTGTTAACCCTAATTGAACTTAGCTTGTCTTGAGAGACAATCTGCTTTTCTGTAAATTATTTGTTAGGCTAGATTATGATAACGATTGCTATTTACATTTTACGTAGCTTAATTCTCTAACACCCAGCCTATAATGCTTTTGACATCAGAAAAGTTCAAACTGAAGGGCCTCTTATAGTGATCATCACAAGGTGGAACCTAAAGGCATGGGAAAAGCCTCGTTGCTCTATAAGGAACTCTAAACCTAAGGAAACTATGAAAACCTGCAGATAAGGTACACATTGAAAGTACCCTGTGGCCTGGATATCTCATCAAGGATCCTAATAGTGATGATTATTTTTAGATTGAGGAGTGTAGAGAATATTGAACACTAGAGAAGCCCTGGACTACGCTTGTCTTATGTTACTAGTTCAAGACATCAAAAGACTTAGCTACCTATATATTGTCTAAACATCCTAAAGTTACAGTTGCAGTAGCTATGTTAAGAAAGACATAATACTCCAATAAGCATAAGGCTTATACTAATAATTCAGTATCTTCGGTAATTACTAAGCATTAAACATCGGAAAAGTGTAGTGAAATGACAAGGGTTGCCGTTTAGTTCCCATGGTTACTAAGTCAATTGTAACGTAAATTAAGACTCAACAAAATCTTGAGATACATTATTTGGTGATCTCATTTGAGTTATTATTCTATGTTATTTTTCGCTTAGTTATAGGCCTTTTAAAGTCTACAAGCAGTGGCACAGTTTGGCAATAATAAAACTGTCTAACTTTTTCCAGTGAGTTAACACCAGACTACACGAAATAGCAAGTATAACGAATGAGGGAGGTACGTTAATAGAATCTTCAATATGTCTGTCCTGCGAACTCAAAGCCAATCATGGGAGCCTACGAGTATGCATACTGACAATATACTTTGTTCTAGACGTCTCATCTAGGATCCTGGCAATGTCCTTAGTCGAGACAGGCCATCATTATCAACCTACCTCTTAACCGATTACAACGCTTACTGCCCGCTCACTTATACACTCTCTCATATATGTGAGCTCTGAAATGACGCAACAAACTCAATCATATATTAGTCAGGCTATTGAAGCTATCTAATCAACTTAGACATGACTCTAATTGGAGGGATGAGATATAATTTGTAATGCAATATATACAAATACCTCGCCCAATACTTCCCCCTCTTTGAGATCATAGCTGGCATATCCGGGTCTGCCGTTGCGTAAGAGTTTAAGTAGATAATTTATCCGAGCCGAACATCGTCTGACTACAGCCCGGAACCAAGAAACTTGTTGAGGGTGACATAGGGTCCGAGGTGGGATGCAGCATCCAGTGGTCCCCAAGACGTAGCTTACAGGCAATCACCCACAGGAGTTGCACATGCAGGACGGGATTATGCCATCCATTACTCAGTACGTCATGCTCTATGTATGTTGCACCCACGTGGCGAAGCAGGCATTTTGTCGTCGGTTGGTCAACGAGGATCTACTATGCTCGAGGTACTGTACATATACCGGCCTCTTGGAGGATTGGTTCATCCTAGGGCCCACGTGACAGGAAACTGCACGCTTAAAGGAGCTTGGCGACTATGCAGTTGAAATTAGACGTTGGGCATGCTCGCAGGATTCTAAGACGAACATGTATTGGGCCAGAGCTATTCTGCCTATATAGACATGGCAGCCATGTAGGTAGTTATAGCGGGCTTTTTAGGAACTGGGAGTATACTAAGAGTATTTATAGGTAGTAATATACTGCAATACCTGGTCTACGTTACATTTGACTAGGCGAAGAAGACGATCTAATCGAGCAACTGGAGACGGGATTGGAAGACCCACGCCATATGCTAGATCAATTCAAGTCATATCGTTCAAGCTTCGACTAATGGGAGAGAATACAATTATGTTGCTGTTCTATACGATCCTATTGATCACTCAGCTTACAAGACTCTTACGTATGGCTTGAGGAATAAATGTATTGTATATCTTGTAGACTGGGTAAGAGTATGTAACACCGACATTGAGGAATATAATAACTCACACGTAAGGTACATGTATCTACCTTCTAACGACTACGAGGGGAAGTTCTGCTTCATAACCCGATAATGTAACATATAAGTCAAAGCACCCTTACGGGGGCCACCCTAGTAAGGGCCACCTCAAATTTTTAAACTTTCAAAATAAGCATTTTAATTTTAATTTAACGTTATTTAATTAAATTAAATTTAATTAATTTATAATCTGTTATATTTTAATAACAATATAGTTCTTTACTATCGATTTAATTAATAAAGTTTTATTTTTTAAATTAATATTAAAATTATTGATTATAATTATATTATTTAATTTTTAAGTTTTTAATTGCTTTTTTTTATAATAGCCTTAATATTTATAAACGTTAAATTTGGATTAAGTAATATTTTGCGCCGTTTTTACGGTTTTATATTTATTAATACCTTTTTTAAATATTTAACGTAGATTTTTATTATAATTAATTTTATAATAATTTTATTAAAGGTTTTGTTAATTTTATTAAATAAAAGCTTTATTACAGGTTTAGTAAATATTATATTAATTTTAAATAGTTTTTTAATTAAAATATTAATATTTTATGAATTTAAAAGCATTATTAAAAGGATTAAGGTTATATTTTCGATAAAATTAAACTTTTTTAAGTTAAAAATAAAGCTTAAAAAAGTCGGGGTAATATCGGAAGCCTCTTGGAATATAAGTTAATAATTTAACAGCTTATTCCAATTTTTAAAATAAATTCTTATAGCTTTTTAACCAATTAATATATTATATTTAATTAAATGTTTTTTTTATATTATTTAATAAATTATAATAAATTTTCTTTTATTAAAATTAAAAATATAATATAATTAATATATTTTAATAAATTTATAATAATAATTTTATTTTATTAATAAAAATATATTTACGTTAATAATTTATAAAACGTATAATAAATATACCGGAATAAAAATAACATAAATTTTATTTATAAAATATTTTTAAAAGAATTTTATTATGGTATAATTATTATAATTATTAAAGATTAATAATTGTTATTATTAACGATTTAATGGTTTTATTTTTTTAAAAAAAACTTTATAAAATTATTTAAATGTAATATTAAACTGGTGTAATGCCACATCGCCAAGAGCAAGGGTATTATTATGTAATCTTAGGTTATAAACCATATAAAGGTTTAATATTTGTCATATTCTTCTGATTAAATAACCACAATCATCATTATTCAATTATGTATTTAATATAAACACATTTGTTATTTTCTTATATTTATAGTTTATGGCTTTATCTTGCGTATTTATCTTATATATCTTATCCGATCAATAAATCCTTACAATTCTTTTAAAGTATAGTGTTATTATTAACTGTTTAAAGCCTTTTACGAGGATTTAAATGTTGAAGTGATATGCTATACTTTGTAAGAGATATTAACTCTTGTTCAATATTATTATTAATTTAATTATTAAAAAATATAATAAATTTTTAATTTTTAAATTTAACGTTTTTATTATTAAGAAATTATTATTATTATATATATTTACTTATATATATAATAAAGAGATTTAAAGATTAATTATTATTATTAATACATTTAATAATTAACGTTTAAGTTTTATTATTACAATCTTTAACTATAATATATTTGTTGGTAGGTACGTACGTAAATAAGAATAACAATAATAACGATAAAGTAAATAGCAAGTAAATCAATGGTGTTAAGACTGGTGTATTAAGATGTTTAAAAAAGGAAGAATTTATTTAAAGCTAATTAAGTATATCGTATTCTTATACTCCAATAATAGTGGATACCCGACCCCTTTATCCAGTAAAGTCGGGTATCTTGTTTCTTCCTTCTTTATCGGCGATAAAAGCACCTTATTATTAATAAGGTGCTTTTATATTAATGTCACATAATCATTAATATTTTTTATAAATTTTACTAATAATTATTTTGTTATTTTTAACCTTTTTTATAATCTTTATTTTATTAACGTTATACATATGTTTAATCGGGATATTTTTAATTTTAAAGGTTTCGAATTAATTAAAAAAAATTAATATTATTAATTATAATTTTATTAATTTATTTATAATTAATTAAATAAACTTTAATTAATTTAATATTAAAATAATGAAATAAAAATTATATATATTAATATTTACCGAAGATATTAAATTAATAATTATAAATTAATATAAAAAAACGTATAGCTAATATAGTTTAACGTAACGGCTTAATCGGTTAATTTTTTTTTTAATATTTTAATAGTTTTTAACATTTTTTTAAATAGTTATTTTGTGTTTTACGGCTTAATATTCGGTTTGTAAAGTAATATTGTAATATAAGGTATTTTTTAAACGCTTATCGTAAAAATATATTATTAAAAACGTCGTTTATTACCATAACGCAACGCAATTAAATTAAGAAAGTAAGCATTTTAAAATTGTAAGAAAATAAGGATTTAAATAATAAATTTTATTTTTTAATTAATTAAAAACTAATAAAATTATATAATAATTTGTATATAGATCTTATTGCAAACGTGTTGCGTTTTTGAGGTGGCCCCCACTAGGGTGGCCCCCGTAAGGGTGCTTTGACTTACGTGGGGATATGTAAAGCCGTGTCTTACAATATACTCCCACACCTTCCAAGCAGTACCCCTTTAGAAAGTGGCTGGGCACTTTTGCTTTTTATTGTTGGAACCAATCTGTCGGAAACTGGGTTATGCATAAGAGGTATATATACTATGGGGTACATCTAACTGCTGTCCCCGGTTTCGGGGTGTTGGGGCGTTCTAGATGCAAAGCGAGGGTTCCTATCAGATTCGAAGCTTGCCATTCGTACTTCTCACGCGGATCGAGTCTTGACACAGCAAGACAAAATGGTACCTAATTTTAAACGTCCTCGGATATCATCACGCGATCAGCGCAAGGGGATAAGAGAAGATGTTTTCGTATATTTTCCTTCCTGGTCTGGCTACTAAATCGTGCGCTTTTGGATGCGTATTAAGACGACGCGTACTTCGTACGACTATCTAACCAATTGGCGTGCGAGGCTAGTGATAAATATATTAAAGGCAGGCTACGATAGACTCATGATATGATTCTCGATAGCTAGCTCTCACGGGTCTCGGCACTGCAATGGACGGGTATGATATAAGAGGTAGAATATAGTCAACCCTCGTAAAGACCTGTCACTATTCCAGCGTGAGCTCCATCGGCCTAGTCAGGGGAAATCATTTTTACGTAGTGGGCTGTAATAATGTATCCGTCTTATGCAGTTGAAGCCAAGCTCAAAGTGGAATGTGTTCTTCGACTTGCCTCTACGAGATGCAACTCTGGCTGTTCTATATTAGCCAATATCACAAGGTCCGTGCTCACTACTTCACAAGAATGACACTCTGCAGAAAAAAGAGGAAGGGAAAGACGATTCTCTGACATTACTACTCTGCCACTTAAAGTTGGCAACTTCTTGGAGCCCGTTTACGGCTAGGTTGGGAAATGTTCGTCCTACAAGTCACCATTCTCATACGGCGCGTACATAGTACATAGTGCATAATAGGTACATATGTACCTAGGTATGTATGTAGACCAGGTCGTGTTACGGATGGGTGATGCAGGTTGCAGGAGGGGGATAACCTGGTAGCGAGGATTAAGACGATTCCTTCAACCTCATCAGCCGCCGAAAATAAGTTTTACGTCCGAGCACATGACTGGACAACTAGACAGCGTGAGGCAGCCAACCATCTGTTGGAGTTGAGTAGATCGTTATAGGAGATGGGATGGGCCTGTGTAATATGTATGATGTATGATGTATGATGTATGAATTGAGGAGATAAGTCTAAAGACTGAAGACGAGTTACGAGTTGATATGGCCCCGCATTGGGGAATAAGCAGAAGAGAAGAATAAAATTCAATGCTAAGGAGAGGGGCAAGACGGCATGATGGGTACCTAGGTAACAACCTTGGTGGAGTTCCCCACCCCCACAATACAAGGGTTATAGCAGTCAATACCTGCATGTAGGTTAGGTACACTACATAGTAGATGACGGAAGTCGCTAGCATTATTCTTTAAATCTTAATTGTATACACTTAAGTCTATACGAGGTAGGTACGGTATGTAAGAATAGCAGTTGCAATACAGTATTATACGTATTTGGGTTTCGTCTTGTAAGTTGTATAGAAGGTGCGGCGTTTAAATGTATGTTATTACTAAGCAGATATACTAGGTTAACCTAGTTAGTTACCTAAACTTTAAAGTACTAGGTTAGGTTACCTGAATGGCCCCCAAACTAAACCCCCAACTCTTAACTCTCAACGTGCTTGGGTCTTCCGCGCCAATGCACATCATTCAACACCAAACGCCAACCAAGACGCAGGGTTCCTAGCATCGAGAGGCTTGTTCACCTCAATACCTAGGAACATAGTCTACTATCATTATGACGACAATGATAAAAAATGATTGTAATGCTGTGATACTTTGACCGACCCCAAATATGTCACCTTCCTTCACTCCTTGGATAGGCGACATGATGCCGATCCCCTTCCTATTCACTTGCCGAGTAGTAAAAAATGGCTGGTTTCGCTACCGATACACTTTGGCCTAGCGTTACGGTGCCTTAGAAGAAAGCCAAGCAAGCCGCCAATGAAGACTGTTGTTTGAGCCCAAGACATCACTCACCCGTCGCAACCTTGGAGGCCCTTCTCAAACCTGGATAGCGATGTGTTTCCCTCATTCAACAAGTTTCTTTATGGATAGATTACTACTACGGTACGACCTCCTAGCTCTTGGCCCAATAAACCATCCACCGGCTCGCCACACTATTGCCTACTTTCTTCTCCGTACTGGTTCCAGTTGTTCCGGAGATGACTGTATCAAGTTTCGGTCTAAAATCCCTCTGCTGTCAGTTGGAGGGAATCGGAGGCTCATCTCTGTTCATGCCCGATATATCGGCTTGTAATTGGTAATCGGCACGAGGAATTCGAGCTACAGTGCAGTATTCACCGCTATTATGACTATTACGAGTTGATTAGCAACAACAACAACTTAATGACCGATGAAGCTGCATAGAGGTCATTCGCAACTTTTGACAGTTTTTCGATGAGAGTGACACTGCAGCCGCCCGGCTGCCAATCCCAAAAGCCACAATCACACCGTCCATCCCGGAAGAACGAGTAGACTACTTCCACGGGTCGTACGTAACTTGCATTCGCGCCTCGCATGCCCCTTTGCCACATTGCCCTCAGCCGCCTGATGAGACGTTTATCTGTTAGCCGTCTTTCGTCATAAACGATGGTCCATATCCCTCATCACATGGTTGTTCTTGGCCTTAGCCCGTCTTCGGACTCGTGACAACACGGCCATCTTTCCGCGTCGGCTCCTTCTACTCCTCCTTGGGAAAACCTGACGTTGTTGAGTTTGACCAGCACCCAACCGGGTGCCGCTAGCCCCTGCTTGACCAAGATGTCACCAGGCTCTGGATGACGACGATGCCGAAGCTGATGGTATTTCTGTGCAATCACCGAGACAGATGTACCTCCACGAATATGGCAAATAGATCTGCCCTTTGACGGCTTTTGGTGACTAAACCCGCGGTCTTCTTCCGTTCAATTCCCTAGTCTATGCCCAGGCTTCCTACTGACATGTTTAGGTTCTACATGGCTTTCTCTATTGGTGCCAGTCTGCTAGCTGACCCTAGCTCCAAAATGGATGTGTCCCTCTCTATTGGCCAATCCCAAAGGCCGAATCGGCTGGGCTCTATAGGAGCCGTATCACCAATATCATCGTCAGCCAGTTGACCACTCACGGCCTCTATATTTGAACGCAGTATTTTTTGGGGGATCACCAATATACAGTACCGACCTCAAGCTTACCCCCCACACACACATTCAAATCCACAACTCGGTCTGTGTACCTGACGAGTACACTCCGATACGACGTGCAAGTCACCATGAGGTATGTACATACAGCTCTAGGCTCTCTACATGGCTATAATATTGTTCAATGTATAACAAATCTTTTAGTCACTATACGTCTAACATCCGTGTTAGCTTTCGCGCGCGATAACGAAACATTTTGAAGACCCTTGCATTCGCAGCTCTCGATATGCTGGCGGTGCAGATCTTCCCCTGCACTGTCCACGGCTTTCCAGCTGCCATGCTTTGAGACGTTTGGTCTGAAGTATTCCCTTGAACACCACTGGTAGGGAACATCCGTGCGAGAAACGCGAGAGGACATGCACTTCAGACTTCTATGACAGTATGCATTTTCCCGTTTGTGTTATAGAAATGGAATGTTGTCTATGCGCCTGTCTCCTCTTCTCCTATTCGAGCTGCTTTCTTCTATTCCACCAACCAGTCCTATTATTAAGACATAGCTATATCCCACTTTAACCTATATATACCACGTTATTCCCCGTTATTTTATCTTACAGGACTTCCAGCCCAATATTAATAACCACATTATTACAAGAATATATTCTGGTAGCCATATCATTGTCACTATAGTGTCCCTTATCATTAGTTATGTCACCCCATCTTGACGCACCATCTCCCAGTGGAAGCTTCACGATTAGCTTCGACGGAATCCCCTTTCGACCCACTACCTCTTCTGATGCAGTGAAAGGCTCTCCAGCACCTGCCGAGTCACACTCCTCGTTTAGTAGCTTCTTCGAAAGCGAGTTGGTAGAAGAAGATTTCCATATAACACGGCCACTGGTACCAGGCGTCTATGTGCCAACCCTTTGTTTCTTCGACCCGGAGACCGAGGATGTAGACACCAATACTATCGCTCGCCATGCCGTACGACTTGCCGAAGCTGGCGTGGCGGGCCTTGCCACTCAAGGTTCTAATGGTGAAGCTGTTCACCTCACACATGCTGAGCGTCAGCTAGTCACTCTTGCTACACGCAAAGCATTAAACGATTCTGGATTCTCGCACATTCCAGTTATCGTCGGTTGCGGCGCTCAGAGCACTCGTGAGACTATTCAGTACTGCCGCGAAGCATGGGAAGCAGGGGGTGATTACGCCCTAGTGTTACCCCCATCGTACTACGCGCCCTTGTTTGCTCCATCATCTAAGACTATCGAGCAGTACTTTACAACTGTTGCCGACGCGTCCCCGATACCCCTCATCATATACAACTTCCCAGGCGCTGTAAATGGTTTGGACTTATCATCCGACGTAATCATTAAGCTAGCACAGCATCCCAAGATTGTCGGTGTCAAGCTGACGTGCGGCAATACGGGCAAGTTGAACCGCGTAGTAGCTGCCACGCGGTCGCAATCTGAGATCTGCGACCCGGACAACCCCGAGTTCCTAGTCCTGGCAGGCTCAGCCGACTTCTCGATCCAGTCCTTAATCGCAGGGGGACATGGGATACTAGCAGGTCTCGCAAACATGGCACCAAAGGCCTGTATTAAGACTATCGAGTTATATCAAGCAGGCAAATACTCCGAGGCCCAGAAAATTCAAGAGATAGTATCACGGGGCGATTGGACGGCCATCCAAGGCGGCGTCTTGAGTGTTAAGGCGGGACTCCAGGCGTGGTCAGGTTACGGCGGTTTCGCACGAAGCCCACTCCCGAAACCGACCTCGGAACAAACCAAATCGTGGAAAGAGGGATTCAAGGAACTAATGCTACTGGAGAAATCCATGACGGGTTGCTAACATCCAAGGTTACAGCTACTAGGATCGTAGTTCGCTCATAATAAAGGGGTACTCTGTTTGACCAAAAGTATTCGAGGATTGCACAACTATGGGTGTATGTCAAAAGAAATTAAAATAAAAACTAAAAGAGTAAAGGAATTCCTCTTTTCGGTTCATGGTTTGAATGAGTCGTTCAAAAAGAATAGTCATGACTTATTACTAGGTAGTCTTGCCTGATTTCTTTTTTAATTCAGGATGAGTTACCGTACGGTCGTCTCACCTCTCTTTGCTTTGAATTGGCGAAACCAATATATGACCCAAAAGTCACTACTACAATTGCTTGTGGTACACCTCTCTCCTTGATAGAAAGGGGCACAATGTTACAACTGTCGTATATATATTTAGAAGATATCAATACATCCTATGTACATGTGAAAATGAAATCTAAAAATATATAACATTCTTAGTCAAATCAGACAATTTTGATTCATTTCTAGTTCTCTCATTTCGGTAGTCGTCGTACTCTAGGTGAGGAACGAAGTCCCAATATCTCAATAGCTTGTTTTTTATCAAGGCGTTTTTAGAAAACTCCCTAGTAGCGATACGCTATTGATCGAGATGGCGAGTTAGCATGCTTTGATGCCGTATTCCTAACGAGGCCAAGAAGGGCGGACGATCTGAGACATACAGGTTCTGCAACAAAAAGCGATTGCAATATTGGCCTGCCCCTACAATAATCGTATGACCGGTGCTATTTTGGTTCTACTCGACCACGGGGAAGACTTATACCAAGGACGCTGTCTATCGGCGTTAATGCACGAATCCACTCCAAGGGGAACTCTCAGGACCTGCACTCGGCCGAATAAGGAGGTTACCGTAAGTTACCCGATCTGGCTGGCTGGCTGGCTGGCTGGCTGGCTGTCGAGCGTAGGTCAGAAAGATGCATACTCGACTTGCATGAAGAAACTACTGCGCCGTACCGTACCGTATCGTACCGTACCATGCTATGCTATGCTATGTTCTGCCAAGGCAGCTAGGTAGGTAGGTATACATGCCTAACCCCGACCCCGACTCGCACAAACTTCTCACGCCGACAGGTACATGGGATCGCAGGCCTACAGTAAGGGTCCCCATGCTGTGTGTGTATGTGTGTGTGTGTGTGTGTGTGTATGCGTGTGCGTGTGCGCTGCAAGCCACACGGCAGCGACCTGCGAGTCCCATCACCGCCGGCCTGCTCTCATGCTACCCCCGGATATTGGATCTAGATGGGTCCGTCGCCGATAGGTTGGCTGCTGCAGTCTATGAGGACATATTTACGTACGTACCCCCGCCCATCCCATCCCATCCCATGCTGCAGTAGCGTGCCGAGATGGCAGTTCTCTCTCGTCGTTTTCTGCGGAGAGGGTTGGTTGATACAGGCGGGCAGCGGGCGGCTAGAAGGTATGATGGAGACGGCGGCAGTGATGGGGTTCTTCACGGCTGGGCTGGTCCAATGGAGCGGAGCGGAGCGTCTGGCTGAGGGTCCTTGTGCGCGACTTCGGACTTCGCGGGTTGTGTAGGTAGGTAGGTAGGTATCTCCGGATTCGAGGCAAGGTTTATCGATGGCTGGGGGGATGAGAACGAGTCTGCTGCTGCTGCTGTGCTAGGGCACTCCGGTATGTCACCTATACACGATGGCGGGTCGCGGCAGGGTGACATGTCGTCTCGCCTCTAGATCCCTTGGCTTGAGGAGCGTGGGGGAGACGACGAAGAGCGTATTGGACCAGATGTAGACGCGGTAGGTAGGTAGGTAGGTACAGGTATGTATCTTGTGTATCCCTTCCCCCTTTCCTTTTTCTTAGTCTCGATGAAACTGGGGGTTAACCGTCCATCTCTATTCGCTCAACGTATAATGTGTTTATCGAGCCCGCCTCGGCTATTTATAGGGGCTTACATGAGAATGCGTGGCGTGCTCTCCGGCGTCGGCCTCGAAGAAATAAACGGTAGTGTACATGATGCTGTCGTTGGCTTACCTATTTGCTAATGTAGATTCCTCGGCTTTTGATAAGCTACTACTACTACTACTACTACTACTACTACTACTACTACTACTACTACTCGACGTGAATAGGGGCAAGTATCAGACAAGAACCTACAACACCTACATGTGTTCCCCGTGGCTAAGTTATCGTATCCCTGAACCTAACGTCTGGGATAATACATCTCAAAAGCTGCCCTTGCAATAAATAGGTCCAAGGTACCTGTTTTTATAACTCCACGTATTTAGTAGGCCAAGTATTTATTTGTTTACTTCACCTCTAGAGTCTAGATTACAACATCACCATAAAAGCAGCCGTCATACCAGCAACAAGCACGCCAGACCACAGCGCACTCTTCTTCCCAGCGGCTCCCGAGTTACCAGCTCCTCCAGAGCCACTGCTACTCCCATCCCCATCCCCATCCCCGTCCCCGTCCACAACCTCAAGCAACACTCCCTCCGCCCTGTTAATCTTAACCTCCAGCACCCCATCCTCCCCAACCCCAACAACCTCCTCCTCCTCCTCACCCACCGCATCCCCCGTCTCCCCATCAAACGTAACCCCCGACACCGCAACGCCGCTCTTAGCATTCGTCCCCGGGCCCGTCAGCCTCGTAACACTGACATTGCGTCCGGCCGCCCACGGCGTCGACAGCCTGATGGTGCTAGACGGCCGCGTGCCGTTGCTGAAGGACGTGCCGTCCGTCGCCTTCAGCGTAGAGTTATTACTCAGACCCTGCGTGCCGTTCCACACGCCCATATCCAAAAACACGAGTTTCCTCAAGGAGCGCTCTCCCTCGTCCTCGTCCTCGTCATTGTCCTCGTCGCCCGCATACACCGCATACCCGCTCAACGTACTGCTATTAGCCCCCGGCAGCGCCGCAATCCTCAACTCGTCGCCGTCGCCGTCGCCATCGTCTCCCTTCGCAGCAACCACCTTGGCCACGAAATAATGCCCGTACCAATTCGCGCGTATGCCGGCTCCCAGGGTCTCGTTCTTCAGCCCGTACGGCTTCGGCGTGAACGCGCTGTACTCGCTCTGCGCGCCGAGGTGGAAGTACGTCTTGCGGATGCCGATGGACGCGCCTAGCAGCACGTAGTCGACGCCCCAGAGGGCCGCGCCCAGGGTGTCGCTGATGCCGCTCTTGCCGCTGCACGAGACCGAGTTGGTCTCGCCCATTACCAGGGGGGCGCCGGCTTTGTCGGCGGCGGCGACTTGGGGGGCGTATTGGGAAACGTTCTGGGGAATGTTAGCCGTGTTTGTTTGAATCTCTTGTGATATTTATATAGGGGACGTGATGTCTATAGCGCCCTAGTAAAAAGGGGGTGGTCGATCACTAACTGCCACGCGGTTAGTATTCTTTACCAGAACAGATTATCGAACAAGACCAAACTCACCCTGCCAAAGCACCGTGTGGTTCGACAGCAGATCCAGCCTCATGCGCAGCCACCTCGGCCCATCGCACGTCGACTGCGGGTACAAATGCGTAGCATAGCTGCCGATAATATCGCGGTCCTCGGCCCTCTCGACGAGCGTCAGATTCTCGATGCTAAAATCGTCGACCTCGTCCTGCTGGTCCGGCACCCACGGCGGGTCGGCAAACACGCCCGCCTGGAAGGTCGGCTTGTCGTCCGCCGCCGCCTTGTACCACTCCGAGGTGACGATCTGGCCCGTTATGTTGCGGAACTGCTCGATGTACGTGTTGACGTTCCAGGTCTGGTCCCGCCACCGCTTGTTGATGAAGTGGTCGATCTCGTTGCCGAGCTCGAACTGCACGAGCTTCTTGCCGAGGGACTTGTGCGCTGCTTCGGCTTGCGCGACGGCGATGGACCATGCCGAGTCGTTGACGGCGAGGTTGAGCGTGTAGATGATATCGGTGTCTTCCGGGAAGTAGTCTGCCCAGCTGTCGTACCAGCTCGGCGTGATGTTGAACTGCTTCGCGGTGAGGGGGGTCGGGATAGCGAACGAGTCGTTCCCGGTCGACAGTGTGTCGTGTAGATAAGTCTGATCGGCCGTGTTGCCGCCAACACGAATCGGTGGCGGCTTGCCGGTTACCTTTGCGATAGCGCTTAGGAGGTTCTTAGCTAGGGGCGTGCTAACGTAGTCGGTAACCCATACAGGTTCGATCGAGTAGCCGTAGACATCAGATACAAGTGGTCGCGTGGCAAGGTTGCGTGGGATATCGACGTTGATATCTTGAGCCACGACCTCGACAGTGGCTGCAAGAGCTGCAAGAGCTGCGAGGGCAACTGAGCGAATACTCATCATGGGCGAATAGTTTACTGTACGAAGGTAGCAGTAATAGCTCTACTCATCCCAAATATAAAATCAGGTCGACTCGCGGCAACACCGCCGTTATAAATAATAGTGCCAATAACCATCTAGACGTCACCTCGATCGGTTTGCGCGCCATTCCCCAACATTGTGGATTCCTCGAACCAGGTACGAGGTAGCATTTCCAAGTCCCAAGACTGGGGCCGGCCGGCTGGATTGGGAATAGCACCTTTGAAAATCCGGGGAAATTCGAGCCGAAGACGCAGGTGGAAATTGTCCACCTGTTGGAACCCATTGCGGTGAACGTATGGCTGGGTAGTTGAGGGTAAGATAGGTAGGTAATTAATATTATAAGTGGTTGGGTTATTCGACCCCAATTATAACATACAATTATAACATACAATTATAATATAACTACAATTATAACAATGTATTATAACATAGTATTACAACATAATATAATGCGGGGAAGCACGGAGTAGCTCTTTTGTATTCAAGTAGCATCGTATACCTGGTATATAGGTTAGGTACTCAGGCATTTCGTATCTATTCATATCTACACTTTCTCCCCTGTTTACGGCGAAGAATACTTATACCCATACTTCTCCTTCGCCTCGTTCAAAAACTTCAACGACTCCTCATGCTCCCTCTTAGCCTCGGGATCCTCCTCCCTCTTCTTCTTCACATCCTCATTAGTAATAGGCAACTTGCTCGGGATCGCGTACCCCTTTTGAACCGCAGGCCGCGCCATGCACCTATCGATCCACTTCTCGATGTTGGGGAACAGGGTGACGTCGATCCCCGTGAAGAGCGCGCCGTTGACCCAGCCCAGCAGGTTGATGTCGGCAATGCTGAATTTGCCCTTGCCTGCACCCACGATGAAGTCCCGCCCCTCGAGACGCTTGTCTAGGACGCCGTAGAGACGCTCGGTTTCGCCGACGTAGCGCTGGATCGCGTAGGGGATCTTCTCTTTGGCGAAGCGGAAGAAGTGGTTTGCTTGGCCTTGCATAGGGCCGACTCCGCCGCTGTTGTGTAGGTAAGTAACCGTGTTAGCCAAGTTTACCAGGTTAAGTATTTAAGTGAATATCATAAACTTCATATCCAAGTCAGGTAAGTAATTAAACCAGATACATACTGCTGCCAAGCCATCCACTGCTCACAGACGCTGTAATCGTCGCTGTCGACTGGGAAGCTAAACTTATGCTCTGGGTCGTAATGGCGCGTTAGGTAGCTCAGGATGGCGAGACCCTCAAACACGGCAAAGCCGTCCCGGTCATGGTCGACGATAGCCGGGATTTTGCCATTGGGGTTTATCGCGGTAAACCACGGCTGCTTTTGCGTGTTCTTTAGGATATTGACAGATTGCCATGTATACTCCTTGCCATACGCTTCTTTTAGCTCTTCTAATAGGATGCTGATTTTTAAGCCGTTGGGCGTGGCTATAATAAAGTATTAATACGACATATACTGGTATTTAGGTATCTTTCAAAATTCAAAAGGAGAACACACTAAAGGTCAAAAGCTCAATGCCGCTCTTGGCGATGAGGCCGGTTGGTTCGGGCTGTTCGGCCATATCGTCTAGTTCGTTTTCTAGTTTGTATAGTGTTCGGGATGTGGAAAATGGAGCTTTACGGTATACAATCTTCGAGTAGTTTGGTCGCTGAATAAAAGCGGCAGCAAGACTTGGAGACAAAGGACGGGCAGTAAGAATATTTATACGCCGCAGCATCACACTGCGGGGGATGTTGAGCGACATGAATATCTATATTTAGTTTTGGCAAACCAAAAGTAAAAGATGCAGTAACTAGGTTAACTAGTTACCTATTAACTTTCTACTTTGCAAGATATACATACGTGTATTACTTAGGTAATCAGTCGGGTTACACTTGCATCATTAGTATTTCTAAGCACAACGTTATTATTTTCTCCCTTAAGGTAACTTAAGCATATCAAAACCTTACACTAGCTCGCTTTAACCCGCATCGCCGGTCTTTCGATTGCTCCGACATCAACTCTGATAAGGTATAGTGCCCCCTTCCCAGACCGAATTAGTCATTCCCTTTGCTTACTGAAATCTATCGAGCCTATAACACTATAGCGAATAAGTTGATAGGTATAGAGGCTGTGGGAAGTATTATATAATCTGAATTATATACGTGCCTTATTTAAAGAGGTGTCAGGTGTGAACTGACAAGTACACTAGGATACGAATGTCAAGATTACTAAAGCATCTATTGGGAATAGAAGATTGCCGCTACTGCAAGGACTTGGACTAGTCTGGCCTAAGCAGCACATCTAGCGCATCAGATCCTAGCACGATACCTACCTACATTAGTACATGTAGATAGCTCTCATGTAGGTAACCCTTAGTCTGCATATGTGTCCAGGTCCGGTAGGTATGTATGTACGTTAGATAGATCGTGCTGTTGGATAGCTCCGCCAGCTCTTACATTACGCACAAACCCATTTCATTCGTAAAAGCAATTGCGACTGTCTTGCTTGATCATACACACAATTAACCTGAAGCCAACCTGAGCATGGCTCAACCAAGCCGGCCAGAGAAGTCCTTTAAATCCTATTCCTGCCACCCTCGTCAAAAACGTTGAAGCCGGCCCCGTCAAAAATTTCATTGCACTTCACGCGTAGCTTACCCCTAAAAATACTTTTATTCCCTTATTTTCCTCGTTACCTACTACCTCATACTTCTAAGCTTCCTACAAACAGATCGTTGCCACGGTATAGCTGTCTGGCCATACGTGGAGAAACGGCGCGGTATCTAAATAACGTAAGGGGGGTCGCTCAAATAAAGTTGAATTAAGAAATTTACCAGTAACCGCCACCCCGGCGGTATTCCTCCCGGGGATAGCCCCCGCCCTCGCGAGGCCCATAGCCACCCTCACGCGGGGGGAAATCCCTTGGAGGCCGGTCATAGGGCCGGCCGTTGACATACGGATCCGGAGGGGGTCCGTAGTCGCGGCGATAGGGATCTTCGTAGCGACCACGTGGAGCTGGGTAGTCGTCCACAGGTCCACGGCGCGGTGGGGATCTGTAACGACGATCGTCGTAGTAGTCACGACGAGCAGCGGGGCTCCGGTCGCGGTAATCATCGCGGTAGCCGCGCGGGCTGTTATACCCACGAGGCGGACCACGGCGATCGTAGCCCTCGCCCGGCGGGCCGTAAGGTCGACGACCCATAGGAGAACGAGAACGGGCGCCACGCTCGCGGGTAGGGAAGTCCGGTTGGGTCTAGTATTCCATGTTAGTAAAGTAAAATAAAAAGTAATAGACCCTAGATAAACCTACGTCAGCGATACAATTGACTCGTTGTCCCTTGAACTCGCGGCCGTCGAGCTTCTCTACAGCAGTCTTCAGGTCGGCTGCGGTCTCAAACTCGACAAAGCTGTTTAAAATCCGTTAGCTTATATGATTGTAGGCCAAGGTAGTCGGTTGGGAGCCGCTACGTACCCTCGGCCATTGCCGTCACGGCCCGTCTCCGAGTATACGACATCCAAGCTGGATTGTCGAGCAAAGTCTTTCAGGTCCTAGATCCAGATTCCATGTAAGTGGGGGTCCGAGGAGCGGTGTAGAACATGCGAATGAGGCCAATATTTCCAACTCCAGATGCAGCACCAGCAAAAGGAATGCGGTCAAACCAATCCAAGCAGGCGGTTACGTCTAACATTGGAAATCCCTGAGGCACCTTGGCTAGCTCCTGAGACCTGTCCGCCAGAATTTGGGAGAGCTAAAATGGATGGTTATGACATCACATAAAATAATATCTTGGATACCAGCGTCCCCGTTGTTCGGGCGAAAAAGCACACGGCGCAAGATGGCTCGCTGTACCAAGGAAGGGGAAATCATCTAAAGCCAGAATCCGAGGGCGAAGAACGGGAAAACGGGAGTTAAACAGACCTGCCAGCTGGTATCATTGGGAAGTCCAGTAATCTGCATGCGATGGGGAGTGCGACGGGGTCGGGGAGCACTGCGCTCGTGACCACCGAAGCCTTCGCGGTGGCGAGAACCTCGAGCGAATTGTACGGTCAATCGTTCGCCCATGAAATCAGATCCATCTTATCGTCATATTAGCCAGGGAAACAACGGAGAAATCAGGTGAGACGGTGGCCAGGAACGGTCCAAGACGTACGGAAAGCTGTGACACGAATCAAGTTAGTTGTTGACTGCCGCAGACAGGACTTCGCTAGACGCGCGGGTTTACTCACCAGGAACGACATCGCGCGCATCCATGGGATCCTTGTATTCGATGAAGCCGAATCCATTCATCAGCTTGACCTCGGTAATTTCACCAGTGCCATGGGTCGCGAAGTGGGCTTCCACATCGGCCTTGGTTGCTAGACGGGACAGTTAGCAATCACGACAGGGCGACACAAAAGCTGGCTCGAAGCTCCGTTACGCTGCAACACGAGCTCGAGCGAGCATCCGGTATAACTTACCGCCCTTTGGCAGGTTGCCCAAGTAAAGCCGGGTAGCGGAAACCTCAGTAGACGCCATGATCGCGGTCGGTAGAAACGAGGCGCGAGTCCTAACAAGTGTTTAAAACAAAAGGTTGAGATAGCTTGCGTGCGCTGCGAGAAAATAAGCAAGACTCTGCGAAGTCGTTGCGCGAATCACGAGAAACCAAGTAAGAAATGCCTGGACGAATTGTTTGCCAAATCAGATAGTTCGTGGGTGGGTTGCGTGAGGGAAAAAAAAAAAAAAAGTTGGCACGAGGCCGCGGAGTAGAAGGGAAAACCCCCGAGAGAGGAAAACCTGGAGGAGTTGATCGAAAAATGCGGGCAACGAAAGCGGCGAAAAAATTGGAAGGAGGGTAAGAGATAGGCCGGCTATAAAAGTGGTGGTTGGAAAAAAAGAGGAAGTAGTCCTTGTGTTGCGCGGGTAGCAAAAAGGACGGGTAGTATTTATGACCGTATCACTTTGCTTTGGTTTTAAAGTTGACAAGTGATTGATGCAGAAGATCGAGGTGTGATGGGGATGGCAGCTGCTGGATAGGTTAGGATGAGAGGAGACTACCTAACTTGAAAGAATGGAAGGTGGAGGACTCTGGAAGGTGTCTAACTGGCAATCTGGCTGTGAAGAGCACCGTGCACTTAAAAATGTGGAGGCGGTAGAGCGGAGCTGCCTGTGAGATTTTGTCCTTCAGATCCTCGCCCCGCACAGGCCAAAAACAGCCTAACCTTGAGTGGAATACGGAATATACCTACATACATGGTACATGCATGTATGTAGGTTCAAGTACAAGGATAAAAAGGTACCGATACGTACCATCTACAGTGGACCTACTCAGCTTCACTTACACGAGAATAAAGCTCATGATTATTCATTACCGACTTCACATGAAACGGACGAGCAGGCGTATAAATATTCAAAACACTATTGGCTGTATATGCATACATCGTACAAAATATAACTTCCAATACGTTACGACGTATGTATGTACATGCTTGCCTTCGAATTACCTACCCCTCGAACATGGATGCGAGTGAGCAAAGCGCCTCACTTTCTTTTCCTAGCGGTAGCTCTCGATACGACACTCAGCGCCTTTCCCCAGCGATCGCAATGATAAGAGCTACACCGCCAACTATACATTAGATACTGTATCTAACATTCGTACCTGGTATTCATTCACTCGCGCCTCGAAACCATCCTAAACTCGACTGTTCCAAACGCCGATGCTATGCTATGCTGTGCTGTGCTGTGTAGTGCTGTGCTGTGTAGAAGAAAATACCTACTTGGAAGGATTAAGCCTCATTAAATAGAACGTCAATTAGTTCGTCCATAATCGTGAAAACCAAATGCGAGCTGTGGTTGTTCATTAGCATTATAATACGTTTATAGATGGGTAGCATTACGTACTTCAACCTCGAGTTGTTGAGCGTCGCAAACATTCTGCGACTGGCGGCTTGGGCGTTGAGCCGTCCGACCACGTTTCCAGCCAGATCCGGAACGAGAGTAGCCAGCATCAAGCTTGCTTCTCTTCGAGTTCGTGCTTTCTCTGACGATGTCCTAGGCTGCTTGTTTCTATTAAGCTGTCCGCCTGGCCACATGCTGTTCCTTAGGAGATCGATATATTTAAGGATGGCATCTTCTTGAACTAGCACCTTGAAATTGTCTCGTACTTTTCGTTCAATGGTACCTCCGAGCATCTGGTGTAGCACAACGACGACAGCGCGGCCACGAAGCCAATTATTACCTCGATTAAGCCCAAAGACCTCGAGGAAGACGTCGCAGATTGGTTTGATGAAAGGTTCGAGCTCTTTATTCTCAAAGGCATTCAATTCAGCTTCGGCTTCGGCAGCCGTTATGGCATCCTCGTTGACGCTAAGTGGCATCGTGCTCATCTGGCTTGTAGCCGCCGCGATTAGATTCTGCCCCGCAGTCGAGAGCTGGTCTAGAACAGGTATGTTTCCCAAGATATCCTCCATGCCATCAGCAACCGAGTCGTATAGACGCGTGATCATGTCTTTTTTATCCTCGCGGCTCATCAGGTCCTCCCCCTGAGTGATGACGCTTTGAGACAGAAACGCTCGTAGATCTCTGCTGTGGCATACATCTGGCAGAAGAAGGAGTTCACTTAAGTACCGCTCTAACCCATCGCGCCGTTTACGAAGAAAGTCGGTTTGAAGTTTCAGGACCATCCTCCGTCTTGGGAACTCTAAGTTCCGTACCGAGGGATACCTGTCTCGCAATTTCTGATGAAGCTCGTGGAATTCGCTGTATCGTCTCGTCACAATCCAAGTGGCTGCTGGCATCTTCTCTCCCGCGTTCCTCTTTACCTCAATGACGTATAAGGCGAATTCCTTTCCATCTTCCTCTCGTCCCACTTGGATGGCCTTGATCTTGATCGACGCACGCCCGTATAAACTATTATCGTTCTCTTGAATTACATACTGTTGTCGCTGTAGTTCCTTTCGCCGGAGTTCCCTCTGCAGACTCGCTTTTGACTTTCGTAAGATGCGTAATTCTGCTGTATTATTAGTTAATTCCGCCTTCTTCGTTAGTGATTCTATGACAGCCTCCTGAGCAGCAAGTCGTTCAATATCGTTGGTAAGGGCTGCAATAGCCTCCGCAAGGCCCAAGTCGCCAGGGGCGGCTTCGTGCACTTCGTCTTCGACGTTTCCGACTTCGCCTTCGTTATGATCTTCCTGCTCGTCTGACAAGAACTTATCCTCGTCTGCGAAAAGGTCGTCGTCTATGAATACCCCAATTCTGGATGCCGCACTAACAAGTCCGAGAGATGCTAAGCTGGGCTTTTCGACTTCCTTCCCAGACTGTATTGGATGTTGTTGGTCTAGCGAGCCCCTAGCTGAACCATTATCTTGAGCTGAAAATATGCTTGAAGCTCCGTCATCATTCCCAAATAGCGACTCGCGAAGGTCCTCTGCAGTTTGAGGTCGATCGTTTTCCATGATGTTATTCAGTGCTTCCTCCACAGCTTGGACTACATGGGTGTCTGGTACGGGTCTCAATAGTTCCTGATCAAGACTCGCCACCGAGTCTGCCATCGGATCATCATCCAGATCATCATCACCAAATAACGGTGAAGTTGCGCTATCATCGAATGATCGCCGGTGACTTGTTGAGGAATCTGGGCTATGGTTAACGTTGGTGACAACAGACTTTAAGTCTGTGGTAGATAGGCCTCGTCTAACTTGACCGTTGGACGTGTTTATTTTCGGATTAAGCTTTGCCACGGACGCGGGTTTCAACCCATACGACTGCGAAGCGCGAAGTAGTGGCGGGCCTGTAGCTGGCCCTGCCTGAGATTGTTGTGCCAGAGGGATATTTTTCGATGCCTCTTCCGATGCTAAAGCCTTATAGAAGATCTCGGACTTCTTGAACGCATCGAGATGCTTAGACTGCATGTCCTCGAGCACGGCACTTTGAGCCCGTAACACGGCCCGGCGTGCCTTGTAGTACTGTGCCGGGGAAGCTGCTTTGCCGGCGTCAAGAAATTCGCGAATAACGCGCCGTGAGCTAGCTGGGGCCTTGAGTTCCTTTTTAGATAAGTAGGCCTGATCAATTTGGGCGATGTCTGTACGGTCGGATTCGGTCCAGGGGCTCAGGGTCGAAGGTAATTGCTCGTCGTCGGGTCCATCATCTTCCAGAGGGTTTCGTAAACCATCTACCACTAGCCAGAATTGTACAAGGGGCATCAAGCCTTGTCTATCCATATACTCCATGAAATAAGAAAGACCGGACGTGTCACGCAGGATTTCAACTAAAGACGCGTTCTCAAGCCTTGAAGACCCTATATTTGGCGGCGGAGTGCTCGATAGGGGTATATGCCGTCCGTCACCACCCGCAGCTAACTGATGAACCCTCTGATCTAAGAGTCGTTTGCCCATTTCTAACCGACGGAGGTAGATCGGGTCCTGTCCCGAGTACTGGGAATCTCTCTTCAGCTGGCTTGCTACTTCGCTTCGAAAACGTCTCGCGTCAGACAAGTTGTTAAGTTTGCGGATCGTGCGGATGAATTTTTCAAACCGGCGCTCGCTATCCCCCGAAGCCAATCGCGGGAAAGCTACTGGCCTAGAACTCTTTGGCGCCGGCGACGCATGCGCATCTAAGGCCGCACGAAGCTTACGAACTGTCGATCGGTCTTGCAGCATGCTTCGGCCATAATTTTCCATTACTTGGTTCCAGGTATCGGGCTCGGATAGTAGCTGCAAGGTAGGGAATAAGACAGTACAGGCGACAATTTCGCGGACGATATTAAACACAACCCGGCTATTAACCATGTTATTAGGTAGAACTCTTGGTAGGACCTTGGTAACTATATTCCGTAGGTAATCTTGCTGTAGCAGTTTTGTATCCGAGTATGCTAAGGACACAGCTGGATGTAGTTTGCCGTCATTATACTTTGCGGCAATGGCCAAGTCCAACTCTTCAGATTCCGTAACATCACGATTCAACTTACGGCCACGAATAGCCCTCTCCGCATCGTAGAAGTCGCGAAAGTGAGCCGTTAATATTGGGACAATCCTACTCGTTACCACTTCCACCAGGTCTGTTTCGAAGAGACGGTCTCGAATGCTAGCTAGCGCATGCCTTACAGTTTTGTCCACCTCGTTCGTGAACACCGGGTTTTTACTTATGTGCGAATACCATGATTTGACAAAATCCCGTATAATCAGATCGAGCAAATCGTCCAAGGCGTTGGATATGGCGGGAGATTCGGCATATAGGGGGTCTTTAAGATACGTTTGTTGAATTCGTAAGGCGGTGGTCTCTTTGTGCCAAGAAGCGGGACCTGAAAAAAGGACTGCATCGGGTCGTGAAGTTCTATTTCGTTGGCTATATGTTGAGCCCCGGGAGGTAAAAAGTAAGAGGAGACAGGCTAGAAGGGTTACAACGACGCCGCTGACGAAGGCATATCCCATCCACCGGATGGGGGGAAACCAGCTTGTGGCATAACCCCATGCGATGAAGCAAACGACGCCAGCATAACCAACATCTCTCCCCTTAAGGGCCATACTCAGTTTGCGGCGGCTTTGGGATTGGCGTCATGACTTGTCCGTGGGGTGACAAGTAGATGTGGTATCGTGGGAATCGTAAATGACGGCGAATTGGAGGCCAAGAGCTGCTTATCGATTGAAGTTGCTGTAAGTTCCGGCGCATTAGGTAAGGTACCTACCATATGGGGTAAATGCGATGCAAAGGGAAGAACGGGTCATGAATTTATGTATATATAGTACCTATGTACATACCTAGGTACGTACGGAACCTTCGGTACGTGCAGTATTCCGTACAGAAAGGATAGGTATCTAGGTACATACATGTACTATGCACCTATCAATAGGTACCTTAGTAGAATAATGCCCCTCATCCATCAAATTAGACGCGATTCTAGATGCAGGACCCCGAGTTTGTCATTGAATAACAAAATTCTTGTCAACATTGAATGATAGGCTCGTCTCTCGAAGCCAAGCAACATAAGACTCCTTATTTTTCATCAGTCAAGTTACAGAAAAGAGCAAGTTCCGAATCTTTATAGGATAGTCATCACCGGGTATCTTTATATTCCAATGCAGTATGTAGCTGCGCGAGCTTTTTACGAGACTCCTCATCTTGTTTCCTCTTAACTTGGAACGATATTCTAGCCATATTGTCATAGAATTTGTAGTCGTAGTAGTGGTCACCACTGAGGATCTTCCATGCGCCGGAACAAGGCAACAAATTTCTGCCCCTTGTTTCTCTCGACCTTTTTCCCTTCCTCGGTTTCTGTCCTCATAACTGCCACGCATGGATCTGCATCTTGTTCCTCTTCAGGCACTTTCGCGAACGAAGGGTGGGCCTCAAAATGTTGTACCATCCACTCGTGAAGATTCTCCACGTCCGTAATGGTATATACAATCCCACCCGGTCTGAGGGCGTATGCATACTCGGAATTAAGGGTAGTAGATACAATTCGAGCCTTGTGTTTACGCTGCTTGAAATGCGGATCGGGGAAACAGATGAATAACTTCGATAATTGGCCCTTTCGAAAGAAATTGGGTAGGAATTTCATCGTGTTTGCGCGCAGGCAAGCAATGTTCTGGTATGATTTCTGCTCGGCGTCCTTCGCGCGGAGGGCTTTGATTCGATCTTGAACGAATTCTGCTACTTGCGATCGGATCTCCATGCCTACGAGTAAGGTATCTGGCATTACGGGCGACAAAGCTACAAGTAGACCACCAAACCCGCATCCTATGTCTACAACTTCAACGTCCTTGGTGAGCTTCTTTGGTGACGAGGTTTCTGCTTCGGTAAATGATGGAAAGAACGTGGACCAATCCATGGCTTCGGGTCTGACTGGACTGTAACGTATAAATATTTATCCTCAACAAGCAACATAAATGAGGCGATAGGCATACTATGTTAACCTGTGGTCTGAGAAGGGATTTGCATGTGCGCGCTGGCGATAGAATTTCTTCTTAGGCATATTTGTCGTGCCATTTTCTTTTAGCGCTTGACGGTAATCTTGCCGCTTCTGCTTCTTATTCGGAGGTCCAGTCATGGCGACGATATTGATTGCCTAACAGAGGTAATGCGACAACTAGCAGCAGTTTTTTTTTTTTTTTTTTTTTATAACTTTCGAATGCCAATTGCATTGTGAAGATACTAAAATGTTTAACAAAAAGAAACGCCGAGCGGGTGTAACGTCAAAGCTGACAAAGTGGGGTTCCAGCTGAGGAAACAGCTGGTGGGGTTGGATAGGCGATAAGAGAGATAAGCACTCCTTTTTACCTCGTAACGTACGCCTAGCGATCCGGTTGCTGCAGCAACCAACCCCCAAATCAGGTAAGAAAAGGGCGGCGAGACAGAACTTAAACAAAGGCTCATGCATACAATACTCTCAATCGATGCCACAACGTCAGATTCAACGTTGAAGTTTATATTAAACCTTAGCCTCATCTCGGCGCCTGTAGCTGTCAGATGAGGAAAGTTCAACCGGCTGCCCGTTAAAAAACAGGCTTTGCCATTGAACGCGTTCTCGTCTTAAACATCGCTTCACACACTTCACACGCTTCACACGCCTCACACCACGCATGGCAACAATCAACGATTTATCTATCTTAGTCACAACATATTTGCTTTGCTTCTAAATATTTGCTCTGTCGTCAATCTAGACGACGAGCATCGTATTAATTAGGCACTATGGCATCAATCAACGAATATCATGTCTCCGCAAACATCGGTCCCGGTGCTGGACGACCGCAACAGCATCAACGCTCCAAATCCAAAGGCAATATTCTCAAAACTTGGATCCACAGACGAAACAATTCAGATGGCTCTCCCCTACCACCTACCGAGTTAATTCCGCCAAATTATGTTCCAGAATCATCCTCATCCAGGCAAGAGATGGGTGGATTTCCGAATTTCTCTCGTCCGGCCGCCCTCGGCGAGATCCAGCAGAATCAAATCAGCATTGTTCCTCGATCACCACCCAAGCAGTACAAGCTACCGAGTGCTCCATCTTCTCCAACCAAGAAGAGCTACAACACAGTATCAGCGAAACCAATGACTACAAAGGAAGCGGAGAAACTAGCCAAGCTAGCTAAGCAGAACGAGGGCAAACCCAAAAAAACGAAGTCCGCCACGAACCTCGTAGGCTTCCTAAGTCGCCCCAAGAGCACGAAGAATCTACAAGCAACAGCTACCGAAGATGAGATGCGTTTCAAGAAGAACAAGGAAAACCACCCTCCCTATGAGACACCCCAGCGACCTCCCATCTACGCTCAATTCTCGAGCGGCGCCCTAGAGAAGCAGAACGAGCAGGATTGTACGAAGAATACTCACAGCCTAGACGTCCCTAGCTACACCTCCTCGAAGAGCGGCGGGTCGAGCACCCGCGCCGGAAAAGAACGGCCTAAATCGTACCACGCGCCCTTCATCCAGTCCCCCGACATGCGGAACAGCGGGAACAGCGGGAGCAGCGGCAAGACCTCGCCGTCTAAGATACAGCGCGGTCTCAGACTGTTTACCAGCGGCTCCGGGTCGCAAAGCAGGCCGGCTTCGGCCGGGCCCGTCGAGCCTGTCCTCGACCCTAAGGACATCGACAAGCACCTCGAAGCCATGCTGGACCGACGAAATATTCCCGAGCACCAGAGGTACAAGATGCGCAACCTAGCAGATACTATCAAGATGGAGTTCATAAGGCAGGACTGGGCTGAGAGCCGCGGCCTGCATAGCACTCGGCCCGAAAGCCACGATAGCGACTCGAGCATCAGCGTTGCGCAAGCGAACGAGAACCGCAAGACAAAGAAATCCCGAGGCCGGAGCTTTACACTGTCACGGGGTAAGAAATCGGGGACGTCTTCCCCTAAGAAGCAAAAGGGCGAAGGTTCTATAGGACGGCACTTTCGCAGCCGGTCCACGGACAGCGTCGCCAGCGAGCGGCCTTGTTCCGCTGGGTCGGGTACCGGTGGCGGCATCTTCTCCAAGGTAAAGTCGCAGCAGGGCCCCGTAGACTTCGTCGCCTACCTGCGTAAGGTCCAGAAGCCACAGTCGGTGGAGGTTGGCAAGCTGCACAAGCTGCGCCTGCTGTTGCGCAACGAGACGGTGGCATGGACGGAAGAATTCATACGACAGGGTGGGATGCAGGAGATCGTGGCGTTGCTGCATCGTATCATGGAGGTCGAGTGGAGGTATGTTAAACATATTGCCGCTTTTTACTTTGACTGGACAATTTTGCTAATTCTGAAACAGAGAGGAACACGAAGATGCTCTTCTGCATGAAAATCTCCTCTGCCTTAAGGCTCTGTGCACCACAGCCCTCGCACTGCAGTACCTCAATTCGATCCAAGCAACTCTGTTCCCGGCCCTACTACACATGCTCTTCGACCCAGAGAAGAAGGGCCCGAGCGAGTTCACCACTCGTAATATCATCACCTCTGTGTTGTTCACTTACATACAATCTGCCGCACCCTCTGACCGTCCCGTCCGCGCCAAGACGGTACTTGGCCATCTACGCGACCCAGAGCCGAAGGAAGCAGAACGACCAATCGGTTTCGTCCTCGAAATGCACCGGGAACGCCCCTACCGCGTATGGTGCAAGGAGGCCGTTGGTGTTACCAAAGAAGTATTCTGGATATTCCTGCACCACCTCAATGTGGTCTACCTGCCGCAAGAAAAGGAAGCCAAAGAAAGGGCTGGCCCGTCCGGAATCGACAGCGCTGCTTACATGCAGGCACACTTCCCGCAAGAGAGGCCCCCGGTCCCTGCTGCCCCTTACGTCGGCGGTGTAGAATGGGACGCTACAAACTATCTAGCTTCGCATCTCGACCTCATGAACGCAATTATTGCCTGTACCCCAACGGCAGAGGAGCGTAATGCTCTGCGCAGCCTGTTTAACATCTCGGGCTGGGAGCGCTGCATGGGAGGCAGCCTGCGCCTTTGCAAAGAGAAATTCTACCCGGGCGTGCATGACGGGCTACGGACTTGGGTGGCCGCCGCGGCCGAAGATGGTTGGGACGTGCGAGGCGTGCGCTATGGACCGCCTGCCGAGCCCAAAAGCCCGCGCAAGAACCAAGCGGGAGGCGGTGGGAATAAAGGTAAGAAAAAGGAGGAGGCGCCGCCACGGATCGACATGCCAAAGTTCAATCTTGGCTCCGACGCTGCACGTAGCGCGGCTACTCCCGCAGGACGGTCAAGCGAGAACTGGCTCTCGTAGCTTCGAAAAACCTGGTTGCAGAGCTAGGGACCAACAGCACCGACGATCCTTTCGAGAAAGAATAGAGGACGGCTCGTGTTGGAAAATCATAGTGCTTACAACACATTGTCTTGGCTGGGAGTCTTACGTAGAGCTGGATGGCGGTGTTCATGTCAATGTACTGTATTTGGAGTTCCTTCATTGGGTCTTAGGGGTGTTTTATTCGCGGGTTTTTTTTTCGTTGTCACGCCTCATGATATTGGGTTTCCATCTTTCCTCATCACTTGGTAATGAAGTCCGGTTGGACACACGGCTATTCACACGCGGTACGCGGTAGATTGAATGATCATGACGCTTATGACCCAGGCACAGCTCAATGAATCAAATGACTTTGGAGAAGCCTTGTCATCTGTGCCGTGTTCTATGCTTGAGTGCCGCGACTCGTACGATTTCGTGTTCCCTTACCGTTTACGTGGCTGACGCGCCTGTTAGCTGCTAAATAGGATCAGTGATTTAGGTGGTCGAATCAGGGGTTTAAGACCGTTTAAGGGACCACCTCTTAAACATGGGGGCGGTGAAGGTTTAGCATAGGGTTTAGTATAGACGTTCGAGCACGGTTGGGGATAGTGTATGCCAGTCAACCCGAGATGCAGAAGCCGCGTTGAGGACAGATGAGACCGCGTGGCCACTGGAACCCAGGCGATCTATACTCAGAACATTCTTTAATTATCAAACGCCCCCAAACCCACCGTCCTGTATTGTAGATCCTTTAGCAACAGAGAATCCAAGCGATAGCGGCACTCAAAATAGTCCGCAAAGCCAAGCTCAGCTAGTCTGTTAGTAATGACAGGTTGAAACGACTGTTCTGTCCAGGTTTGACCGCCATCGGCGCCGTACAAGACATACGCTTCGTTTCATCTAGTCTCAAAGTGGATATAGTAGGTTACTGTTCTGAGCTGGGCGTAAATTTTGCACAACCATGCCGCGTGCTTCTTCATCTGCCGGAGGGCCCGACCCACGGTCAGCTTCGTAACGCTGGCTAATTAATGCTGGAGGCCTAGAAAGTTGATCTGCATCAGTTCGGGGTGCTCTACCAAGCCGCTACATCACATGGGTACTCATATTATGAAATGTGATATAATTCAGCCTGCAAGTATTAGCCGCCGCAGAGGTACAGCAATGTGATAGGGATGATGTCGTTTTCGCCTAGCCGAATCAAATACACCGAGGAAGTGTTCCAGGCCTGTATTGTGTAATTGTAATGCTGTTCACGAGCAAAGATCTTCACGAAGCTCGTGCGTTCTGCTCCGACCCGATTGTATCCGCCGACTGACGTGGTTTGAGCCGTCGTCGACAGGCTTCACGATAGGCCAACATAACTGAATGACACTTATGTACCCAAGAGAAGTTTGGTTCAGGGAGAGAGATTGCCCAGACCAATGATCTGCAATGCATACTAGAAGAGCAGGTTCGATTCAGTAGACCTTCGCAACAACACTACTCCGTAGGATTTCACCCCGGAATCGCAAAATCGAGGCCAACGATATCTAGATTTAATTAACGTAACGTAACTCACCATGAAAACAGTCTCCCGTCTGTCTCTATCTGGCTGGGTCCATAGTTGGAAGCGTCCAATGCTAATGCTAGCGAGAACGCTGCGTTAAGTGGCCTCTATAAAAATATGACAGGTCGTTTTTTTGCTGCGGAGCCGCAGTCAAGGGCGAGCCAATCATATGGCACACCAGCAGGAAGAGGGTAGATCCTGCCGAATGACAGGGCAATAGAAGAGGTAATTTCTCCAGTAAAATGGTGTTAGAAATATGCGAACCGGGGAATAGAATGCTCTCTGAAGATATCAAGAGGGGCCCGATGCAGTCTGGCGACTTGACCGACCCACTAACAGACAGGCCTTTGTCCCCAGGTCCGCGAAGTGATGGCCACTGCAGGAATATTCGGCTTGGGTCAGTCCACCAGGTTCAATAGGCCCGGAGATATGGACGTAACTCGGGAGGCTGGCCATGGACGCGGGTCTCACAACCAACAAAGCGTTATGCGAGGAACCATGTGTGTCAACAGAAGAGTTTTAAGCTCGAGAAGGTGGTAGTTAACCGGTTGGTCGGCAGAAACCACGGAGAACAAGGACCCTGGAAAATGAGCATGGGAACCAATAGGAAAAGAGAAACTATAAACCAAGTAACAGGTAGTCAAATGTCAATGTCATGATCCCGGGATTGTTTCTTTGAACAACCTTGATAAGATACGAGGGAGCCCGTGATGACGACAATCTGGTTCCTAAAACTCCAACGTCATTCTGATGTATTGCATCAAACCAACCCAAAGTTGGTGGTGACCGGTGAAGATGAAGAGCGAAATGAGGAGTATTATCTGTTGAAGCCTCGGGTCTTGGGTCAACAGTATTAGTCCGAGGACCCTGCTCGCGATGTAACTTGCGTAATTGTATTATATAGTAGTTAGGCTATTCTCAATGTTCATGGGTGTGTAAGAGCTAACCTAGGTAGTGATATCATGTTAGGTATGTTAGGTATGTTAGGTATCATGTTAGGTTGCTGGATGCGTAGAATGGTTAGGAAGATCTCGAGGGGCTGAACAATACCGATTTTTATTAGGTACACATAAGCCCTAAAATAAAATCTCCTGGGTTAGGTAGTTCCTAACTTAGAGTCATTTACGTAATCAGTCAGCTCTTGCTAAGCCGGTCCCGAGCTTTCCTGATAGGTCTAAACCTATTTTCTTTCCCTCTCTGTAACTATTGGAAATACTATTTTCTACTAGTCAATGCACCATACATTAGGTACCTACCTAACATAGGTACCTATGTAGGTAGTTCTATTTTATGAGAGATAGCGCCAGATTTTTATGCATATAAGGTAGTTGATCACGATCCGACCGACTATTTTATGAACCTATCGTCAGTGCGCGTATATAGCTATACCTATCTGGACGATAAAAAACGTTTATAGTAGTATATCGAAGCATGTGAAAGATCATGTTAGTTTTGGGAACCAATTATAGAAACGGGATCCGGGCACCGAGTATATCCTATGTATATTCTACATACCCACAAACCTCTAAACGCTCATAGGCTTATGCCGTCACTTACTTTGGGGTTCCTTTTTTTTTTATTTTTTTTTATAACTTACCCCTCTTACCTCTTACACAACATTAACTAATCAATCTTATCAATTGTTGGTACATGCTTCTGCACCTGCAGTTAGCGGTCGATCCATGTACCCAAGGTTCAAGTCAACATCGTCACCACCTGCTAAGTCTGGTTAGTGATTTCCATTCTTAGCTCCTTGCCTAAGGGTTTTCCAATCATGCCTTGGCAGCGGCTTGGCTTGCCTATCCATCCCTGGTCTCTAGAGCCTTTTTTGAAGTTTTACCTGCCTTACCTATCAAGTAGTACCATACATCACATATTCCTTACCACGTTCATCCCTTCGTCATCACACTGCGCTTCTCTATCGTGAATCAAGAACAAGTCCCTTGTCGACACATCTGTCGACACATTAAATTGAACCGTGGGGTTTTAGGTTAACTTCGGCATTTCCTACGGGGACTTGGACCCTTGGCCTTCAATGCTGGCCTCCAATGCTGGCCTAAGCGTCGCAAAGGTATTCCGTACATAGTATAGTATAGGTTATCGAAGTCATCAAACGGGTAACCCGGTTTGCACCTTGCAGCTGAAGTCGAGGAATTCTCCCTATTGCCCCAATTGATCCGCCGTTTATTCAATATCAATCTCGCCGTCCACACTAAAAGGCTACACTACCAAGCGCAACTCCACATCTGCGAGTCCTTGCAGTCCTTGCAGTCCTTGCAGTGTCTTGTCTGGCCTGCGCCGTTCTAATACCAGTTACGGCAGAGCAAGTTCCAGCGGGCTACCGTGTTAGTTGGCCCACATTTACCAATATCAACATCTCCATCAAACTTCCTGCAAATCGTGCCGGTCCGAGACCAGCCTGCCAGCCTGCCAGCCTGCCAGTCCAGCAGCCCAGCAGAGCCAGAGCCCACCGAGCCAGTTCCTGCAATTCCTGAGGCCAGAATCGTTGGAACCCTACCCGTTTTCGTTGTGCCGACGAATCCCAGGAGTTCGGTTGGTGCCTACCAGGACTTGTGCCCAGGACCCGAAAGCTGACCACCTTCAAATTTGCCCAAAATGTCAATAAAGTATGTATGAGCCTCTTCTTGCCTATGTAATAATTGTAATTCCCGTCGACCTGAGCCCCAACTAGCCCTCAGCCCTCCCCTTCCCTGCTCCCCCATCCACGACTATTCCACGGTTTTTAGGATGTGATATCCATCTCTATTCTCCCTGAGAGCATTGCTCTTCCTTCCGCGGTTCAATTTGCACCGTCCGTCTCTTGCCTATCTCATCATCATAATGGATTACGGCCTTCACGACCAGCATGCGTCATACATCCTTAGTCAGAGTAGCCGGGGTGAGGAGGACACTAACGTAGAAGTCAGCTGGGTTATGCTATCTCGGGCCGGAGAGATAGAGCCGCTGCCGCACGAAACTATTCTACATAGGACAAGAGGACGGATAGCTCTCAGTATAACCGCTCCGAATCAGCCAACCGACGTCCCTCCCCTCAATATTAAGAGCGAGAGTGGGACGGCGTACATAACGAATCAAAGAGTAAGTAATAAGGTCATGCATTACAGCATATGAATCAAACGTGAGATTAACGTTCATCTCAGTTGATCTACCTGCCTTCCAAGCCTACAGATCAGTTCAAGTCCTTTTCATCCAAAATACTAGGGTGCCAGGATAGTCGTATGTGTTCGTCGTGGATCGGGCCTTGGTACTGGGAGGCCCATGTGCGCCCGGTCCCTGATGGCAATATCCCTCCCGAGTTTCCGAGAGTCAATGTGAGATTGACGTTCAAGGATGGTGGTTCTAGCGAATTTGAGTCCAAGTTCGTGGAACTTAAAGCGCGTCTACACCATGCGGCACAGATTGCAGAAGAGTCGGGTCAGAGCAATTGGGCCCAAACCGTCCACGACGAGCAACTACCAGAATATAGCGGCCCCCAGGGTGGTAGTAACCCTAGTCAAGCAACCGAGGTAGTTCGACGAGCGGATGAAGCAGCTCGGGAACAGCAGGCCCACCAGCAAACTCCAGACGAGCCCCCACCAAACTACGACGAGGCTCAGGCGCAGGCGGTCAGTATGCGTTTCGACGAGCATATGCGGGAGGAAGCAGAAAGACAATGACAACATGTTTGGCCTACTAGTTGTCCTAGGACTTTTTATGCTGTCGATAAATTCGATTGCTTGGAGACCCCTGATAGAGGGTCATTTATCTAAGTCGATATGAAAAGAATGTGATACCCTCGCCAATAAGACGTGGCTTTCGGTATGTTATTGCGGCTGCTCTCCGCGTGGTCCTATCCTGTTGGTGCATTCGTATACTAGGTTATCACGAAGCCGACTCTGCGGGGGAAACTAAGAGAGAAAAGAGTTGAAACTTATGATTGCAGCAACTCAGGTAGAGGATAACGCTTGTGTATCCAGGACATGACTGTAGCTTATGCGCAGAATTCTGCCCTCCTAACGAGGTTTTATAACCGGTGGCCTCTATATGAAGTAGCCCCTAAACATTTAAGTCGACGTTTAGGAGGATACCAACCCGTACAAACTACTTCTTACACATAACTAGGTATATATAGTTACCTAAGATATATAAATGCAATAAAAAACGGAGTGTCTTGCATTAATGCCCATGAAATACAAATATTTCTATAACATATATCGTTGCTTCTGCGTGAATATAATTGGTACATGGATGTATCTACATACTGGTATCTATTGGTACGTACCTCCGGCTTGGAGCGCCGATAGATCGGTCGAGTATCACGTGATAAGAACTTTAAGCCGTAGCCAATCAAAATGCCTCAATTGGCGATGCTCTATTTTTCTCGGTTGCCAACGTTCCTTGGAGACTGCATTTCATCATCAACCCACGTTCATCCCCGAAAATAAGGCATTGCAACTGCCCGACAACCGTTTCGAGCACAATGGGTATCTGGGACACTATTACCGACCTCGTCGAGGCGGCCAAGCCATGGACCACCGCCGAAGCCGAAGCTCCAGCTGAGGTATGATTTTCCCCGTTCCCCGTCGAGAAAGCTCCAGACCGGGATTCCACCGGCTTCTATGAGCGCTTAGTACCTACGTCTTTGCGACTTCGGGCTTTCTCGTCTACCTTCGTCCGTTACAGAAAGTAACTGATAGTTCCACAGGAACCCCAAGAGGAGGAGCAGGCCGAAGAGGAGGAAGAGGAGGAGGAGGATGATGATGAGCCCAAAGACCCGAAGGAACAGCTCGAGGAAGGTTCGTCGCATCCCCACGTCACCAACACATATGGCATCTTGTACTCTAGGTGGCTTTAATGCGCAAACGTTATTATGTCCTGAACATGTTAGTTGCACTATATGATGAGATATTTGCTGACGGTTATATATATTTAGATTGCAAGAACTCTAAGCAGTGCGCACCAGCTAAGCACCACTTTGACGAATGCGTCGAACGTGTAACAAACGCCTCGGATGACGGAAAGGCCGGCGAGGATTGTGTTGAAGAATGTAAGGGTTCCTTCCGCGCCGACCCGAGTTATGACTGCACCAGGAGGAATATTTTCGAGAAGCCTATTTATTTCACGGACTATAAACTGACACAAGTCTTCTCTCCAGTCTTCCACCTCGCGCACTGCGCCAGCCAATGTGCAGCTCCCAAGCTCTGGTCTACCCTCAAATAGTCAACGCAAACTAGCCCCGAGAACCCCCGGCATCAAGCACGATATATCTATAGAACACCTAGAGGCATGTGCTGGTAGGTTTTCGATCGGGCAAGCCGGCTATCGTTGTCTAACCCCGGTTAGATGGTCGAACGGTGGCGGCCCTGTAAAACGATTTGCGGCTCAAAGCGGATGACATGCCGCCGGGGTACCTTAAACGTCCTGTCCTATGTACCATACACGGCATTCACATGAATAGATCTCTGTTCCTCAATTATTCAAACAGATCTGATTTCTCATTCATATTGAGACAATTGCTGATTAATACAATTCAGAACATCAAGTGAGAGCATATGAAGGTTTATACTTGCCGATGAGTTCCGTTTCGTGGACATTAGGTAGTTTGTATGCGCTCAACCCTGTGCCGATTATAAGGCACTTGAGCTATCTGCTATCTACAAGCAGTGTCTTATTAGATTGTTACCCAGTCACATATTGACCCTTGCAATGTATCGACATCGTATGATGGGGTATAAAAAATTGCATCAACTACTACTAAGAACTCTTAGTTAGTTGTAATGATGTAGGTATTCACTATGTAAATATGAACAATGATAAATGAAAGTATCTTAAAAACACTAGGCCATAATATAACTCGGAATTGTATATAGAGATATTAGGTTTATAAAGATCCACCTCGACTTGACGTAACATGTATCTACCTAGGTACCTAGCCTAGGTAGATACATGTGACGATATCGTAAGGTGTTTGAGTTTAAGTTTGCTTCGTAGTTTTTTTCGGTATAGGTATTTAACAAATATTATAACCCCTTTTAAGCGTGTTGCATATGATCCCTAGCAAATATGCAGCCAAATCACATAAGAACACCTTACAAAAAGAAATGCCCGAAACAAACATACCAGGTGTCGAAAATGGACGGATCATGTTGGTTACTTACAAATGGGCTACATGTGCAATTTTATGTAGGGTACCAACACCTAAAGCATAACGTCTCGAGAGACTTGAAGAGAGTTAAGGGTTGCGTTACACGGAGACGTGAACCAGATGCGGCAGGTTCGCCAGACCATTAGCCAATCACAGCTCTAGATAAGGCCGTTTAGGGATATTTCAGTTGTAACTAGCTGAAACATTGAAACCCTACTGCTGCCACTTCGCTACTGCCTTTCTTACATAGTACTTGAGGGTACTTGAGGCGCACCTTTCCCCCCTAGCGATAGAACCGACTGTTTAGTGGGCTTTTTCAGGGACGAGGCCCTTCAAGTTCAACAGGATCTTGATAGAATCGGGACATCTATTCGCAATTCCACCCATTAGCGAGTGTTTTAGGGTCTTTTTATATATCTAGCTCAACGATAACAGCTTTCGATCGAGCCATGTATCCCTGACGAGCCTCGTAATGCTTTTTATGTTGCTACTAAAAACTGCCGCCGGCCGTGCAATTCGTTGGTGTCGATGCGAGACTACATAGTACATACCGCGCACAAGACGAGTTGGGATACCTTAGATTCTCCAAAAGTGATAATTCGGGTTATTGTCCAAATCTAGACCAACAGGGTGATATGATGGTACACCTTGCCTCTCGTTAAACCACCTTCGTTTTTTATTTGATTCTTTTCTTGCCCGATTTCAAATAACGGCCCCTCCAGGATGCGAACTTGACGTCTCCCTAAGGCCCGGATATTGAAAGGTGTTGGTTGCGATATTCGCTTTTGAGCACACAAACAAGTCAGCTGAGCTGAACTTGAAAGATCAACAAGGCGCGGGGCGTATGGTATGCGTAGCAGGATCCGGCTAACCTGAGCAAATAAAATATACAAATTAATTGTATCAAGTACGTAACCTAGAACTTTAAGGTTGCCCAGCCCAGCCCAGTCTTAAGCAAGCCACCAGGGGAAAGCGCCGCAGGACGGAAAGCGCAAGGAAGGAGCCTGGAAGAAGTCTGAAAGAAGCGCGCACAATGTCTCGCAGCAGCAGTCGCAAACCATCTGAGGACGCAGCTGTCGTTACAACAACACCAGCCATATTCGACGACGAAGCTGTTAAGAAGGCCCGCGACGAGTACGCCCTCAACCCTGTCGGTACTAGCTCATCCAGCAAGTCCTCCTCCCCCATCAAGGGCAGTCATCTACGGCTCGCTTCGAACTCGACGGACGACGACGACGGCAACGGCAACGGCAACGGCAACGGCAACGGCGAAGTTGCCGCGGCGCGCATCGCTGCGGGACAACCGCGCGACACGGATAACGCTTCGATCGAGAATGGCTACAGTGTCACGTATAAGGTGTACAAGCGACGGTGGTTTGGCCTCTTACAGCTGACACTGCTCAATATCATCGTCAGTTGGGACGTAAGTTATCATATATATATCTTGTATTCTTCTTTCTAAAATGGGGGCTACGAGATCTACCAATCGGTAGTTATACAACCTCTTCACCATTCGTCTATCTCCCATGCCACAGCCTTGCCTTGGCACGATGCTGTATCACTGCGTTGTTGTTACCTATTCTTTTTCTGTCATACCCACCACTTAATATGACGTGAATCTCGCTGACCATCTGTCTATAACATCATCTAGTGGCTGACTTTCTCCCCCGTCTCACAAAATGCCGCTATTTATTACAGCACGACCGAGTCCGCCATCAACTGGTACTCGACCGGCTTTCTGTTCGCCTTCGTCGTCATCTTCCCCGTCACCATCTACACCCTGCATTGGGGTCCAAAGCCGTCTATCATTGCCGCCGCCGTGCTGATCCTCGTCGGCAACTGGATCCGCTATGCCGGCTCTTACTCCCGCGACGGGGGTAATTACGGGGTCGTCATGTTCGGTCAGATCTTGACTGGATTAGCCCAGCCGTTCGTCCTAAGTGCCCCCACGCGGTACTCCGATATGTGGTTCACGGATAGAGGCCGTGTTGGCGCTACCGCTCTGGCTAGTCTGGCGAATCCGTTCGGCGCCGCACTCGGGCAACTCATCGTGCCGTTTATGGTTACGGGTCCGGCTGATATCTCTAACGCCGTGCTCTACGTCGCTATCATCGTATGTTCCTCTTCCACACCGCCTGTCTTGCTTGTACTGTGATATTAACTAAAAATCTGCACTTAGTCCTCCGTCGCCGCTCTCCCGTCCTTCTTCATCCCAGCAGAGCCTCCCACTCCCCCCGGCCAATGGTGCTCCACACCTAAAGCGTCCTTCCGCTCCTCGTTGCAACTCCTGAAATCCGCCGAGATCTGGCAGATCCTGATCCCGTACTCAGTCTACGTCGGCTTCTTCAACAGCATTTCTACGCTGCTCAACCAGATCATGATGCCCTACGGCTTCTCGTCCGACGACGCCGGCATCGCCGGTGCCCTGCTCATTGTCGTCGGGCTAGTCGCCGCTGCCATCGCTAGCCCTATCCTCGACCGCACAAAGGCCTTCCTGCTCGCTATCAAGGTCGCCGTCCCGCTTATTGCACTGTCTTACCTTGTTTTCATATGGATGCCGGGTACCCGCAACTTAGCCGGCCCATACGTCGTGCTCTCCATCCTCGGCGCCTCGAGCTTCTCTCTGCTACCCGTTGCCCTAGAATTCCTTTGCGAGCTGGGCCACCCCATGAGCCCCGAGATCACGTCTACGATTGCCTGGGCCGGCGGCCAGTTGCTAGGCGGTATTTTCATCATCGTCAGCGACGCCCTCAAGGCGGGGCCAACAGCGGATCCGCCGTTCCATATGTACAATGCGCTCGTGTTCACGGCGGTTGTTTCCCTGGTGGCGGTCATCCCGGTCATGGCGTTGGGCATGCTTGGACGCAGGGAGAAGCTGGCTATTAGACGCATGGGAAGCGGGAGTAGTAGTAGCAGTAGCACTCAGGCTGTGAGCGACAGTCCTACGTAATGCGGTAGCTACGATTCGTCATGATGCGTTGGGCGGGATGAGATGTTTTTACGCACGGTTAGATACCTAGATAGACGGATGGGTGGGAAGACGTGGTGTCCGGTGGGTGGGCGGCTGGGTACCTAACGGCAATATCCGAATAGGATAATCAACCTTGGGAGGGATCACGGACAAGGACTCGGATATGAACGCGGTTTTCTTTCTGCTCTCATCCTACTATATCATCTTTCCCTAGTGTGTTATTCCTGTATCTATCTATACCCGTAGTGCGAATTAAATGTATTTGCTATTACTTATTTGATTGAGATATATCGGGCTTTGATATTAAAGGCATGGGTTGTATATCTGTTTAAGTGCGTTATATATATATATATTAGGCATGTAGGCATGCTAGGGGTAACATAAACGCGATGCTGATAACTATTATAGGTAGTTTATTAGCCAGGACTCGGGGTAGTTATATAACACGATACCCGTGGGTAGGTTGGGTACCCGTTATAAACGCCATGTCCTTCATTAAGACATGCCACGAGACTTTTATAGCCGAGATACTGCTCCATCGGTCTACTTCCCCTCCCCAAGAGCCGCCTCCCAAGCAGTCCTTAGCCTCTCAAGCTCAGCCCAGCACTTCCACCCGTCCTCCTCGAACTCCTCTCTCTTCTCCTCCGTCAAGTCCTCTGCATCCCACTTGCGGCCCCGGAGCTTATGTAGGACCCCGGGGGTAGGATCGCGTCTGAGCGTCTCGCGGGTTTCTATTACGCCTTCCCAGCCCCAGCTGTCGACCTCTGATTTCTTAGGCATGACACGGCCTGACCGCGTTGTGCAGGTACCCCACTTGACACGCTCGGCGTTCAGCTCGTCGAGGGAATCCTGGTCCGCGAGCGCGAGCCAGGTCGACGCGCACGCGCCGAGGTACGGCTCGACGGGGTGCCAAGGGGAGCCGAACCAGCGTGCGAGGTACATGGCGGCGTAGTAGGCCCAGTATAGGAGCCAGTTAAGCGGGAAAAGCGGCGTGCAGACCACACCGGGGTGGGAGAGGTAGAAGCGCGGTTTTATGGGCTTGTCGGCTGTAGCGGGGGAAGAAAGGTATGAGGAAGATACCTTTTGTACGGTAGGAAGATCCTCAGTTAGGCAGAGGAGGTCTGTTATGCGCTTGCTGCTCTCATATGGGGGCCTGTATTGCCGTGCCTGGAAATCGTCGAAGCTAAGGTGTTCGCGGCCGGCGTCTATTGTACTTGTCCAGATAACTCGGCCTCGCGGTTCGTTTGGTTGCGAGCGACTCAGCAGTGGTAACAGTTCGTGTGCTAGGATATAGTGTCCGAAGACATTGGCGCAGAAAACCTCAGCTAACTCGGGCGGTGGTGTCTTCAGGTCGGTGGCCGAGTCTCCAAGTAGCTTCTTCTGGTCGAGCGTAACAGCAGGCAAAGCCTTCTTGAAGATAGGGAATGTGCAGCATTGTACGAGCCCAACTTGAAGGAATTGTTTTGCAAATAAGATCCAATCTAGACCAGACCAGCCGCCGATGCCCGCATTGAAGAGTGCGACATCGAGACGGGGTATTTTCACATCTTTAACTAAGCCAGTCGGATCGCTCACGGTACCATGCACTAATTGCTTCGCTGCGCCGTATATTGAACGAAGGTCGCATAAGTCGACCTGAATACTGAGGATGTGGACTCGAGAGATAGCGGTCTGAGGGTCGTAGTCGTGGCCTGCTCGCGACCGAAGCTGCTGGGAAGTCTTGGCCGTCTTCTTCAAGTGAGCGCGTAGGGAGAGGATGGTATCTCGAGACTTGGAAACGGAGCGTGTTGTAGGTATAAGAACAAGATGCGAGGATAGGGATCGCGAAGCGAGGAACTCGTCGATTATTCGCTGACCGGTACCAAGGCCGACGCCACTACATAGTCCTTCGTCTAAGATACAGTACTCCCGGGTGTGAATTCCCACGTGGCATAAGGAAGCGCATACCTATTAGCTCCAGTGAGCAGGACGAAGAACTGTTCGTGACTCGCGGCCCCTGCCCACGGCGGAGACGCCATCGTCGGCTAGGTACTTGGAACAATACCCTTCTTTTCCCAAGCTAGGTAAGTAGAGTCGGTAAGGTATTGGTGACCCGGCGCAAATGTATAATTGTATGCAATATGAGGTAGAAATTGGGTGATTCTGCTTGTGTCCCCCCTGCCGACACGCGGTGCGACTTGCAAATGTTAGGCAATATACACACACCAGATGAATTAAGGCGGTCAAAACGGGCGAAATCTACATACTAGATTAACGAAGGTGGAGCGATGGGCGTTCGGGATCAAGTGGAGCCCCGTAGCGTAACATCGCAAATGCGAGTGTGGTTGAGTGTGCTTCCGAGCATGATTCCATCTTACATAGAAATCGTCAGTTCATTCTACGATGTTCGGTCCAAGTTTGGGGGAATTATCGAAACGGAATGGTGCATGGAAATTTAATGATTGAAGAAGGTTCGGATGTGGTGGTACACAGTAAGCTACGTCATTTACATACATAGATACCTAGGTACCTACTTCAAGTAACACGTATGTAGGTACTAGGTATGTATTTTAGGTGTGTAACGCCAACAAACTATGTATGTAAGCATGTTTCAATCTTGCTTAGGAGTTTATTAATTGGTCATAGATATATGTAGAGTAATAAGACATACATATTAGCAGCGTACCTACATTAGATATCGGTATGATGCATGTATATATAATGTGTGTGTGAAAATAAACGCCATGTCGGCCTCGGCAGGTCAAGTGCCTAGGCGCGCATTAGGGACTAGAACGACTTACACGTGCCTAGCCTAAGAATTATCTGCGTTGTTTTATGACAGGTCTAGCCCCTACTATTTCCGACTTGACAGCTGTTTTAAAAGGTTTAGTTATTAGAAATACATATTGTTACAGTAAGGATTACATAGTGGGGAGATGAAGAGATGAACCTCGGGTGGTTATCACGATATCTATAAAATTTAAGGTTCTTCGTAGCGTAGGATCCGATCGCCAGGGACTTCTCCTTCCCTTACAGGCTTTCCGTAATGGGTAATTATCAGTATGTACATACATGTAGTATTAGTAGTATGTAGGTTACATACATAGCATTAATATTATTAGGTGGAACGTCATCTTCATCTCGCTTCTTTCGGCTTGCCTTATTATATACTTGATCACCTTTTATCTTATTTTCCCTTTCTTTCTCTCTCTCTCTCTAAATCACAACTTCATACTTCATAATCTACATTATATATATGCGCAATTGTTTGCATATTTTATATCGTGTTGCTCAACATTGTCTATATAATTAAGTCATCATCACTCGTCCCTCGTCCGGTTACACCCAAATTCCATAACATCATAGTCGAACCATCTACGTCTTGGTGTAGTATTCTATTCGACTTGATAAGACGCGAACGCGGCCACATCCGGCATTCCATAACTTTCGCTGCATCCTCATTTTAATTCTTGACATTTCAACGTTTCAACATGAACAAGCTACCAATAGACCTAGTTATGACTCGGTTCGCGCATACGCTCCAGACTGGCTTGCTGCCCGACCAAGTCTGGATGGTCATTAGCTGGATAGCCTTCTTTTTTGTGCGTCTCAATTCTATTGGCCCCTCGCTCCTCTGCATTTTACTAACAGTCGTGTTCAGAAATTAGCCAGCTTATCCTTCGCTGTCCCTATTCTATGCCTGGTCATTTTCGACTTTTGTCTTTGGATCTATCGATTGAACCAACCTCAGCCTCAGAACGCTCCACAAGCAAATCGCATTTCGCGCAAAGCTACCGGTCATAGCATTAACCCAATGTCACCCGCAAGTGACATAGGCTCCGCGACAGCTCTGGCTGCTAATTCGACTACGAGTCAGAGACGTACCGTTTACTTGGATCATGCGAGCGATTAACCCGAAAATACGTAGTCCGCCACAACAACATAATTGCGACAACCGTATATAATAAAACATATATAAACTTTTGTATCTCTTCCTCGACTACGAAATTTGGGACAGGACTTTGATCAGATCGCTGGTGACCCCCATTGCCGTCACATCTCCTCCGGCGCCAGCGCCTTGTATGATTAGAGGATTCGCGCCGTACCGTTTGGTGTAGAAACTAATGATGTTGTCGCTTCCTTTGAGGGCCGCGATCGGGTGCGATTTGTCGAACGTCTCGAGGCCGACCTTGACGGTATTTGCACCCACGTCGATACTGCCCACAAATCTTATCACTTTGCCTTGCTTTTCCGCTGCAGACTTGGTTTCCTCCATTTGAGAGTCGAACTCAGGCAACCGCTGCAAAAACTCGTCTCCACTAGCAACAGACTCCAGCTCCTTCGGGATCAGACTCTGTACGGGGAATGATGTGGGGGATTCGACAGGGAGACCCGCCAATCGGGCAAGTATTGTCAGCTTCCTCGCCACATCAAGTCCGTTTAGATCGTCCCGAGGGTCTGGTTCTGTGTAACCCAATTCCTTCGCTCGCTTGACCTCGGCAGACCATTGGCCACCAGAACCCTCGACCGGAGCAAAAGAGTTGAAGAGGAAGGACATTGTACCGCTAAATACACCTTCAATCTTAGTCACCTCGTCGCCTGTCTCTACAAGGTCCTTGAGCGTCGAGATGACAGGCAGGCCAGCTCCGACGGAGGATTCGTGGTAGACCTTAGCTCCAGACGTAGCAGCAGCAGTGAATATACCCTGCCATAACTTATACGAGCCCGAAAAGGCCTTCTTGTTGGGTGTGACGATGCTGATACCACGGCTTAAAAAGAGGGGATAGGTATCCGCGACGTCTTGGGAACTAGTATTGTCCACAAGAATGACCTTCGATGGTGCCGCAGCCAAGTAATCGACCACCTGGGGCAAATTCAGCGGCGACTTAGTCGAGGCGGCGAGTTCTTGGAGGACGTTCTCGGTGGCTACGGAGTAGTTGTCATTGAAGAGAGCCTTCTTGCTAGTCGAAATATAGCAGAGATCCAGCTTAGGGGTCGGTCGTCTTTTGGACAAAGCCTCGAATTGGGAAAGGAAACATTTGCCAACCCCTCCAGCACCTTTACATAAATAGTAAATGTATTAGCCAATCGAATCACTAATTATTCAAACATGTTTCTTAGTTCGTAACATACCGATGATAGCAACAAAGACTTTATTAGTTGCCGCCATATTGTGAGTAGAATACTTAGGTAGATAGGTAGGTAGTCAATAGTTGTATTTTGCAAGCTTTCAATGGTAAGGACGTGGGGTAATTTTATGTAGACACAAGGCCGATCCCGGGTTTCGCGGGGCATTTGAGGGCCTGAAAATTCAGTGGACTTAAGTGGAGCAATTGAACATAAAGCCTTGTCGGAAACTGCTATTCAGCTTGGGCATAGGTACCTAAGGAGGTACTTTACCACCTTACCTAACATTAGAGGTACAATACAATACCTAAAGCTGGCGCCATCCCGCTTCACCAAACGGCATTAGCTATTACAACATTCAATCTTTCATATCCCGATTGCCACAACCCGACCTGCGAAACTACCTTACTTCACTTGCTTTTGCACGCAATCCCCGTTCAAAATGCCACAAGATCCAAATCTCTACGGGCAACGGCCCGCCAAGCGGCAAAAGAAGGAGATGCCACTTTCGAGCTCTCTGGACTTTGCTTCTCAACTGACATCCCTCCTCTCAACGTCCGCCTCCGACCCATCATCAGCGTCATCCTCCGCAGTAGCGTTCGGCCGCGCCCGCCCTTCTAAAAACAAAGACGACATCTTCTCCGTCAAGGCAAAACGGAAAACGGGCACCTCCACCTCCACTGCAGAAAAAGACGGTAAAGATGGCGCGAGAATCCAGCTCAAAGAGGTCCGCGGCACCGAAGACGAGAAACAAGACCTTGCGCGTGCGCGCCGCAAGATGGAAGAGAAAGCGCGGCTGTATGCCGCCATGAAGCGTGGGGATTACATCGCGAAGGAAGGCGAGGCCGCGCCCCTCGTCGACTTCGATCGCAAGTGGGCGGAGCGGCATCCCGAGGACGCTGACAATAACAACAACGACAACACGTACTCGAGCTCCGGGACAGACGACTCGGATGCTGACGATGCCGACCAAGAGATGGTCGAGTTCAAAGACGAATTCGGCCGCACCCGCCGCGCCACCCGCGCCGAAGCAGCACGCTACGAGCGGCGGCAGCACCGCAGCGCGCTGGGCGCCGCAGAGCTAGAAAGCATGGCGGCGAAACCCACCAAGGCGCCCGAGCGCCTGATCTTCGGAGACGTGATCCAGTCGGGCGCGTTCAACCCCGAGGACGACACGCGGGACAAGATGCAGCATCTAGCCGCGAAGCGGGACAAGTCGCCAACCCCGCCCCCCGACACGCATTTCGACGGGCGCGCCGAGATCCGCACAAAAGGCGTGGGTTTCTACCAGTTCAGCCGCGACGCGGAGGCGCGCGGGGCCGAGATGGACGCGCTGGAGCGCGAGCGGGAGAATACCGCGCGCGTGCGGCACGAGAGGGAGGAGCACAAGGACAGGCGGAGGAGGGAGATCGAGGAGCGCAGGAGGAAGATTGGGGCGAGGCGCGCGGAGAAGATGGCGGAGAGCTTTTTGGATGGGCTGGCGGGGGAGATGGGGACGTCTGGTGCTGGTGGCAAGGGGAAGGACTCTGAGGAGGAGACGCAGAAGAGCACCGGTTCGTGATTGTTGGTTGGCATCGATGCTGGCGCGAAGGGTTGCTTTCTTCCACTAGTTACTATTACGAGAATACACCTTTTCTTTCGTGGCTATAGGTGGCTAACGCAATAGCCACAAGAAAGGTAGGTATATGTTGTGGGAGAGTGAAGAGTGGTTTAAGATTAGGAATTTGAATGAATATATGATACCCCCTTTTTACCATACCTACCTAGGTTAGGTACCTAGGTCAGGTCCCTAAGGCGGCGTTGACAAATGGGCGGAAACGTATAGGAACACCAATAGTTAGAATTCTTATAATAACTGGAGGGGGAATATGAGTATGATGCTATTCAAATATAAATTTAATACCTTTATGTTTAATTATAGTTAAGTAACATCGTGATATATGTATGTAACCTAGTCTAGTAGGCCGAAGGGACGTTATACCACTCGGTAGTTATATCCGCTCTGATAAGAGGTTAGTCACATCATTCTCTAACATGTACTAATAGCATCAATGTTGTCTATACATATCGTATTATACGTGTATTCCTAGTTAGTCCGTCTGATTAGAGCATCCTTTCCCAAATCTCGTGCCTGGTCGTAGTAATAAACACGCCTAGCATATAATATTCGTACATTATCCTTATTCCCTCTATAATAGTATATAAATCAAGTGGTTATACCATATATAGGTACATATTATTAACATTTGACCTTATCAACCTAGCCTAGTTTAACAAACATAATCCACGGGGTTAAAGTTTCCTAATCTAGTAATGTTCGTACCAGGTATCAAGATAGACGTACTACATGACTATAACTATATAGTATAATATATATATATGGTAGATATTTATGTGATGTGAAATACCGCTCTCCTATCAACAGCCGCAGCCAAGGAAACGTATCTCTCTCTCATCGTCGTGTATCCAACAACGCCGTAGCCCAAAAATGCGCCCGCAAATAATAGGTATAGGGTCGACGGAGAAGCGGGAATCGAAGTCGCCCGCTAATTTTCCCCTGGAAGCCAATAATACAAGTACCGTCTGCCGCATAAGCGAAGTTCCCCTGAACGCCGAAATGTATATGCGCCCTCTTCCCAGATAATCATGCTATATACAATAGGTTTTCGTTCTCTTCGCTTTGAGCCGCCCAAAGAGTGAGAAATGAAAATGATGACACCGCATACAATCCCGGCCGTTCAGGAGAGCCACCACATACAGCCGCAATCACTCATATCGCTCCCCACCACACCAGCGCGACCTCCTAGATGGCGCCCCACAACTTCGTCCTTCGAGGCTCCTGGTCCAACCCCTCCTTCGTCCTCATTAATGATGATATCGACTGTCTTTCCATCTACTTTTATTGCTTCCGCCTCTTTGTTCTCGTTTATCTGAAACTGGCGGCACCAGGGCTTAGCCGCTGACGGGTCGGCATAACGATGCTCCTCGACCTTGATGACTCGCGGGTATACGGGTGGGTAATTTGGGGGTATGGGAATGTCTTGGTCAGATATGCTACTAGACGTAGCAGTCGAGGAAGTATCGGTTGGGTTCGGAATGCTATTAGAGACCGTGGTAGTCGCATGGCGATCTTGGGGTGAGCCAAAAGGAATATCCGAAGGCCTTAAACTGCCGCCGTTGTCAACACCTCCAGGAGGTCCAGTAACAGCCGCGCTGGGTATCGTAGTTGGCCCAGTGGTTATGTCCCCAGTCGTTACAGGCAGTGGAGAACCTAGCAGCGGTCCAATACTGTTGTTTTGATTTGCGTAGATAAAAGCCTCCAAGATGGTGTTGTCCCAATGGCAAATCCATATGCGGTCTCCGGTTTGGGCACCATTACGATTGAAACCACCGCCATACAGCGTCCGACGACGGCGAGCAGCAGGCGTGGAAGAGGAGGAGCTAGCTGACAAGGCCTGATCAGGAATAATGACAGTTTTATTGTAGGCAACCTCGAAATTCCACGCCGGACCTCGAGTGCTTTCGTGAATATCATTAACAAGCTTCAGTCGCACGTCAGCTAATTCAGGCGGCTGCATCCCCCAAAGATACACGTTGTTTTTCAAAGTCGCGCTATCATTATAAGAGAACCCTAGTAAGTAGTTAGATGTTTCCGGTTGACCAGGTAGTCTCTTAATGTCCATGCCAAGCTGGAAGAAAAAGAGGTCGCAGTTCCATGCTTGAGCTAATGTCGAGTCACTAAAGCAGGTATTAGACATTCGATTGTTCCGGAGAGGCAAGGAAAAATGTCCTTCTTGTAGGGGTAGTAAATCTGACGGCAGGGTACTGAGAGGTTGTGTGTCCCAGTTGCCCGTATTTACTACTGGTAAAGGCGGCCTAGTCATCAGTTTAGCATTCAAAATCCAAAGAGCATCAAACAGTAGGAAGTTCTTACCCATCCTTATGCGATTTATCTTTCGAGTCGGGACGAAGGAGAGTCCCAATGACAGCACCGAGTATTACTCCCATCAAAACGAGAACGACGGCAGCCAGGACAATGGCCCAGCAAGGAACAATCCCCCAAACCCTCCTTTTCGCGGTTACTTGCCAGTCCTTTGGCAATCTTTTCTCGTCTTCAGCTTCTTTATTAGTCGTAACAGCAGCATTTAATTCATTCTGGCTGGTTTCGGATGTAAAACTCCTAATAGATTGTCTAGATTGGGGCGAGGATAATGCGCCTAGATCCTCAGTAGACGCGAATTCGGGATTTCGAGTAGCTATCCCGATACCTCCAGCACCCGGGATGGCCAACATTGGCTGGACAGGCGCTGGCTGAGGCGTTTCTACGCCTAACGCCTTTCTAGTATACGCTTCTTCCGGATATCTCGTGTAAGGAGGCAGCTGTTCCGTATGACCATCAGGACCAATCAGATCAGCCACGTCCTCTCCATCTGGACCAATTCTTCTTTGGTAGTTGTCCGCTGCTCCAGGGAACCCGACATTAATTTCCGCCTGTACCGGCCCGCTGGACATTCCACCGGTTTCAGGTACGGTATTCTGCGGATACATGCCGTACGGATGCGCCGGCCCGCGAGGCCCGTTGTACGACCGCTCAGAGATTGGTACCGTCGACGTTGTCGCCAGACTAGCCGTCCGTGCCACTCGAACATCCTGCGGATACATCTGGTACGGGTGAGAAGGACCAGACGGGCCATCGTACGGGTCTTCGGAATCAACAAACTGCGATGCGGTAGAACCGCTCGAAATTCTACTTAGAGAAGCTCTGCTTAGAGATCTACTATCCGACTCAGAAGACGACCCATCGTGTTGCAAAGCCAGAGATTCGCTCCTCCCATGCGGCTTTGTAATACTCGATGGGCGTGGCGGCGGTATTTGTGTCATCGGCACATCTTGCAGCGCCGTCACAGGTCTCGGAGTTTGAATGATTGTCGCATCTACCGGGCGAAACCCATCGGCAACTATCATGGCCTGCAAGTCATAGTCATCATCGTCCCTTTGCGAGGTAGAAATCCTCACCGAGGTTCGAAGCGACGAGACGCGGTTTAATTCGGAGGATTTGTTGTCCTCAAAGGCCCCCATTGCCGGCGGTAATTCCAGGGGATTGCAGTTTTACGCGCGAAGAATGGGCAAAGATGCCAGTGCAGCATCAGAAGCACGGCGATCGACGATCCTGGGCCCAGAAGATCATCGGGCAGACTGACGAAAAAAAAAAAGCGTGCCGGGTTGTTTGGTGATGATATTTTTCGCTCGTGTCTAGTTCTTGTCGAGTCCGGTCGATCGAGAATCCCAATTGCAAGTTGTCCGTTGTAGACAAATGAATAAAACCCCCAGCCCAGCAAGTAGAAAACAGCCGTTTCTAGTGGGAGTGGCTAGTGTATTTTACAGGTTCGGCACAGGGAATCCCAGTACATAGCCCCAGCACGAATCAGGGGCCAATGCTTGGACTAGCGGGTTTCGGACTTTTAAGAGGGGGGGGGCAAGCCTAAGCAAAAACAATGCCGTACCCTCTAACCTAGGGAATTATTGCCAACCTAAATCCTCATTGGCCCGTACCTACCTAATATACCTAATATACCTAATATAGATATATGTAATGTACATGTACGTACCGTATATGTGAATATATCGTATAATATTTCTAGCGTAGTACGGATCCGTAACCTAGTGTATTGTACACTTCCAAGTTTTTACATGCACAAGTGCCTTACATGCCATGTCTACCCTCAGGTAGGATGATCTGGATAAGATAGTACATAGTAGGGACTGGGTTAGTAGGGACTGTGGACCGATAAAAGGAAGGATAGGGTTGCTTTCGATGCCGTCCACAGATAGTATTCTTACTACTACTCACATACATACCTATGACACCCACGACTGCACGATCTTCGCCTTTCTCACAGCCAGCATGCCTAGGTACCTATACCAACTAGTTTGTCTATACCAACTAATTTGCAGGTGTAAGTTTGTAGGGTAGTGGTTTGGAACTTGCTGAGCAGCGCTGAAAATGATTGGGTTGGTTAGCAGGTCCATCGGCTGGTCTCGCCCCATGTGCGCTTCCCTCCTCACCCTCATCAGGGCACCATTTGATCTCTTGGCGATGACACTTTAGGTTATTGTTAAATGTGCGAAGGCAGGGAGGACAAAGGGCCGCGGAGAGAGTTCGAGATCCGTGTCATTATCAATAGTCCCAGCACAATAGTCCCAGCAATGGCCCTGTCGACATCATCCCTTGAAGGTTAGGGCCGTGGGCCGTGGGCCGTGGGATTTCATTGACAGATCATAGCGTACTTGAGAGGTTTTACGCCCCTCGGATCTAGACATGTCATCCGTCGGAATTCACCATGTTGCTGTCAGATGGCATCAGAACGATTTCATGTCCAAGTAATTAAAAATGGCCTGTATCGACGATAATATATGCCGGAGACACATATTCGCTACATCCAGTTAAGCCTATTTTGTGTTGCGAGAATATTCCCGGAAGACGGACGGCACGAGGCCAGGCGTAGAATAATGAAGAATTGAAAATGCGAGGGGCGTGCGGATAAAAGTCTCGGTTGGGTGCAGACTAAGGTATTATCAATACAGCCGGTTCGATATAGTCTTCTAGCGTTCCAGACGAAATGGAGCCAAACATGTTAGACCTTTTTACGCTTGTCCTCTTTATTCTAATTATTTAAATCTTGCTCGTGGCAAAAAAATCCACGTGTAACGGCCAATGCGATTCGCTCGGGACTTTCCATCGAGTCGCTGCTCTTATATTCCGTACAGCAATATATATTCATCGTACAAGTGCTTTCCTTTGTTTCCCTTGTTTTACCAGGCACCAACTACACCTGACGATAAAGAAATAAACTCTAAATGCCTGTTAGGTAGGACAGGAAGCTTCATACATGTACAATACGAATCCATGGTTGATGCAGGTGAGCGGCGATCCGGCACTTACTTCCCTAGAGGCGGGTCAAACGTGTTTAGGCGCCTACTATGCACTAATGTGTACTAGGTAACTTGCCTAACTTGCATTACAGAAAATCAAAGCAGGAACGCTCGGTGAGTATTAAGTTTCTGTATGTATTGGGGCAGTTTGTAGATAGATACATGTAGATATATCAGGTACCTGTCTACCTCATGTATGTAAATGTAAGTCTACACTCAAGTCATGTGAAAACTTGTAGCTAATAAGAAAAATACCTACGCATACACTATACATACCTCACTATATTACCCTTACTACGTAGAATGCATCATAGGTCACTTTGATGGAGTGGGAGGAGACTTAGAAGCCAACTCATGAGGAACACTAAATCAAGATCAGGAACAATATATCGATCTCCTTGTGTACACGGCATTTTGATTCCTGTACGGAATAGGAAGGGAACCCGATGTATTAAAGTTTCCCTTAAACCATGCTAATCTAGGTACCTTCCGTGTTTAGTTGTACTTTCGTAGTTGAATATACCCGGACTTCGAATATGCACCATTTCTAATGTCCTGTGCATGTGGCTGCAGTTCACAAATCCTCCACCAATAAGTTTTATTCCTACTTATTCCTACTGCACCTGCTAACTATCAAACGATTTTCAATGATGTTTAGTCGTGCGCGTTCACAATAAGTCATGATTATTAAGTGTCTGCCTTTAGACATGACAAGATCTATATTTGGCCAGATAAGGTTTATGTAATCCAATGTAATTCTCGACAAATCGACGTTGATTCGTAACGCCCAGCTGAGATACCAAGGATACGATGCTTATGGTTGGTTACATGCTTTGAGCCTTACGTTGCTTGACCACCATTCAGCCCATAGCGCCACGAATCTCTATTATCAGACATCACTTATAGCATGGGAGCGCCTCAGGACGACTCGTCGATTACCCCGACGACGATATCCTTCGGGAAACAAATCCGTCAGGCTCACTTTAACTTTGCTCCCTCGTACACCCCGCTGAATCACGGATCCTTTGGGTCTTCTCCCTCGAATGTTCGAGAGCATCAGCGGCGGCTGCAACGTGAAACCGAGGCGAGGCCAGATACATTCATACGCTTCGAATATCCTAGACTCCTACGGGAAGCAAGAGAAGCCGTTGCCCCGCTGTTGGGAGCAGAGACCGACGAAGTGGTTTTTGTTCCTAACGCATTAACGGCAATCAATACCGTCCTAAGGAATTTGACGTATCGCGGTGGCGACGTCATAGTATATTTTAGTACGATATATGACGCATGTCACAAGACTATTCAGTCTCTAGAGGAGACTACTAGAGTTAGAGGACATTGCGTCGAGTTAGTGTACCCGGTTGAGGATAATGAAATCCTCGATAAGTTCCGCTCCGCAATCATCGAGGTCCGGAGCCAAGGCAAGTCGGTTAAACTGGCTCTGTTTGATACTATCCTCACCTTCCCGGGAGTGCGTTTTCCGTGGGAAAGTCTGGTACCTATATGTAGAGAATATGGGATTCTAAGTTGTATAGATGGTGCACATGGGATAGGTCACATCGATTTGCGACACGCCTCTCAAGTCGGACCAGATTTCTTCATTACCAACTGCTACAAGTGAGTTTGTTCTTATCTTAGTTCCTGTCCTATCTGCTTTTACACTTCCCTCGAATCATCCCTCGAATCACGTAATTACTACCTATCAACCCCAAGACCTCCCGCAAGCTGAGTTTATACAGGTGGCTTATGGTGCCTCGTGGGTGCACGGTGCTCTACGTACCATATCGTAATCAAGCTCTGATTAGGACGACCTACCCAACCGGTGAAGGTTATCAGCCAGCTGAGCACCGCGTGGAGATGTCCGAAAGGGCCTATTTTGTCAAATTGTTTGAGAAGGTGTCTACGGTAGACACTACTCCGTATATATGTGTGACAGAAGCGCTCAAGTTTAGAAACCAAGTTTGCGGCGGCGAGGAGAAGGTGCGCAACTATAGCGTGAATTTAGCAAAAGATGGCGGCGAGTTGATGGCAGCAATCATGGGAACGGAAGTCCTCGAGAACCGAGCAGGGACACTTCGAGATTGCTTCTTTACTAACGTGAGACTACCCTTGGACGTAGTAACAGAAGAGTCGCAAGAGCATCAGACAGGTAAGGTTCTAGCTCGAGACGGACAGGCAGTAGCCGATTGGATTACGAAGACGACCGTTGAAGAGTATGAGACTTTCATAGCGACGAGATATTACGCCGGCGCGTTTTGGGTTAGGATTTCTAGTCAGATTTACCTTGACCGCGCGGATTTCGAATGGGCTGCTAATGTGTTGCTTGAACTTTGCGGCCGTGTGAGAAAAGGTATACGGCCGTCGAAGCAGAACACTATGGTTGATATGATTGTGGCCTAATAATAGCCAACAGGAGAGAGAGCCGCTATAATGGTGGCGTATGCAGGTTCTGCAGGTATACTGAGATGTCCAAATTGGGCGCCACGGTGAGGTTAGGAGTTGTGTTACCAATTAATCCGAATGGCTGATGGAGCTTGTTTATTTACACTCAAATTTTTTCTCGTCGATGAATGAAGATCATGAAGATCATGAAGATAATCCCGTGTGTAAGTGAGTGAGCTGTAGGTGGCGTGGGGGAATGGGGGAATACGATATCAGATATCATTACTCTCATTTCGTTTTGTTAGCCATCCAGCCTTTCGTCATTTAAGGAGTCATGGCTCGAAATAAATGCCGCCAATGTCGTGGCTTGATTGACATGTCAATTTGGAGGGGGTCCAGTCTGCCAGTCTGCCAGTCCAAGCCTGTTCGGAACTTCTGAAATGATGCGCATACATACATACATTCATACATACATTCATGTAAGTAAGATGAGGCAAGCTTCACTTTTCCTCTTCTTCTCGTGTAAGTAAGCCATGCTATTACATGTGCTATTACATACATACCTACTCTTATACTACACACCCTCCCATCATCGTGAAGTCTCCCATGCATCGCCAACTGCACCCCAGAAGTCCAAAAAAGCTACCCTACCTTGGTGTTTTCGGAACATTTTTTAATTTTTTTTAATTACCAATCATTCCGGGCTGATGTAAATCAGGGCTGGCTGCGTCGTCGTCGTCGTCCCCCGTCCCCTCCCTTCCCGTTTTTACCTATTAGGTATCTTCTACCCGCTCGCTCGGGCGTAGGCAATAGGATTCCTTCTATTATACCTAGGTACATGGTAGGACTCTAGAACTGGATTAGGAATTAGTCCGCGGGGGAGAAGGGGAAGGGGGGGGTTTATTCCCCTACCTAGGTTTCCCCGGAATCCTACCTCGCGAGCCGGGCGGGTTGAGGCTCCGTCCGTTAGTGGCCTGGGGGGTCTGGACCTGGGTCTGGCGTGTAGATGTTGCATTTATTTATTCATTCACTTGTTCATTCCATTCGCATTTCATTCATGTGTGGGTTTTTTTTCCGGCTGCTGCTGCTGCCGCACACCACAGAACCCTGAATTCTCGACCCAAGAAACGGGGCGGATTGGCATTCTCGCGTCCTGGTTCGCCAGCGTGGCCGAAGTTCGTTTAGGTGTAGCCATGTGTGTAAGTACCTAGCATATGTATGCAACGCAGACGCAGCACACACCCATCGTCCCATCGTCCCATCATCGCCTCCGTAGGGAGAAACAGGGCAGGGTGCTGACTGGTCTCGAAGCAACGACGAGGCTGCTGCTTGTCTGTTGTCCTAGACGTCACAAAACAAAACAACAAATTCCTGCAACGCTTTTCCACTGCAATCTTTTGTCCTGCTATGTATTGGAAACATCAGACTTGCCTGTTTGGAATCCGTCTGCAGCTACCTAGCGGGTTTCCTGCCAACTCCCGTCGAATCGATCTCTGTGTTCACCGTGGCTGACCACCCCCCACCAATCCCCAACGGCGGCGTATAGCAAATGCATAATGTGCAGGGAAGACGTCGCCCGAGCACACGAACACAGTCCTGATAGGCAGGACTGCCTGGGAGCCTCTTGGGGAGAGTCGTCCTTTTTTTTTTTTTTTTCACATTACGTAGTGTACCTAGAATCTAGATAGACGTAGCACACACATATATACCTACTTCTTATTTACTTAGTTACTTACTTTGCACAGTCCTAGATTTTATTTAATAGTGTTTTTATACCGCCCTCTGTAGCCTGGCCGGCCCCCTATACATACAAAGCAGGCTTCCCCATCCCCGGACTTCCTCGCCTCGTTTTTTCTTCACTTCTATGATATACGGGTGACTGCCACTCGCTCTTATAGAGGCTAGGTGGTAATACCAAACCAAACCAAACCGTACCGTACCTTATCTTGACTCAACTTATATCTCCCTTCGTTACAGGGTCGACCCTTGTTGTCTAAGACACTCAGGGCAAGCCAAGCAAGCAAGCAAGCAAGGCTGTTAGCAGTGGCTTCGCCCCCAAACATTCGACCTCCAGCGTTTCTTCTTCCAGACATAAAAGGAAGCTTGCACCCCCCCCCCCCCCCCACCATGAACCAGCGCCCAGAACTACGACGGAGCGGGTCCTTCGACTCGGACACGTCCTTGTTCTACTCGGTGCGCTCGGGAGATTCGGCGTACTCGGTCTGGTCGTCTTCCGAGTCCGACTCCTTCGTCTGGAGGGACGACCCCTTGGGGTTCTACGGGGTCGGCGGGGCCGTTACGCGGTACGTCGACGACCGTGACGACCAGCGCAAACGGTTCGCCGCGCACGTTTTGAGCGGGCCCTTTGCCCAGTTCTACAAGAAGAAGCGACACGCGAGCTCTCACGCTGCTCGGCCGGGTCGCAGCACGCACAGCTCGCGCTCCAGCTCGCGCTCCAGCACAAACAGTGTTAGTCCAGGAAGAGGCCACCATCACGAGCCCCGCTTCCAACCGCGGCCTCCTAGCGCCGGGCCTCAGTACCATCAGGAGCAGTTTCACGAGGAGCAGTTCCAAGAAGAGCATTTCCACGAGGCACCCTTCCACCAGCCGCCTTTCCATCCAGGTTTCCACGGAGGACCACCCCCTCCCCCGCCGCCACCACCACCCGCTGCTGCACCCGCCGGGTTCGAAGGCGGCTTCATCCAGCTCGGCGGTCCCGGCGGTCCCAGCGGTCCACCACCGCCACCTCCAGACCCAGTCTGGGGCAACGACGCAGGCTACGGGCCCGGAGTACACGTTTACGATTAATGACTATGACGACCAAGTGTTGTGACGTGGAACACCTCTACTGTAATGTTCACGTATGACCAGGAGGATCTCATGACTGCACGGAATGGACAAGACGGGTTCTATTTTATTATATTCAGCGGTCTTTGGGTGGATGTTTGTTTGTTTATTTGTCTGTCTGGGGGTGTACGGCGTTTACGAGGGCTTCGTATTGGGAGAGAAGATGTATATGTTCTTGAGCAGCATGCCAGCCAACCAGTTCTGCGACGAATCGCAGAGAAAAACAACAGTGAGCAGTCACGAGGACGAAGTCGTTCCTTGCAAATGAATATACCTAATCAGCTAGGTTAAGAGGCAGAAAGAGTAATGATCCATCCATTCAGGTACCCAGCACACGGATGGATGGTCGGCGGGTAGCGGGTAGCGGGTAGCGGGTAGCGGGCAGTTCAATCTTGGCCTTGGATAATGATAGGTAGCAAAATCCAATATTTTGTCGACTCCACTGCGTAGCGAATGTCATAGCGAATGCCATCGCAGCAGTAGCGATATGCCAGTTGTCACTTCAAAAGACGAGCTATGTACACTATGAAGCAGCCTTGCTGGGCTACCCTGACAGGACGGGCATGGTTGCATAAGATTTAATGGAGCTCGCATGGATCCGTTGGAGAAGGCGATGTTCAGGTTTCCATATGTATAGGAAGGATCGTGGGCTTACTGGCTTACTGGCTTACTATTTAACACGGACCTGAACTAGAGTCTCTAAACCTATGATTAGCGTATAAGAGACAGGCCACGAAAGTGAAAGCGACAGATGAGACTTAGCTGACTGCATTAGAATTCCGTATAAGTATAATCTCAACCATTAATTTCAGGCATCCATCATAAAATATAAAATAATGAAAGAGACGCTGCTTGCTTACCACATGTATGTTTCGGTGACAGCAAAGAGCAAAGCTACAAAGCTACAAAGCTACAAAGCTACAAAGCTACAAAGCTACAAAGCTTACGTACCTTAGCTGCTCAGGTAGATTACCTCAAATGCGTCAGAACGAATTAGCGTCCTTAGCTCGGGCTGAGTATTCGGCAGGTGAAAACCTAAGCCACGCTTACAGGTCACCAGGATGTCCAAGACTATTTAGTGGAGATATTACTTAAAGCAATTAATAAATATTAAAACACTCGAAATATTATGGCAAAATACAAACCTATTCGAATATTCTAGCTTAGTCTTTACTTAAACAGGTAATTTTAAGTGGCAAAAGTTACCTAAACATCACGAGATATATTTACAATTGTATTTTGCTATAATATTTTGAGTGTTTTAATACTTCTCTCCTTTAAGTAACATCTCCACTAAATAGTGTTGGACATCCTGGTGACCTGTATGCTTCCCATTCTGCCCCCATTCTGCCACGCTCCTCCGTAGTCCGCGGCTTAGTCCCGTCCGTCTCTTAATAATTTAATCATTACCTACCTACTAGGCAGCCGACCCCGCAAACAAGGCAGATAGCCACCGTATGCCGCCGACCTTCTGGTTGCCTCCCGAAGTCTCAGAGCCTACTTACATATTCGCTTTTATGGGTCTTATGACTTATACGCCATGCATCATACCTTGATGCGTGCATACTACCTCACACTTGTACCTCTTGCAGATAATATCTGATCATTATGGCTAGTAAAAGTGGGTGTCAACGGCCATGTGACATGTTGAGGCTCAAGTCGAGTGTGAGCCGAGTTCGAATCGGCCAACAATTGGATACTTAGGTAGGTAGGTATGTAACGGCAACCCCGATCTACAAGCCATCTCCAGGCTTAGGTGCCTTAGTAGTCTGACATCACCCTCTTATTTGTTGCATATACAAAGTTGATGTTGTCGTTCAATATAGTGCGCCACCTTTTCCAACACTACTCTCTTCTTTGTCTAACCTACCTTGTACAAGAGTGGCAGGTGGGTCTTACACCATCCAGTCATACGGCTATTCGCATCCATGGTTGGCTTTATGCAGGTCAACAGACACCGAACAATTAACGCTACTGTCTGGCTCAACCAATAAACTGTTGTCTTGATGGTTATGGGACCCTCTCCCTCTTTCTCGTAGAGTTGGGTCGGTATTGGGACGTGGATAGCATGATGCTATGCATGTATAGATTGCTGGTAATTTGTCTGTAGTTGCCTGAGCCTTTTTGAATATGTGAGATAGATATAAATATCCATTGCTGCCATTCAGTTGAAAAAAAAATACGAATCACACCTCCTAGCAACAGTACCCAATACAAAGTGAATCCTTTATGATCCGGGGCAAACGGACGTAACTTCGAACTGAAATCCGAACTTATTATCTCCTATAATCTTGTCAGCCTCAAAATTCTTACATATCTTCAGTGGCTGGGTGTTACCGCCAGGCCTCTTGTTAGCCGTCATGGCAACTCCTCGGGTGTCTCCTCCTTGGACCAATGAGTCCGCCGGTCCAACTGACGCTCCTGGGACCTCACAATCACCTCAGCTAGCGATGCTCGACTTATTCTTTCCGGGATTCTCTGTCCTTGTCGGCGCGGTACAGAAGTACAATCAGTGGATAAAAAAACCGCATACCCAATTCCATTTTTAGCCTTTTTCGAAAAATCTAACTTTATTATTTAAAATAACTTTATTTTCAAACGATAGTTTATACCCCAAAACGCAATTAAAAAAATTTATAGAAAACATATAATACCTCACACGAAAAATAAAGTATAAACACAACTTTAAACGGATTAAAAATCTATAGAAATAGCAAGAATCAAAAAACTTCTTATATTTACTTACCATATAATTAAGAAATGTTTTTTTTATTAAGATTGGGATATCTCTCCGCTTAGCTATAGTTGCCCGAAAATAATAAATAAATATAATAAAAAATAATTATTAGTTAATATTGTTAAAAATCCTTTTATATCACTTAATTTATTAAAAAAAAGTATTATTTAACCTGTTTATTAAGGATTATTAATTGATTTTTAATTAATAAAAATATATTATATACTTTTGTTATAATAAAGTTATATTTATTAAAAGAATATATTAAAGTTAAGTATAAATGGATTGAACAAGACTTAGACGTCTTGGCCTTGGATCAAGCCCTATTAAACCTGATATCAAGGACTTTTAGATGGTGGTGATGAAGAAGGAAAGGAATGACTTGTATTAAAAGTGGATGATACTATGTAAAATGGGTGTGTGCGACCATAAATGGTACTTATACTAAGAATATGATCACATGATCAGGGTCAAGGTCACCTGATACACCAGCACCAGTTCAGGATTTATAAAAATTATAATAAGTTATTTAATTATTAATAATAAGTTTTATTTATAAATAAGGTTATAATTAAACGTGGTTAAGGTTTATGTTAAAAGTAAGTTTTTAAATTTAAAGGTAAATTGATTTTTTTTAAATATTTTATAATTTTAACAATTAATTGTATAATTAATTTTTAATCGTTTTTTTTAAATTAAATTTATTAATTATAAATTTAAAATATATATAAGTTTATTATAAAAAAATTCGATATTTTAAGATGTTTTAAAGTGTAATTTACTATAAAATAAAAAGTAATATTATAATCCTTAACGGGGATTTTAAGGTATTTAAAAGTGGCGTTATATTTGTTATTTATTAAAATATTTTCGAAAATAATTTATTATGGCTATTAAAGTTTAATATTGTTTTTATATACAATAATACGCTTATTTATACTTTATAGTTATTAAAAGATTGGTTTAAAGATTTTAGGTTTTTTATTTTAAAATAGTTTTTTTATAACCCCGATTTAAATTTTATTAAGAATTTATAAACTTAGTTAAAATAAAAGATTAATAAGTAATACCTTAAATTAAAAGCCTTTTTAAAGATTAATAAAGCTTTAATTAAATTAATTAAAACTATTAAAAGATATTAAGTCGACGTTTTTTAAAATATAATAAATAATTTAATAGATTTAATGTTTAACCAAATCAAAGTTATTATTAAAGTTAAAGACTAATATATAAAATATTAAAAAATATATTTATATACTATTATTATTTAACTATTTACATATAAAATTTTAATTAATTTAAATACATTATTATTAAATTATAAATAAATTAAATAAATAAATAATATTATAAATATTAATAATTTTAATAGGACATGAGGTTTTTTTGTCTACTAATTATACCTTCACATCGACCTTAACTTATATATTCTACTATTGTTTATTATAGGCGCCTTAATACTTGTATGGAACTACATAAGTTCATATTTGTGGGAGCAAGTTGAATCTCATCTTTTGTCTGTCGTCGACATCCGAACCAATGACGAGATCTACAGTATCTTTATGGCCTGGGTGGCCAAGCAGAGATTCTCGCGGAGTACCCGGCGATTCGTAGTGAACACCAACTTCAACTCCCGAAACTGGTTTTTGTGGTACGATTACGAAGATGAGGAGGATGAAGAAGATATCGATGAAGTAATAAATGCAGGAAAGAAGAAGGGCTTAGCATACACGCCTTCCTTTGGTAACCACTACTTCTGGTATCGCGGCCGCCTCCTCCTGTTCCGCAGGACAGAAAACAGAGAGCGGAACTCTTTCATGCCTGTTAGCGAACGTGAGGAGATATCGATCTCATGCTTTGGTCGAAACCCCTGGATTCTAAAAGACCTTCTCCTGGAGGCTCGCCAACTATACCTGCAGAAGGATGAGCGAAAGACCCAGATCTACCGCGGAACGCTTAAGCCAGGATCTACCGCGCCAACCTGGCAGAGGTGTATGTCTCGTGCTTCTCGTCCCTTTTCGACAGTGATCCTGAACGAAAGGACGAAGCAAAACCTTATTGATGATGTTACCGACTATCTCCATCCCGCAACGCAGCGTTGGTACGCAAATAGAGGCATCCCATACCGCCGTGGCTACTTGCTGTACGGTCCTCCTGGCACGGGAAAGAGCTCGCTCAGCCTCGCCCTAGCCGGCTTTTTCAAGATGAGGATTTACATCGTTAGTCTAAGCTCTATCACATCAAACGAGGAGAGTCTCGCGTCTCTGTTTGCTGAGCTTCCTCGTCGCTGTGTGGTGCTCCTCGAGGATATCGATACAGCAGGTCTTACCCATACTCGCGATGAAAACCAGAACCAGTCTAGGGACGATTCGGAAAATATGGTCCCCGGTCAACTTACTACGGGAAATACAAACAATAGCAATGGTAGACTCTCCTTATCGGGACTACTCAACATCCTGGATGGTGTGGCGTCTCAGGAAGGCCGCGTGTTGATTATGACTACCAACCACCTCGAAAAGTTGGATAAGGCATTAATCCGCCCTGGACGTGTTGACATGATCGTGAAATTTGGTTTAGCAGACGAAGGAATGACTTCGGCCATTTTCCGCGCCATCTTTGCACGTCTAGATGGTGATGAGGGCCCTGAAAACACCACGGACGCACCTCTCCATCCAGAAGAGAGAGAAACAAGAGGCAGAGAAGGCTAAGAAGCGAGCGATTGATGATGCTCGTGTGAATACCCTAGCAGAAGAATTTTCCGCCAAAATGCCGTCACACGAATTCAGTCCAGCAGAAATTCAAGGGTATTTGATGAAGTACAAGCGTGACGCTGAAGAGGCTGTTGCAAACATAGACGAATTCATCACGCAGACTCGGAAAGATCGCAAAGAGAAGGAATCAAGGGAAGCCGAGGAGAAGCGGAAAGCCGAAGCGAAGGCGAAGGCGAAGGGAGAAAAAGAGAAGAAAGAGAAAGAAAAGAAGGAGGAGGAGGCAGAGGATGCGAAAAAAGAAGAAGGAAAGTGAGAACAAAACGGTAGACTCGGCGGCCGCTTCAGCCTCATCCGAAGCAACCAACAAGAAGGAGGTGGTACAGAGCGAATCAAAAGACGACGAGCCTTTGGTTGAGAAGAAACCAGAGGTAACGGCCGAGAAAGAATTAGGTCACGAGAGACATGATTCCGGCTACGCAACGCCATCAAGCGTCGAGCCGTGATAGTGTATATATCTTGTGTAAATCTCGGAGTGGCGTTTCATGGGATGCATGGCGGTTGATTGTACACTTGGGTGGTGTACACTTGGGTGGTGTATAAGTAGAAGTCATAGGAACACTTGAGTCGGTCTTATACGTATAATGTTGAGTTAAAGTCCGGCGTTGTGATACTGTAGGGGAAAATCAAGATGAAGATGAAAGTGGCCTGATGTGTTACACTGGAAAGTTGCAGATGCCGATCTATTATGCCTGTCTGTTGGTCAGTCAACGTGTTGATCCATAAGCTAAACGATAGAAGACGGGCTATCTGTATGTTGGAAGCTGTATATTACCTACCTATGCATATACTACATATGTAGGGATAAGATGTATGTTAAGAGGTAGGGAGGGAGTAATAATTATAGATAGCGAAAAGTGGCTAGCTAACTCCGAGCCATGTGTGGCTACCCTGATTGCTACTACCTCAATAGGTGGTTTCCGAGTAAGTCTGCAACTACATAGTAGACACTAGGTTAGACATGTACTACCTAATCGTATCATGGAAAGAATCAAGCCACGCCGTCATTTAGCTTGGAGCTAAGCAGATCGTTCCTGAGTTATCTGCCAATTACGTTACCTCACTTCACCACTTTTGATTACGCTGAGCTGCCCTGCGAAAACAAATCACTCGCGAAACCGTACACTACTACAGCAGGGAGAAGTTGCGAAGGATGGCGAAATGCACGCCGAGCAGCCATGATTGTTCATGTGAAGGGAAGGCTCATAAAGCTATTACCTACTATGATATGTAACTAACCTAGGTAGGTAGTTATAGAAATGGTAAGTTGCTCGGTACATATTCTAAGAGTTAGACTATGCAACATGAAACCAATATAGACTTTATCTGCAAGACAATTGATGTTAGGCGATGTTACACCTCTGCGCCTAAACTTTAGGCTACATATACTACCTATGTACAACACATAATTTATCAGCGCTGCAGATTTTTAAAGTGGCGTACGAAGTATTTAGACCTGTGTGTTGCGGAAGGTATAGCCTATCAGTCAAGGCTCGTGTAACTTAACTTAAGATCTTTGGCTTAGTTACGGGAAGCTTTACATAGACCTTAATAGAATCATGATGCTGGCTGCCTAGGTACATATGCACTCTAAAGTGAGATATATCATTTGCAAAAAATTACACCTGTAGACTCTCGATATTAGATGCAGTAACTTTTTTTTTTTAGGCGCGCCTTCTTTAACTCAACCATGACTAAAAGTAAATGAATTGAAAAATTATGTACAAGCGCATACACGTAGGCTCAAGGACTACTTAGGTAATTGCCAATTGTACTTCGTACATGAAACTTAAAATCTAGTGGGGCATACTATATGACATGTGGTTGCCAACAAGTTATTAGACTAAACTAATCAGATAAGGTATTACCTTGTTCACATCTTTTCTCTCCCCTTTTCTGCCCTTTCCCGTCTTTCAAAATACCAACAGGATTTTTTGTTGGCCATCTTCACAATTTCGGTTCGTCCCATCCCATCCGTTCATTTCCCCTTTTCCGCTTAAAAGAGATAGACGCATACGACCCGTGTTGTGCCATCAGCTCGTGGCAAGCCTCCTCATAATACCACATTAATACTGCAGATAAGAGCTGATAGGTGAGTTCAATTAGCAGAATCAGCAAAACCATTCAAAAATCCCTGGCGGTTTACAACACCTCTTACCAGATTCCCCCACTTGGATCGGCACACATGCAATTCCAGGCTGGGCGTTGCAAACAAATGCTCGGGTCTGCCCCTGTCCGCCTGCATTGGGTTCCATTGCTAAATTGGCGGTGAATCCAGCCTTCCGAATTCAAACCCTGCCCACATGCTTGTGCTTGTGCTTGTGCTTGTGCTTGTGCTAATAGCACTACCCGCTTCCCACAGATAGATATACACTTGTTTGGCATCGAATATTTTCCCTGCCAGAACAACTTTTTTCACAGCCCTACCACCACGATACCTATTGTTGTTTGAAACCATGGCCTCCCGTCCTCAGAACATTGGCATTAAGGCCATCGAGCTTTACTTCCCTAGCCAGGTAAGATATTTTACCCTTAACGTCGTCTTGTCATCCCCCCTCCGACATCGCACGACACCAATGGACCCTGAATAGAGCCAACCTACTGACACTCGTACCCCTCAGTATGTCGAGCAAGCCGAGCTCGAGAAGTTCGATGGTGTTGGCACTGGCAAATACACCATTGGTCTTGGTCAGACCAAGATGACCTTCTGCGATGACCGAGAAGGTTAGTTGTTGCCATTGCTAAACCTGAGCGTCTTCTCGCACGTGTGCTAAGATGGCTACCTATAGACATCTACTCCATGGCCTTGACTGCCACTTCCAAGCTGTTGAAGAATTACAGCATCGACACTAACTCCATTGGCCGTCTCGAGGTCGGTACCGAGACCATCCTCGACAAGTCCAAGTCCGTCAAGTCTGTCTTGATGCAGCTGTTCGGCGAGAACACCAACGTTGAGGGTGTCGATACCTTGAATGCCTGCTACGGTGGTACAAACGCTTTCTTTAATTCTGTCAACTGGATCGAATCTTCCGCCTGGGACGGAAGAGACGCAATCGTCGTAGCCGGCGACATTGCCCTTTATGCCAAGGGTAATGCCAGGCCGACTGGTGGTGCTGGTTGCGTTGCTCTGCTGGTCGGCCCTGACGCTCCTATCGTCGTCGATGCCGGTCTGCGTGGAACATACATGCAGCACGTGTATGATTTCTACAAGCCTGACCTTACTAGCGAGTACCCCTATGTCGATGGACACTACTCGGTCAACTGCTACATGGAAGCTCTTGACGCTGCCTACCGAGCGTATTGCAAGCGTGAGACTCAGTTGAAGAACGCAGCAAACGGCCATGCCAATGGAAATGGTGCCGCCGCTGCTGACGGTACTAAGACTTCCCTTGACCGTTTAGACTACCTGGCTTTCCACTCTCCGACGTGCAAGGTTGTCCAGAAGTCCTACGCACGTCTCTTATACCACGACTACCTTGCAGACCCTGATAGCCCAGCCTTTGCTGAGGTCCCTGGTGACATCCGGGATATGGACTACAACAAGTCCTTGTCCGACAAGGTGGTCGAGAAGACCTTCATGGCTCTCACCAAGAAGCGCTTCAACGAACGCGTCTCGCCCTCTATCCAAGTATCCACCAACTGTGGTAACATGTACACTGCTAGCTTGTGGGGTGGCCTTGCTAGTCTTATCTCTTACATCGATAGCGCTACTCTTCAAGGAAAGCGTATCGGACTTTTCAGCTATGGCTCCGGCCTGGCTGCTAGTTTCCTCTCGGTGCGCGTCAATGGAAACACTGAACAGATTGCAAAGGTTTTGGATATCCAGAACAAACTAGCTGCGAGGCGGGCTGTCCCTCCTGAGACATATGAAGCTGTGAGTTTCAAATTATCCAATCTTGATGACATGAAACTAATAATTCCCAGTTCTGCGAGCTGCGCCACAAGGCTCACCTACAGAAGAACTACACCCCTCAAGGTGACGTGTCCACTCTGGCCAGTGGCACTTACTACCTAGAGAAGGTCGACGACATGTTCAAGAGAACCTACGCGATCAAGGCGTAAATGAGAAGAAAAAAAACTAATAAATGCGATCTACATCCTATATAGACAGGTATTAATCAGCCGGGGTACTACCTAGACTAGCATGGTCGGCAATTCCTAGAGTCAAGGCTTATGGCACGAAGATCATGTATACTGCATGAAAGACGATTGTGAGATAAGAGGGCTACTAATAGGGTTGGGTGATGATTGATGAATACCCGACTTGTATATACTAGGAATGATTCCCGTGATGACTCGCACAAAGAGCTTAATGAAGACACTGATAGAGAGTTGAATGGCTACTTTTTTGGTCGTGTTGTAGTTGGTGATTCAGCAATATGCCATTTTTAATGTGATATAGCCTAGTTCTGACTATGGCTTATCGTTGAATTTCTAAGACGACTAGTCCTTGTTTACTTGAACATGTTGAAATATGCATAGTGTTTACTATAAATTGAATCGTTAATAATAGGGGGATAGGCATGTACGGTAGGTCTAATCTTCTATTATCGTCGGAAAGAGAAGGCTAGGTAGACCGACCAGCAAGGTCTTTCGCGACAATAGCTTTCGATATCCGAACCTGATAGCCCGGCCATCTACCCTATAGCTATTCACGGCAATGATCAAAAGCACACTTGTTATATACCCCTAATAGTATATATAGTCCCGCAGCAGGAAGCATATCCACTTCCTCCCACACTACGCCGACTTCGCCTTCCCCGTCTTAGCCTCGTCGCCTGCCCCCGTCCACTTCCACGTCGCCCGTCGATGCAGCATGTAATCTTTACTCTGGATGGCCTTCCAGATCCCCCAGAACGCGCCGATGGGCCACAGCGCTTTGAGCCAGGGCTTCCACCCCCGCAGCACGGCGTCCTCGTTGTCTACTTTTACGCTGACCTTGTCGTAGACGCTGGGGAGACTTGTGGCAAGATATTTCTGCCGTAACGCTTCGTACTGCTTCTGGTGGGCGGAGCCGTAGACGCGCCAGAATTCGGAGGGCGGGTAGTATGTGTGCGCGTACAGCCACTTGGTGCCGCCGAGCTCGTCGACGCGGCGCTCCAGGGCGCGGTTTGCCCGGATGAACAGGTTCCGGTCAGAGGGGCCCCAGCCCCAGACGCCGACGTTGAGCATTTCGCCGTGGGGTGCTTTCTCTTTCCCTTTCTTTCCGTCTCGTAGGTGGGGGTGGAAACTGGGGCCGGAAGGCGTCTTTAGCGGACACAGCCATAGCGGCCAGATGGCTAGCTCGTCGGACACGTAGTTGATGAAGGGCTCGGCGGACTCGTACGGCATGCCGACGTCTTGCACGATGAAGCGTGCGCTTTCGCCGCTGGCGTGGAGCGCGCGGTATAGCATCCGCGTGTGCAGGAAGTCGTCTAGGAACCACCGGAAGAACCGGTTAAAGGGTACAGGCTTGCAGAATTCGAAGGCAGCTTTGCCAACCCAGAATCCACCGCGGTCGTACCGGAAGAGGTACTCGCATAGTGGGATATACTCGGTTACTGTGCCTTCGGATGAGGAGCTTGAGGATGACGAGGATGACGAGGATAGGGTCTTGGTGACATCCTGCACGTGCATATAAAACCACGGGTCCCGCGGGTGACTAAACGTCTGCACGCGCTCGTCCTCGGACGGCAAGTCATCCGTCATCTTCCCAGTCACAATAACGCCGTGGTCTTTCGAAAACAATATCCCATCGACGTAATCATTCCCCTTCTCAGCAGCACACTCCTCCCTGATCACCCTAACCGCCTCCCCCACGCTGCTCGTCCGTATATACGTCGTGCGCACAAACTTCTTAGCCTCAATAAGATTCAGCTCCAGCAACGTCGTCGTCCCCAACGTGCCCAGCGCGCCGGCCGCCCCCCGGAACAAATCCTCGTACTCGTCCCCCTTTTCCGGACGCGCGGTAACCACCTCCCCATCCGGAAGAACCACTTCCACGGACCGGACCGTCTCGTCGAAATACCCGTGGCGGAAACTACTGCTCTCGCCCGCGGTGCCCGCGAACCCGCCCCCCGCCGTGATCCCCGGGAACTCCATGACGACCGGGGGCACGAGGCCGTGCGGCAGCGTGGACTCGACGAGCCGGTCCATGGGGACGTTTGGCTCGACCAGGGCGGTGCGCGTCGCGGCGTCTATCGAGAGGACATTGCGCAGCCCGCTGATGTCGACGACGCGAACGCCGGCTTTTTGGTGCGGCGGCCGCGTCGAGTTCGTGCTGCCGTGCCAGATGCGGTATGGCTCCGACCGCTCGAACAGCGAGCGCACTGTTGCGGAGACCAGGCGCACGGCTTGTCGGTGGTGTTCCATTGGGAGAGAGTTATAGAAGCGAACGGCCTCTCACGCTGGGTGTTTATATGTGTAGTGTGTAGTAAAGACTTGAAGTTGACTTTGTATATCTAGCTAAAGCCGGGTTTTGTAGGTATGAGTCGAGCGGCTTGCACGCGTATGGTCCAACATGAAGTAACTATAACTCCGAGGAATGGTGATTAAGTGGCGCCCTCTACTCCTCTATATTCGATGTGTGTGCAATATCATGCAGATGAGGAGATACCCACGTGATGATCTTGCTGTGGTACCTTAGTTGTCTCGTGGTTTGTATGGAGGAAGATTTATTAAATATGAGTAACCTATCTCTTAAAGATTTGGCTGTGAAACATATGCGGGTCGGTGTAGAAGGCGCTATGTATGTACTAATTATTTTACATCTCTACATTGGCTATGTACTTGAGCTAGTAATTTTCATGGGGGGGTACATTGGATACATAGATCTAGTACCCACCTCACCTACCAACATAGGTACCTTCTTGTGTTACCATACACATGTAAGTACCTAAGGTACGGAACGTTGAAGTAACGTAAGCAGGGTTGTGCTATGTATGTATGTACCTGAGCCTATATCCGCTGGGTTGGGGGAGTTCGTATGTATCTTCTAGACATTTATGTGAAACCCAAACTAACTATACCTATGCACTTCTTTTTTATTATAAATATACAGGAGAATTCCGTCGTATTCTTGGTATTCCAGTCTTCAAAACGAGACCTATTCCTTTCTAGAATAATGGAGAAATACATCCGTAAACTAAATAACTAACATTATATATCTCGGTCGTTACCATTTATACTTAAGACATAAAAAAAAAACATACACATCGTCTACAACCCTCCTCATTATAAATACCTGCAAAGCCAAGGACACTAACAAGTTAAGTCGAGAGCTCATAACTTCGACGGCACATCAGGAGCCGGCGCAACAGGTGCTTCTTGTACGGAAACTCTCTGTCGAGCCAGCTCCCTTACTTCCTCGTCGCTATGCGGGGTCAGCTTGTCCACGTATATTTCCAATTCCTCTAGAGTCTTCGCCTTGATTGCCGTATAAGACGGCTTGATGCTCTTTGGGTCTTTGCACACGGCCTTGACGAAATTCGCGTAGCCCTCTCGGTTATGCTGCGACTCGGGGAGCTTGGGCAGGAGTTCCTCGAACACGTGCGGCATCGCTTGGTACTCCTCAAACACCACCGTTACGCCGTCCCTGGTGAGCTTCGACGCGAAGTACTTAATCTCGTCTTCGAGGCTCTCCCAGCCGCAGGAGATATACATGGGCGGGGCGCCCTCCCAGGTGCCATCATCCATCTGCAAGCTAGCCAACGGGTGAAGTATGTATTCATCGTCGACGTAAACGTGCTTTCGGGGTGGATTAGCCGGCCATATGCTATCCGCCGGTGGTTGATGTTCTTCCGAGAGGAGCCTTGGGGGAGGAAGATAGCACCATTTTTGGTTCCTAGTCAACGAAGGCAGACTCTGCACCATATCTATCCATGGGGACATGCTAGCAAGGCCGGCGGGTAGGGGCACTTCTCGCTCCTCGCCAAACCAATTGATCTTGCGGTTCTGGCGGCGGATCTCCATTAGCGTTCGAAGGAGGGCCAGAGCGAGGTTGCCGCCCGCGCTATCACCGCCAAATACAATGTCCCCGGGAGAAACAGCTTCGTGTATCGACCCGGGAGGCGGGTAGAGGAGGGTAAAATAAGAGACGAAGGCATCTAATAGCGCAGCTGGAAACGGGTCTTGCGGCGCAAGTCGATACCTGACCGAATACGCGCGACCACCCGTCAGCTTGGTCAATCGCTTCATCAGCAATCTGTGTGTCGACGGATCGCACAGATAGTAGGCGCCACCGTGGAAGTACAAGATCGTCGTTGAGTTCTTGCACTCCTTCATCATCTCGTGGTACTTCTGCTCCTCTGAGATCTCCGGTGATTTCGAGTTCTTAGATGCGGCAGCTCTGTATCCCGTCCATTCGGCCTCGACGGGAACGAGCTCTGGTATCTTGAACGACGGCTCCGTACCTCTTACGCTAGGCTCGCTCAAAGCGTCGATGACTGCTAACAGGGCGTCCCGAATTCCTCGCTCGGGAGGGGGCTCAGATGCCACCGTGCTAACCCATAACTTGCCCTTGACGCCAGGGTCCTTCAAGGTCATGGCCTGGACCTCGGAAAGAGATTTCGGTTTTGATGGGTTAATCAACGACCGTATTAGCGCGACGGTCACGTCGCTCTTGAGATCCCGATACCGAGAGGTCTCGGACCCGCCGATGAGATGTAACAGAATGACCTTAACGATCAAGGGAAGTTTTGGCAGGATAACCCAGAGTAGCTCAAGCTGCCCACCAGGAGCCTTTTTCTTGTCGGCAGTAGAGACAGTAGAGTCAGGCATGGCGATGTCTGTAACCTGGTTAGATCGTCGTGACACTAGAAAGTATACGCGCGAGGGAAAATAGCCTTCGATGGACCGTAGTCCACGTCGGGAGGCAAGGATTTCTTATCAATCGCTCCTACGTGGCGTAAAAGAAGAATATACGGTGACGATATTAAGACTGACCGACAAACAGAAACCAATATGTACGTTAATATATCTATGCAAAGCGTTGTGTATAAATCGCATACATACGATGGATGCCAATTCCCCTTTATGTTTTTATGAACCCCTGTATAGCAAGTCGATAGTTGATAATTTATGTACTTATGCTGTTTACGCAAGTTTATCGCACCTTAACGGGTGCTGCGCTTTAATTAAAGGTTAATTTTTAAATTAGGGATAGCGTTATAAAGGTTAAAGCAAATAAAAAACTATTCTAAAATTCTAAAAAAGAAACAAAATACCTTAAAATAAGAGAAAAACACGCTTTTTCGGAAGGATTTCGGATTAATCCCCATTTTAAAGATCAATTTTTAATTAAAGCGCAGTACCTGTTAAGATGCGATGAGTTTGCGTACATAGCATAAGTAACTATGTCGACTCTCCGGATGCAACGATGGAACGCTGCAGGGAAAAGGTAAGCCTCGGCACCCCGAGCGGCAGGTACTATGTACACATTCTATGCGAGTACCTATGTACATAGATACGCTTGGGTCGCCACTCTGTCATTGCTGGTGGCGTTCTCCAAGACTCGGTTTTTGGCTGAATAGGGGGGATTTCATCAAAGAGTTTCAACTGCGCATTATTACTTTCATATGTATTAACTAAGTGAAAGGCAGCTTCAGATTTAACAAAATTTAAATACGTTACTTTCAGCTTCAAGGAATTGCTTTATTAAAGAAGAGACTTCTTACCATGCATACACCCGTTTTGATCATAGCGCATATAGCGTCCTCCACTCAACGGGAACATGCAGTGTCACTTTTACAACATAAGGTTAGGTTTAGGTACCTACATGTAAGAGGTAACTAGGATAAGGGATCACAGGGATCATTTAAAACACAATATGCGGCATTATGAAATCAGCTTCATTTATCCATCGAGGCCCTTAAACATACACATTGTGCCCGGAGACTCATCATGTAAAACCGCGCCATTATGTCAATCGAGGCTCGTCCTCATTCAAATATACTGCTTAACCCGGGGAAATGCCTTTCCTTTTTAACTAAAAGAATCCCTAATCACAAAACAACGCCAAACAAGTAATGATTAAGTATGTCTATATATGTAATTAAGAGCTAGAGCTGGGTCCAGCTTCGTTCTGCGAATTGCTTGCGGCAGCGTCCGACTTGCTCGCTGCTAGCTGCCACGCAGGAATCGATGCCTTTGTAGGAGGTATGCCGCTTCCCAGAGGCGATGATCGCGTCCAGAAGAAGTCTTGTCTGCTGCTGCTCTGAGGCGAGTTCTCGTCTTGCACCGACTGCTTCGCGTCGCTGAGATCCTTTGCTAGCGTATCAACACCAGGGCTCGAGGCACCGCTAGCAGTAGGGGGCGCAACGGTGCTGACTGTCGGCTTAAGGAAGCCGTTCGTGTTGACAGACGGCGGGGCCGGGCTAGTGCTACTGGAATTGCTCATTCGCTGGCTGATGAGAGACTTCAGACTCCTGACTTCGGTGGTGATCTCCTTCAATCGGTTATCCGTGAACTCCTTGTTCGCAGTCATAGAACTGGGGATGATCCCCTTCAAGGCCTTCATCTCTTCGCGTAGTCGGTCCGTCTCGTCTTCGTGTCGTCGGCTAGCGGATTTCGTGTCTCGCATGAATATGTCCAGCTCATCTAGCACCTTGTCGAGCTTATCGGTGCGCTCTCTCTCCGAGGCCTTTAGCTCCTCTGTGTCCTTCGATAGTTGCTCGAGCGTCGCGAAGGCCTTCTCGAATTGTTCGTCCACCATCGACTTATCTTGTTCTAATTTCTCCGGTGTCGGGGGTGAGACTAGGGGGTAAAGGTAACGCTAGACACCGAGGTTAGGATCTCAATGGTTTATTTATGCCTGAGTTGGAATGATGATGCCATACCTTGGAAACAGTATATAATCCGTAACTAACTCCGCCCACCACAGTGGCCATAATGAACCAATCTCGCCAATCCCTCTTGGGGACTTCTGGTGGTGCTTGCCATCCGTAAGGCTGCGTTTGGTACTGGCCGTAGTATGGCTGGTTCTGGGCGGGAACGGGGGGCGCTGGTGATGGCGATGGTGATGGTGATGGTGAGGATGAAGCAGGAACAGGAACTATCGATGAGCCGCTCCTCGCGAAAGCGATGTCAATTTCCTCTTGCGTTAAATTCTTTGATCGCAAGAAGGACAGCTTGTTCTCGATGGGAGAAGATATCACATTAGGGTCTTGTAAGACTACGTAATTGAACACAATTTGTCAGTTATGCTTCTCCAGCTCCTATCCCAAACATCAAATAATTCAAGTGGTTGGGTTGGTTAATACTTACAATTGACCGCAGAGGCCACGACGTCCTCCCGGATTGCCATTGTTAAAGTGCCAAATCTCAAGGAATATTCATGGCAAGTGGTTGATGATAATTAGGGAAAGCTGTCGTGTGTGCGAAGCATTACTGTATGTAGATGGTAAGAGTTGTCGAGTTGTCGCGTTGAGGCTGGAGACAAAACAACCCAATGACGAACCCCGGCTTATCCATTAAAATGAACCGAGGCAAGCGGCTTATTCGATAAGGAACCTTATATGATTGCTCAGGTAACTATCACGTGCTAGCTGACTCATAAATACAAGTACCTATGTCCATTATATGTTAAGACCTGAAATCAAAATAATATGCACCTAAACCATCAATTAACTCGTATTAGTTATTATAGAACATGTTGACTTCAATGACTTAAAATGTATCACACCATTAAAGTCTTCACGAGCGAGTTTCTAAACAGAATATCTCAAGCGCCAACTAGTCCTAAAGATGCAGAGGACACAATCGTGCTACCAAAGTATTGGAATTGGTTAAGTAACTTAGAAAGGCTCTGGGACCGACGAGAAGTCTGCCCGCAATGTGGGTGGGATGCTAATCCCGAACACCTACTCAAAGTCCCAACACCCGGGGATGAACCAAGTATCATATATAGTCGACCCGAGAATTCGCTGTGTATCTGTTGCAAGATAATTGACCGTTTGCTTGAACGGCAGCAAAACCTAGATCGGGATCGATGGACTATATCTCTGTGGACCAATCAGGACAAACCCTGTGTTCTTCTAGAAGATACCTTATTGGAAGAAGACGAAGTCGAGTGGAACTTTTTCCTTCTGCATTTAGAACAGAGGAGCCTATTAGGAATACCCAACGGCTCCCTTGTCTCCGGCAACACCGCATCAGAAGCCGCCTTTGAATGGGCAAAGCACCAGTTATCAACCTGTTCTCAATGTCACCAACGTTGCCACATGCGAGACAGCTCGTTTCTTCCTACGCGACTCATATCTATCACCGGTAGTAACGACGGGGTAAGGCTGATAGACAACTCTGAAGTACCTCATGGTTCACATTATGTAGCTCTCAGTCACTGTTGGGGCTTAAAGCTACCCGAGTGTCTGACTACTAAGGGAAACGTCTTGGATCAGAAGGAAAATGTTCCTTGGAACACGATTCCAAAGAGCTTTCAAGAAGCCATCTTGTTTACGCGCAAACTTGGTATCGGCTATATATGGATTGACTCACTATGTATCATCCAGAGAGACCCCGAAGATTGGTTACGGGAGGCTGGCCGAATGTTCCATGTTTATCGGAATGCGTTCTTGACAATTGCCGCATCTCATGCCGAGGACAGTTCTAAGGGGCTATTCTCTAGCTTGGGCCCTGAAAAACAGCTACAATTGGGTAAAATCCGGCACGGTACTGAAGAGTACCAGTTATATGCGCAGCAGTCTTTCCCAGAGATCACCAATCCGTACTTGAATCATCGCACAGAGCCCCTTTTCAAGCGAGCTTGGACATTCCAAGAAAGATTGATCTCTCCTCGAATTCTATATTTCACAAAATACGAGTTGATATGGGAATGTTATTCAACATCCGTCTGTGAGTGCGGGTTCCACGGTGATAGGCCGTATAACCCATCAAGTTTGAAGATGCTGCATGTCAACAACTTGGTAAACACTTCGCCTCTTTCACAACAATCCCCCACCAGATATAGCGAATATATTAGAAATGCTATAAGGTTTACTACGAAAAACAAGCTCTCAAAGGGTGATACTGGAAAGACGTGGCGTAGAATTGTTCAATTTTACTCGGACTTGCAACTTACCAACCAAACCGATAGACTTCTGGCGATCGGGGCCATCGCAGAGCAGACTCAGTCCGTCCATCAGAACAAGATATATCTTGCTGGGCTTTGGCATGAATCGCTTGGGCTGGATTTGCTGTGGGCTCGTAAGCATAAACCAAAATCCCAACAACGTTCAGAACACTACATAGCCCCTACCTGGTCGTGGGCCTCCATCCCTGGCCCAGTTGCTTACGACTCTACAGCACCGCTTAAGCCACATGTGGAGGTATTGGACGCAAGCTGCGAGTACACGGACGGAAACCAATTTGGGCAAGCTACTGGAGGGCAGCTAACATTACGCGGAGAATCTATCATGTGTACGCTTTGCAAGTCCTCTCAAGAATCCTCGGAGGATTACCGCATTTTGCACCCCGAGTTAGCCGTTGATGTTGAAGTTAATGTGGATTGCGAGCCCTTTCCACAGACAAAGGAGAAAATGCCCGTGCTTATGTTGCGCATAGCCGATACGTGCGAGTTTCCAACACCCATCAGCATTATCCTCAAGGAGGACAAGGGGGTGGATGATAAGGTATTGTATACTCGCTTAGGACTTGCATCGCCCCCAGGGACCACCATCGAGGGGCAAGAGGAGCGTCGGAAACTTACGGATTGGTTCGATAGTTGCAGTAAAATTCGAACTTGCATTATTATTTAACTCAACGCCACCATCGAGGCCACGTGTATGATTACAGAGGCAAAAAGATTCTAGAAAATATATTGGGTCGTTCCCACATAGCCCGTTAGGCATCGTCGTGTCCTTGTGGATACTATCGCCGATGTCCCAGGACGACTTGGAATTAATTAGGGATTAGATAACACATTCCTCTAGGTTAAGCTTCGTGTAGAATCTCTGTTGATATTAATAGGAAGTATATTGTAAGCTTAGATTTACTTAGGGATGACAGCTGCTTTGACGTCGTTCGGTCCCCCATCCGTATTAATCCTGCTTTCGATATCAAAGCGTCACACTATACCGTTAGTCCTGGCGTGTGCGCGGCTATTAAGTTTCTACCTACTTGCTTATAATTTGACAGGAGCTGACGTGCCAATGGCAACCAACCTAGCTCGGACGGGACAGCGAGTTTACATACGGACACTTCCTATATTTCAAGTACCTCTGTCACCTGGGGTAAGCTTCTGGTTGGAATTCAAGAAAACTATGACCTGACTAACTCATACGGTTCCATTCCGACAATATCGCATCTCAACTGTCGATAGAGAGAAGATTATTGTTGCACTCGTGGATAGTCTAGAGCATACTTCTAGATCTCATAGGTTAAGTAGAAAAATAGCCTGCTCCTCGTTATTATGATTAGTACCTAGTTACCTAGATCTTTTAAACTGTTTACCTTTTAACGTGTTCTAAACTAGACGCACGGAATATCATGAAATATTATTTATATATATTCTTTAGGGTTAGGTACCCAACCTATTCCCTCGGAGAAAGCAGATTCATCAATTAAGTATAAAAGTACACGCATGTGGTTTTTACCCATCCTATTTAAGTTGTTGAGAAGGTGAATATACTCTACGAGTGGCTATGTAGCCACCGGCAGCAAATTTTATAGGGTGTTGACATCCTATAAGTGACGTGGCGTGTATCTTAAACTTCCAACGTCATGTTATAAGCTCGGAATGTTTATTGCGTTCGTATTAGTCCATTAGTCACTGGTTATGCTTACATGTTGAGGTAACTTTGTGGAATCTTCGAAATATCGGATGGTTGTTTACTTTGATGACTACCTTAGGTAGGTACCTAGGTAGGTACTCGCTGTGTGATTTCTCAGAAGCAACAACAGATCAATAGGGACAGTATGATGTTGTAGATTTCGATAGTAGGATAGGTTGTATAGGTAACTGCTGGCTTGTATACTCAAGCTTGGTTAAACTACATAGTCGTAGCGTTGATTCCTGATGAGATGGATACCAATTATGTATACCACCCCAGCTTCCTCTTTCCTGTAAAGATTCTTGCCCGGCTGCCCAAAAATTATACAACCCTAGACTTTAACAAATACCAGAAAACTAAACTAGACACTACCGTGTCCGAATACCTCGTGTTTAAACTATAACGCCAACGCGTTGGGGGAGCAAACTTTGACATTACGCTCAGTCAAAATGACTCCCCAATATAAAACATCCTCCTCGATTCTCAGGTATAAAAGCAAGTCGTTGGACTTTCTATCATCTAAAATTAACGTCCATCCTTTCTACAACATCATTCACCAATGATACTACCATTACTACTTTCTTGACGATACAACAAACATTCATGCCACTAAACTACCTATCCAAGCTATAACACTTAATACGACAACAATACATCTCTCGTGTAATACTCTATACTAGCATCTTCCCTATATTAGGCCAGTCTTTTACCAATAACAACCTAGACAGTAAATTGTATTACTACTACGAAGTCATCATAAACATGCCTTCAACACTTTCTACCTCGGAGAGCGATAGCCGCAACAAAAACTCGCCCAAATACCACAACCCCATGCAGAACTCAGAGGCTATCAACCGCAGAAAAAAAGAACAACAAAAATTGCTGGCGCTCAAATTCCGTAATATGCCCAACGGTTCTAGGCTGGGATTTCAGTGGGATTATAACCGAGGGAAGATGGTGCCTTTCATAAAAGACCACTTCACCGGCGCTATTCGACCTGCGACAATGAAGGACGACATGCACAGCAACATGTCGGCAGAAAAGCTCGAACAGCATCGCCAGTACCACCAACAAATGGTCGAATCCTTAAAACGCGAACAAGGCAAACAAGACAAACAAGACGAACAAGACGAAGAGGAAAACAAGTCTTAGGTAAGCATATATAATGTTATAGTCGAGAAGGAATCTCCCTTTGACTGAGACGACAGGAGACGCTTGAGGAGGAAGTTGAGATCGAAGAAGCGGTCAATTGGAGGGAGGGAGAGGATTTGACTGCTGGTGCAATCTAAAAGGATAACAAAAATATACATACGAGAGAGCGAAGGAACGAATCCCACCATTCCGGTGGGCGGGAACGGAACCGGATATTTAAAGAGGATGTCTCGCGGCAACAAGACGAGAAAATACCAAGGGAAAAGGATAGACGACATTAGCTACGACATTAGCTACGACATTAGATGTGCTCCATATAGGAGAAATGGGCGATGCCATCGACGACAAGTCAAACAACGAATACAAAATTACGGAACTTGACAATCTAGATGATGGGGAAGGCAAAGAAGACGCCTTCAGCATCACAAGAGCTTTTTTTTAAATCACGACAACCCAATCAAAAAACAATCTTCAAGGCTCCGAATTTCTTGCTTAAAATACCCTTGATAGACAGGAGCAACAACTCAATCGAAGCAAGCAAATAGAAGACAAACTCGACACGATGGCGAAATTAGAGAGCAAATTCGACACGTTTGATGGAGAATTCCGCAAAGGTTGTGAATGACAACAAGATAATCTCGCAGACCTTAACAATTGGTATATATATCATATATACTCTACTACTCTACCAATACTTACCAGCCGCCCACCGCTTGGTCATATCGGCGTGCTTTATATCACGAAATACGAATCAGCATAGATTCGATAGTATTGTTGGAGCGACGGATTATCGACTTCGGGCACACTGCAGAGGCATTTCTCACTCTTACAAAATGCATTCGGGACCGAAATCTGAATCAGTTTGAGTGCACGCGAAACTGGCCAATATCATCGTCGATTGTGTAACCCTATTGACTACGTACAATATATTTCCGCAATGGTTCACGATCAAAAACATCACCTTGGCCCGAAAAGTGATGCTTACTCTTGCAGATGGCATCACGAACAACATTTTTAGCCCGAGACGAAGAAGTGTAGTCCTGTCGCTCTTAGATATCAGAATGCTGGAAACCCTAGGGAATTGCTTGGTGGACGGACTTCAGGACAAAAGACCTGTGGAAGGAATATATTGATAATAATGCTCGGAACTGCAAGTCCCTTTGGTGAGCGTATAATACTATTCGGAACCACCACCGAAACCTGCAGTTTCGACTGAACACCAAATACCTACGAATGAGCCTGAAAGAAAAAGGCAAATGGATGCGAAGGAGGATGCGAAGGTGCGAAGGACGAAAAAATAAATAAGGGAACACACGGAAGATAACCTGAGCTCGGTTATTGCATATCCCTCCTACATATACAATTGGTCGAGACATCCACCCATGTGAAACAATATGTACCTATGGGTACACCCGGACATGAAACTCCAGGGCTGTCATATGCACGAGATGAAAGATGCATAATACGAGGTTTGCTCCGTCAATTATCAGGGCAAACAATCAGCATAGATAACCCCCTCCGGGCCTCGGCCCCACAACAAAGACCGGAAAAGAAGTTGGACAGACGATCTCCCGACCGCGGCAAGTCCCACAAATTTCCGGCATTGAGGCTAGATGCGACGGCAGAACCCATAACATTTAGACCAATGGAATTAATCTTGGTCGACACGAGGCCGACGGCAATAGGAACGGATACGGGGTCTGGGGAGGGGGGGGGAATAAAAAAATTGGTTTATTAATTTCGGGGTTACTTTGGCACGTTGCCGAGCATTAGATAAATGGCTCATGGAAATATAATTTCTAAGCGGTGGAAGGATTGGTTGCACGTGGACTAAGGAAAAAAGGGGAAAGGAGGTGGGAAAGGAAAAAGAGGGTGAAAGGGAAATGGGGTATGGGGAATGGGGAGGGGAACGGGGAAGGGGAAGGGGAAGGGGAAAGGGAAAGGGAGAGAGAGGCTTTGTTCGGAAAGGGTGGGAGACAAGGGAATGAATGCATCGTCAATATCGTTGACGTATACTATGTACGGGAGGAATGGAATACGTGGCCAACCTTGGGTCCCACGTCCAGACATAGATAATGAGTGATTATGCGCGCGCCCGGTGGCCGGTCACGAACAAAAAAAATAAATTTTTATCACGCGGATGTGATTATCGTGAAGTGGCCCCTCGCACAGATCACCGAGTGTTGGTCTAGAGCAGGCAAACCGTGCTTGACCGCATCCCAGGGGCCGCCTACCTCGGAGGCTCAGACGAGAGGGACCCCCATGCTGCGATGCTGCCATGTTCCAATCTTAGGCCGTTAGGCAGGGAATGCAAGAAAAAAGGTCACGCTGGCCAAGCTATGCGTGTTGCGTGCTATGTAAGATAGAGAGGGAGGTTGACGAGAATAGTAAAATCTGTTGAGTAATGGAACACTAGAACATTAACCTAACCTAGGGAATTCTTCACATGGGAAAGACAAAAAAAAAGAAAAGAAAAAGAAAAAGAAATGAGTAATGAGGGGCAAAATTCGGCTCGACCTTTTTTGGGGGGTTTTTTTTCTTTGATGAGAATGGATTGCCAAATTTCCAGCGCCGCGCCCCTTAGCAGCTAAAGCTGACCTAGTGACCTCTCTTGCCCCTCTAATACAAGGGACGATGAGCTAATGGGAGCCTCCCCCTTCCATAAGAGAATGTTCCACCAATCCATCCCGAGACGATAGAAAGATTGGCTGGGAAGGTGGGGAATCTTTTTTTTTCTTTTTCTTTTTCAAGACACTCTCATAAGGACGCATCGATACACTCATTCGCCCATAAACTCGAGGAAAGAGCGCTTTGTAAGGTCTAGGCGGTTCCTTATATGTAGGTTTCTTAAGATAGCCCAGATCTAGGCAGGTCCTGCTTACAACCGTGCCGGTATCGTGCCGGTATGTAGGTATGTATATATCTTGTCAGCAAAATTCGAACCAAACAAAATTAGCTTAAACCCATCCAATAATGTTCCCCTCAATCCTCCAAACTTTCTCCACTCTCCACTTTCCACGAGCCTACCATTAGTTCCCATGAATCCCATGAATCCCATACAGTTCATACGCTTGCTCATCTTATACGTTCATACCATCCAAGCTCTCTTAATGGCCCTAAATTTGCCTCAGATACACGGCTCGGTAGCTCTCAACACCCCTGCTCTTTCCTGCATCCTCGAATTTGCATTAGGCACCTGGCACTTTGTTCAATTCGCATGCTAAGAAGCTTCAGCCGGTTCAGATCGGTACAATTGAGGTACAATACATACGTAAGTGCGTAAGTGCGACATTGTGCGATCTACTCGCACTTACCAAGATGATTGTCCCATTCACTGCCACTGCCACATCCACATCCACGTCCTTATCCTTTTGCTCTTTCTCCTCTTATTACTATTTCCCTTCCGTTTCTTTATCTTTCCTCTTCTCCTCATATTCCTCCTACTCTTACTCTTTCTCCCCTCGTACCCATCATACCCATCATACCCATCATATATCCTCTTGCCGACTTGTTCCCTCCATAGCCACTGCCCCGTTGCAGCAAAAGATACCAAAGATACCAAAGGTACCCTTTATAAACCGAGTTCCCGTCGCGGGATATACCTCGGCCTCCTTTGAGCCGACTGCACGTCATCTCGATCCATATTGCTAGGATAAGGCTAAATTGCCTCACGCCGTCTCCCACCTTGAACGAACCTCAACACCATCAAGCTGTCCAGTAATTATCTCACCAGTTGTCATTCGTAACAACAACCAGAGTGCAATGGGAGACAACCGTGAGACCAACGGGTTGACCAACGGTCATGTCAATGGTTATGCCAATGGCCGCACCAATGGCTATATCAATGGTCAGCGTGCCAACGGTTATACCAACGGCAACACCAATGGACATACCAATGGCAATTCCAACGGCGGCGGTCTATGGACTAGCAAACGTGCACCGTCGGAATGGTTTATCGGTAGTATAGACCAGGGCACCACGTCGTCGCGTTTTCTCATCTTCAATCGCCACATGGACCCAGTCGCTAGTCATCAAATCGAATTTGAAAATCTCTATCCTGAATCGGGGTATTGACGTCACCCTGCCCCCCTTATTACATCAACCATGAGCTAATGCCCCATTTTCGCAACGCAGGTGGCACGAACATGATCCTTTAGAATTGCTCAAATCTGTCGAGTCTTGTATCGAAAGAGCCATTGAACAGTTTGCTTTCAAAGGTTATTCCAAGTCCCAAATAAAAGCTGTAGGTATCACAAACCAGCGCGAAACCACCGTATGCTGGGATAAGATCACTGGCGAGCCCCTATGCAATGCTGTCGCATGGCCAGACACCCGAACCAAAGATATCGTCCGAGATTTGAAGAACTACCCCGGCGCCCATGCCATTCCCGAACTATGCGGTCTTCCTCTAAGCACGTATCCCTCCAGCGTAAAACTGGTTTGGCTGTTGAAGAACAACCTGACCGTGAGAAATGCCTACGAAGAAGGCCGTCTTGCATTTGGCACCGTAGATAGCTGGCTGATTTATCGCCTAAACGGTAAGGAGAAGAATATCCACGTCACGGACACTACCAACGCGAGTAGGACCATGTTCATGAACTTGCACACCCGGCAGTATGATGACAGACTACTCTCCTTCTTCGGGATTGACAAGAACAAGGTTACACTGCCCAAGATTGTGCCATCGTCAGACCCCGAAGCCTTCGGTACTATTGGCCGCGGCGCCTTGGCCGGAGTGAAAATTGCAGGTTGCTTAGGTGACCAGGCCAGCGCGCTCGTCGGCCAATGCGGATTCAAGCCAGGCCAGGCCAAGAACACATATGGTACTGGATGTTTCTTGTTATACAACGTAGGCCACAGGCCGGTACTTTCCAAGTATGGCTTGTTGGCGACGGTCGCATTCGACTTTGGAAAGGGCCGGGAACCAGTTTACGCCCTGGAGGGAAGCATAGCGGTGGGCGGCTCCGGTGTAAAGTTTTTAATGAACAATTTAGGATTTATTCGAGACTCCAATAGAGTTGGGGAATTGGCTGAGAGCGTCAAGGATAATGGCGGGGTGGTGTTTGTAACCGCATTCAGTGGTCTATTCGCACCGTACTGGATTGACGATGCGAAAGGTACCCTCTGTAAGTCTTCATCAATAGCCTCGACGGGCCTTGACAGGCCTCAACCTATCCAGATAAGCATCTCGCTAATCATGTTCCAGTCGGAATAACGCAACACACACAAAGAGGCCACATCGCACGTGCGACACTAGAAGCTACTTGCTTTCAGACTCGCGCGATTTTAGAAGCGATGGAGAAAGATTCAAACCATAAGCTTGCGTCTCTTGCCGTTGACGGCGGCATGTCGAACTCGGACCTGACGATGCAGACACAAGCTGACGTTACCGGCATCCGCGTGGAGCGACCGGCAATGCGTGAGACCACGGCCTTGGGTGCCGCAATTGCTGCCGGCCTAGCTGTCGAAGGTTGCTGGTCCAGCTTTGAGGAGCTCACAGAGCTCACACGCAAAAAGGCAGGTCGTCGGGTTTTCGAGCCCAGAGTCGACCGGAAGAAAGCTCAGCGCATGTACCAACACTGGGAGAGAGCTGTCGAGATGAGTCGCGGATGGGTCCGCGACGATCTCTCTGATGACGAGAATGAAACTTCCAGGCCTGACATCTTCAGGAAACCGACGCTGTAAAATTTCAGATGTCGGAGTTGGCGCCCCCTCTCATTAATAACTATAAGTCACAATGGAGTGTGACGGGTAGGAGTGGATCTTAGGAATGATATCTGGTCATTCACTGGATGCACGAAGCGCTCGACGGGCGCAATGACCTCCATTTCCTTGCATTGGACATGTTGTTTCGGGAATAGATGCCCTGACATGCATGTCATATATAGGCAGGCAAGCGTGTAAGTACCCAGGCAGGCAGAGGCAGGGAAAGGCAGCTTACACACCTTTTTACTTCAAATTTAACCTACCTGATTTTGTACGTAGCAAAACAAAAGGTCGCACATGCGGGAGGTTGGATGGGAGGGGACGTGAATGGTACGGCGAAAGGGTAGGAGGGTCGGGTATAATTACATAGTAATGCTAGTCGTGCGTACCCCAGGTATAATAACACACAGTATCTCCATAGTTTTCCTGCGGGCGTAAACGTATTATGTATTCGCAGCCGAGCGGAACCATGTAATTGGCGTTTCGAGCTCGGTTTAATGTGCGGCCGTGAGACGGGGCGCCCACGCAGATTCGCAGACTCGCAGATTCGCAAATTGCTGACCGAAAGTGAGCACGGGACACGGGACGAGACGGCACGATAATACGTACAGCAGGCCGAATTGCGGTTTACTGCCTAACGTTTATCATGTGAGCATGTGAAGGGCGATGGGATAGACGGGACCATGATATTGGCTCCTTTTTTTCGTGTGTATGGTATCACATTGCCACTTCGGAATTTTCACCTGGGACAGATGACGAAAGCAGGAATATGTACATACGACGGGGGGGACGTACGGGAGGGAAAGGAATTATAGACGGATGGACGGACGGACGGGGGGACGTGTGAAAATGCTGGGGAGACGGGCAAGGTAGGTAAGTAAGTAGGTAGGTAGGTAAGGTTCATGTAGATTGAGTGGATGGATGGATTGATGGTAGGTAGGTACCTAGGTGGCAGTATGTATGTATGGATGTATGGATGGATGTAATTGCGCGCGGGCGCGGACACCCGCCTATATGTGCTGTACCTACCTAGAATAATACGTAGGTTTACCTACTTCTCCATCTACACCTACACTAGGTACGTTTACATTGCACTGTATATATACCTAGGTACCTATATACTTACATACAGACGAATAGGTCAACTGAGTTTAACGTAGCTTAATGTTGCTGGTATTCTTGCTTTTCTGCTTAGGTATACATTACACTGAACGGACGAACGAACGAATGAATGAATGCATGATAGATGTAGGTAGGTAGGTAGGTACATACCTAGGTATAGTAGTTATATGTAGAAGATACAAATAGAAGTAGATGTAAAAGTAGAATAATATACCAGCAGGAGCAGCATCAACATGAGTACCTAACCTACCTACCTAGGTTACATAAACACACGCGCGCATACACACAAATACAATAATTAACAAAATAAAATAAATCCTACCTGGTCGACATCACTAAACCTACACCAGCCAACCAGCCAACAAACGTAAACACCGCAAAACGCAGAAACCCAATCGATCCCGATCCGGCGCAACGGCATCCCGTACGGACGTATTCTCGGAGCAACCAAACAGCCGGCTACTACCTCATCACAAAAGTGACCGCGGGCCCGTCGCATCGACAGCTACCACGGTGTAGATCGCTACCAGGCAAACATGTACGTAGCGTCTCTACCAAAGAAACATCACCGCTCCTCCGTGGGGGGAAATGAATGAATGGATGGATGAATAAATACCTACCAACGCCACTCGGTCGCTCATCACATCATATCACACCAAATCATCACACAAGCTTCAGATCACATCTTAGTCATTATCTTTTCCATTGCCCCTATTCCTCTTGTTCTCACTATACTCTCTCAGCTTATCTAACCCACCAAGATCAATCACCTAGGCAGGCCAGCTTGACGAGTCTGAGACACAGTTTCGCCCTCGCACATAACGGTACGAGGTAATAACGATCCCGATTCTCGGTCCCGTTCGTCCTCGGCTGCTTTTGCTCATGCTCGACAGTTCCACGTATTAAGTTAGCCACCGCAAATACCAATTGAGAATTTCAATTATACCCATCGCCGTAACGTCGTGTGCTCTTGCATCCATATCTTTTTTAGAGTCCAATGCTGACCTCATCCACATCGTCTCTCCTTTGCCGTAGACACTTTTCCCGTGTTTTATTTTGTATATATGCCCCCTAATGGGCCAAGTAGGCGCTCTATATGGTCGCGAAGAACCCGTATAGAACAAGGGTCGCATCATGTGAGTGAGGGTTCCGACTTCTCGTCAGTTCCAGTCGGGCATAACTCGACCAGAATAAAGACGACTAACTCCCGCCCTCCAATTCCCCCGACCCCAAATCTCGCCGGAATATCGGGCAAAATTATGACGGTCATCTATCATGACATGCGGACCAGAACGCCATCCTACTTGGGAAACGGAATCGAAAAAAAATGCTGAGAAGAGAGGTGCCCGAAGCCGGAGGGCGGAACAACTAACTTATTACGAAATAATAGAGGTTGAAAAGGTGCCAGATTATACACAGGAAGAAGTGCCGAAAAAATCGAAGTGGGCAGTCGAGAAGAGCGCAAAATGACGCTATAATCAACTACATGATAATAGATGGGTAGTCGACGTTGGCCTTGATGCTCTTGTGCGGGAGGACGCTTCCACCGTTGACGTAGATCTCGTCGCCGATGCTCACGTCGTCGCCGAGGACAGTGACGTTCTCGAGACGAGCCCACTTTCCGACGACGCTGTTCCAGCCGACGATGGTGCTCTTGATCCATGCGTGGTCCTTAACCCTGGATCCCGGGAGGAGCGTACATCGCTGTAGACGCACACCGTCACCAATGACAACATTCTTGCCAATGACAACATTGGGTCCAATGCGGCAGTTCTTGCCAATCTTGGCAGACTCGTCGATCATGACATTGCCACCATGGACGTAGCTCTCGGAAGGAGAAACTAGTAGATGGGGCTGCTTCTTTGCGAGCGATGAAAGGTATAGGCAGGTACCCGTTAAGAAGTCCTTCGGTTGACCGACGTCCATCCAGAAGCCCTCGAGGTCGAAGGAGTGTAATTGTCCATCGCGAACGATAGCGGGGAAAGTTTCTTGCTCGATGGAGGTAGGTCGGTTCTTTTCAATGCGTTGGAGCACCGAAGTGTTCAGCATGTACATACCGGCATTGATACGGTTGCCGACGAATTCGATGGGCTTCTCGACGAAACGGTCGATTCGCGTAGGGTGGTTGGGCTTGTGAACGATGACACCATATTTAGAGGGCTCTTCAACCTTCGTAACAACAATAGTGCCTTCGTTACCGTGTGACTTGTGGAATTCGGCGAGCGCCTTGAAGGGGAAGTCGCAGGTAATATCCGAGTTTAAGACAAAGAAGGGAGAATCGTCCTTAGCTAGAATCTCCTCTGCAAGCTTAAGCGGACCAGCGGTACCGAGGGGTTCGTTCTCGAGGGAGAAGTGGATCTTGACACCGAGAGAGGCTTCGTACTACGAGAACCGTAATATTAGCCAATGTGAAAGAAGAAAGACTACATATTATAACTTAGGTTAGGTACTAACCTCCTTCAAGACTCTCTCCATAATCTCAGGGCGGTAGTTGACAGCGAGTACAACATCAGTGACACCCACAGCAGCCAATGCCTCAATCTGGTGTAGAATCATGGGCTTGTTGGCAAACTCTACCAGAGGTTTGGGCATGGTAAGAGTCTAAAGGACTATCCGTTAGCTTTTTGGTCCGAGTTTGAGAGATTATGCATTTTTCGATTTGACAATGCATTATAACAAATTGACCAACGTACCAAGGGCCGTAGACGTGTGCCGAAGCCACCGACGAGAATGAGGGCTATTAAATAATCTATTAGCAATGTCCGTCTCCCAAGCGTTATATGGTTTTTATTTCCCCTCAATAGCACTTACCCTTCATGATGGCGATGCAGGTGAGTAGAATTAGACGTTAATTGTCGCGAAGCGAATGTAGACCACTAAGATGTTCTCGCGCTGAGTGCTCTTGCAATTTAAGTAGCGAACAACGACAGTGCAATTGCGAAATTAGAGACCCGGGACAGTGAGTCGGTGTAGTAATGAATACCGGCGCGGGATAGGCCGAAGTTGGAAATATAAGTGAATATAAAAAGGACGGTGATGCTCTCGAAGAGTCGATGTAGTGAATAATAGCTGGTGGTGCTAAAAAAGAGGACGACTTAAGGACACTCGTGTCTCTTTGCTCGCTTGGAGGGTGTCAAGGTGGTCAAGATGGTCAAGGTGTTCAAAGTGGTGGTCGAACGAGAGATTGATGTTCAATTGTGTTCAGTTCACGGAATGCCCCCTTTATTTCTTCTTTTAGGCCAGTCAAGTCGTCGCGCCAGTAAATGCTCGAAATTAGCGTGCCCCCCCTCCCTGGACTAGGTAGGCTAGCTCCTTCCCAAACCCCTGGACATCTGGCCGAGAGTTGGCACCTGATTTTTTTTTTTTTTTGGGAAAGCCTATTTAACGCCTCTGCACCTGGCCAGCCTGGTCGCTCTTGCTGCTACCTATGCTATGTCCATATGTATGTACCTACGCCAGGTGCACGGCCCTTCAGCCACAAAGCATGGCAGATGCAGCCCTGGGAGGTACCGACCAGATGTACCCTTATTGCCCTGCCCGGGAACCAATCACGGACCGTTCCACCCCACGGATACGAAGCATTAAGATTGATTGAACATTACATCTTCATGCTACTCGATTGTTTTATTTAACTCGAAACTGAGTCAATCTTCCTTTGTAAGGTTCTGTAAGGTTCTGTAAGACTGCGAACTGGAAGCGAGTCTATCCTGGGCGTGGTTAGGAAGGTTAATGCGGTGCGGCAAATTCAAATATCCATTCAGATATTTTATTCAGGATGTCGTTAATGTCGTTAATGTCATTAATGTATTCTCGTATTGGTGTGTTCATGACAGGTGGATATGACGTCGGTTGTAATAAATACGAGTTATCCTCTACCCGGAATCTTCTCGTGTCATTCCACTACCTCAGCGCCATCGATCATTGAAGTATGTATTCTCCTTTTCTCCTCCTCAAGATAACTAGGTACATAAGTGTTGATGAACTTGTTAGGTACTCATCTTACGTGATAAGGAGAGGGTATCTCCCCGACTTCCAACTACGTACATGATCAACAGAGGCATCATGTGCGACACCCAGCACGTCCCCGGGGGCTAGTGTACCTAGCAGGGTGGGTTAGATACCGAAAGGGTTGTTACCCAGCCTTTCTGATGTGCAGATAGAGTGTGCCTGTCTCTCCCGTCCCGGACTGGCAGACGCTGTGTCACGAGCTGCAGGTTTCGTGTGCCTGTCACAAAGAGAAGCAGGGCGACGACGCATGTCCACCCGCACTCCCGTCGAGGGACCAGCACCATCTGGGACATCTGGGACATCTGGGACATCTCGGGGAAAATAAAGTTGGGGACGATGATCCGTGGGGTGTGGGAAGGGGGAGCCGTCGTTCTTTTTTTAGATGACGTTTCGTCCCGAAAAAAACATTCCGGTAGGGCTTCATCTCTAACTTGACCTTGACCTTGACCTATACGTATACATACATATACATACATATACGGGCCAACCTCCCATGTCTCCTTTCTCTACATTCCCTCGTCTCCTCCTCTGCATCATCATCATCATCATCATCATCATCTAGTTAGATGATTCTCTCTCGTTTCCTCGCCTTATATCAGATGTATATCACGGGTATTCGCATCACATCAAGACGTCCGCAAGCAAACAGAAAAAGATTAGATTGTTGCGACCATGAGGTATCTCGTCAGGTCGTTGACGTCGTAAATTCGATTCTTCGTAACTATTCGTAATCATGATCATCATCTATCTAGCCGTGAGATCGTAATTTTATGAACTTCCCGCGCAAAATAGTAATAACAATAAAAAAGCAGAAGAGCCCATCATCATCATCATCACCATGTTCTTGTTCTTCAAGCGCCCGCCCGAGCGATAGTCTCTTCTCTTCTCTTTTTCTCTTTTCCCTCGCGCTTAAATTTCCATCGCGGAATTTTCTACCCAGTTTTCCTTTTCGTTTCATTTCATGCCGTCTCTAGAATTTCGGTCGATTTCTGGCTTTCTCGTCGTCCGATTGAAGAAAATCGAGTAATGCCAGCCAGCGGGGCTTCGGCCCAAAGGGAAAAAAAAAAATATCAACAGGTGCAAGGAGCGAGCAAGGAGTGTCTCGCGTTGCGTAACATGTTTTTTTTGGCCGCCCGCACAGTCCGGGGCATTCAAAAGAAGTCTATCTCGAAATAACCAATGTCCATTGAGCCAGGCCAATAAGGCGATCGGTATTGTACGGTTCCGAAGCCATACGCGGATTAGAAGGACCATGGCTTCCCAACAGCAGGGTTTCGCTAAACAGCAGAGTTGCCTCCGATAGAATCCGTTCTCCTGAACCGGCCTGGTTCTGTAATTCCCACGGGCCCCAAGGAAAAATAGGGGGTCTCATCAAGTCTTTTTTTCTTTTTTCATATAGCATGTAGAAAATGAAGAAAAAAAAGCGTTTCAATGAAACGAGCAAAAAGCCTCTGTTCAGGACGATGACACCATATTTGTCATTATTAGTTGGGTTCATAAGTTCGTTCAGTTCATTCGTCAAGTCGTAATTCGTCGATTTATGCAAACTTTTGTCTCTCTCCTCCTCTCTGTCTCTGTCTCTCTGTCTCTCGATGTCTTTCTCTCTCGTCGGGGGATATGCCGAATGAGGGTATTCCGCGGAATATGCCTGGGGATAAGCTGTGAAGCTTCACCACGTGTATATATATCAATCTTTGACGCCTCTCTGTCCTTGCGTGTAATCCATTGGTCAAAATTAGCCGATGGTCGCGTTTGGCTGAAATCCGTCGGGACGGCAGCCAATTTCCTCCCTCACTCGAAGGATGCGGTCGAGCTGCTGCTCGAGTGGTGTCCTGACCTATGGTGGCTCTCCTTCTGGGTGTGGCCGTGGCTTGAAGAAGCGTGGCGGGACTTCTTGCGTCTGGTAGACTCATTGGCTGGAAGACCCTGGACGATCCCGTTACGCGCGAGCATGCCTCCATTGACAGAAAAGTTCCGACACACCATGAAGGCCCTCATGGCGGCATTCTCCTGAGCCAGGTGATCCGATTCGTATGCCAGGTCCGTCTGGTACTCGCGCCCATTTACCAGGACTAGGCACGTGTAGCCACTGGGATCTCTGTAACACTCGTACGAAGGGTCTCGCCACCCACGACGCCGGCACAAGCCTATCGGATGCTAAGTTAGCTGCTGATCCTGGAACTCCCCTTGCCCTGCTCCCCTATTCGATGCCAACAAATGCAAATAAACGCCCGGGAAGCACGGGCAGCGTATATGCAGCCCTAATGACGCGACGGAGATCGAGCATGACATATGCATGACAGCCGGATCGCGAACACCTCAGATTAGACGTGGAGGTACATCCGTCCATGTCAGGAACGTGGCGTTTAACAACACACGGAGAAGTGCTAGCTAGCTATGGTATTTTGGGAAATTCTTCGATGTTCTCGTGCGGCGTCGAAGCTTCGACGCAGGGGGTTTGTCCACGTGTGTGAGACGAACACATCGCTGTTCCAGCCCCACCGCGCGCATCATCGTGGGGTTGGTTCATTGGGTTCATTGGGTTCATTGGAGACGGCAAGTCGCCGAGGCGTACGTGCTCTTTTTTTGTTGAAAGTAGGCAATGACTTACTCTCGAGATACTGCATGTAGAATCCTCCCATATTGTTTTTGCTGACAGCACCGATAGCAACTTAATGCTTAACAGCCCAGAAACTCGTGTAAGAAAAAATATCCAGCAGGGTGGTATTCTCTCTCAAAGCATAGAAACACCCCCACCAAGAAAGTCGGGACGGGTGTATGTACGGATAGGATTTCCGGGGAGGAGAGAGCAAAAAACCCAGCGTGTTGCTTACGAACGCGGGATGGGATTCCGGGGCGCGTTTTGAGTATGCAGTCAAGCCCAACTGTACGAGGGAATTTTATTATTAGGAGGGATCAATGGGGAAGCGGTAGGGCAGCACTGAGAAAAAAAAGTTTCGTCGACGAGGTCTGTACTACTCGAAGGAGGTGTGGTTGTGGTGGTGTTGAAGAAGGGGGATGTTAGGCTACGTATTCGGGGCTGCGGTGCAGAGAGACGAGCCATCGACGGCGAGACATGTGTGCTTTATTGCAGAATTGAACTTCGTTAGTGCGGGGCAGGGATCTAGTAAAGACGCAATTAAACAGAACAAGGCCGAAGGGGTCGAAGAGGTTGAAGGGGGCAATGGGGGAACAATGGGGACCATAGAGGGACCATAGAGGGACCATAGAGGGACCAGAGAGGAACCAGAGAGGGACAATGGGGACGGAAAGGAACCAGGTCGATACATAGACGCAGGTGAAGATGCGGCTCTTGAAAGTGTGACCCCATCTTGCTGTGCTGGCGCGTGTCGTTGCCAGTTGATAAAGCTTCGAGAGACTAGGCAACTCCACCGCAACACATGGGGTATGCATTCCCTTAGACGATCATCTCTGATAAGTCTGGCCGTGCTGGCCGTGCTCCTTTTGGCAGAATGTGGTACCGCTGTCTCCGTCCGAGTTCTCCTCCATTCTCCTCCATAACCCTGTCCGACAATGGGGCCTAGCTGGGTAAAAAGAGGAAAAAGATAATGTATGCAGAGGTAAGCATATTTTGGAGTGGCGAAATGAAACTGGAACCAGTTCTGCGGCCAATACACGGCCTCGGCCGAACAGAATAGGAAAATAAAAACGAAATAAAAATAAAATAAAATATAACGCTAGCTAATAAATATAAAGAATAATAAGGAATAAAGAATAAAGAAATAATAAGAGATGTCACCCACTAGGGAAAAGCCAGAGACCGGTCTACCATTCACGTCTTCTCCCTTTCGATACTTAACCCGGAGCACCATAAAGAAGGGATGTGTCTGGATTGTTGTCTAGAGGGGGAAGGTCAAAAAAACAAAAAAAAACAAAAAAAGGAGAGGCCCTCGACGTGAGAGTAAAGAAAGTGAGAACGAGAGAGATACTGAGCTCCCAAGATTCCCCTTCCTCTTCGGCCACTAATGCAGCAGCAACTCAATCAAAACATCGAAAGGTCGGTACGGTATGGAAAAAAGGCGGTTTTTTAGACGACCAGAAAAGGGTCAATAATGATACCTCCCCACGTACGTGCATACTGCTTTGCTGCTACGACGACGATGCCTGTCTCTTTCTCTCTGCTTTTGATATGTACGCGCACCTGTACGGTATGGTATAACATGCTGCAAGTATGTAGGTATCATGTATGTACGTATGTACGTATGTACGTATGTAGTAGTTATGTAGGTATATATGTATGTCTGTAGGTATATGTATATGTGTATGTATATGTATAGTATAGATCCATGTACATGACAAGGACTTGGAGATCGAACCTGAGAGATGAGAAAGAGGGGGTCCCCTAAACCTAAACCAAAAAGACACCCTAACGGTGAGAGAAGATGGAGCCCCGGATCTGAGACTGAGAGGGAAAAAGGGAAAAGAGAAAAATAGAAACGTAACCACCCGCAAGCCAACCAACCTGCTGGATCAGACCAAGCCGACGGCACGTACATGGGTTTACATGGGTTTACATGGGCTTACATGGTTTACATGGTTTACATGGCTTACATGGCACCAAGAGGTGGGTTGAGGAGATGGGCGATTCGCACCGGTGCCAAAAGTAGAAAATAAGTAGAACAACGTAAGCACAAAATCTATTGGACGAATCAGAAAGGTTAATAGTAATAGTCAAAAGTAAACAACTACAGCTAGAATATAGGTTTAAAAAAAAAATTAAAAAAAGGCTGGTGCTTATTTGACAATTGTTGGACGCGAGCGAAATACTAACGGCGTTTGACGAACTTGTGCCGACGACCAATGATTTGTTTTAACTAGCTAATTTAATAAAAAAAATAAAAAATAAAAAAAGCTTAGCTTATATCATTAGTTAGTTAGGTTAGTTAGCTATCTTTTTTCTTCTTCTCTTTGTCTGACTACCTAGGTACTTACCTACCTAGGTACCTACTTATGTATTTTTGTCTGTTAGGGTTCTCCTCATCCTTATCCCCCTCTCCCCGCCGAAGTGCAGAAAAAAAAGAGACCGAAAAAAACAACAACAATAACAATAACATAAAACCAAATAAATTCGACAAGTTGACTGGCTCAAAGGCCGGGAACCATGAAGTCGGTGAAGGAAGAATGAGATGCATGAACACAACTAGGCTAGCCTCCCTAGGCAACCCCGGTCATCTTTTATTTTATTTTTCTTCTCTTCTTTTCTTCCTCGCGAACCTGGTCTCTGCCCTAAAAAAACCCAATTGGCGCGAGGAACCACTTAGAGCCTTTTGGGGGGTGTCGGGCCAATGAGCAGCGGCCAAGGTCCGGGGGCAGCAAAGGCGACTAGGCGAAGAACAGACGTTTAACACCTCATGCAATGATGAGTTGGCATTGCCGCTTGATATTAAATCAAGATAGACGTTATTTTGTGCATGTTAGATTGGGTACGGGTACCTAGTTAGCCCATCCATAACCTCCATGGCCTACCCTATACCTAGGAGAATACTTGAGAATACTTGGGAATAAAGGCGACCTGAGGTCTACTGAAGTAGTAGTACCGATCAACAACCTGGCCCGACAATTACTGGCCTGACCACCCTGTTGCATCTGGTTGCATACAATACCTACCTACTTTAGGTACATATGAGGAAATTCGATGCCGCTCATCATGACGATTTTCGTAGCCTGGACGGCTTTGGATGGACGAAGGAACCGTCGTGATTGCTACAATGCATAACAATAAGTTACATACATACGATAGGTACACACGATACACACGATACACACGATACATACAACCTACAACCTACAACCTACAACCTGCCCTCGACCATGACCATGACCATGGCCCTCGACCGCAACAACAGCCATAAACACATAACAGCCCAGACGTAGACCGAGAATTACGGCCGCATGTAACTTTCGGACTTTAATACAGCGGCCGCCGACTAGCCCTATTCTTTGTTTATTTTTATTTTTATTCCTAATCCCTATTCCTATTCCTACCATGTATTCTTCTGCATTTCTTCGTAACGTTAAAGCCGCCCAGACCAGCCTTGGAATCCACATGGGCGATACGCCAGACGCAGTACGAAGTACCGGGATGCAATATTTACATTTTACCTACCTACCTACCTTCCTTCTTCGTTTGGCATATACATACAATATCTAAAATTACACGATATATATGTCCATGTCTATGTATATGCGTGCGTATGTATGTACATATGTATGTATGTAGGGTAATGTTACCGACGGCGTTAAAAGCTCCCACGCCGCGGCGCGACGTGAGGGAAGCAAGCGCTCGAGACAGCATTGTTATCAACACACAAACCCAAGCGGCAGAAAGGTATAAGCCAACGAGCGAAAAGGAGGTTTAAAAAAAGGCAAAATGGAAAAATATCATATCCAATGTAGCTTATTAGATAGAAGGTAGTTAAGTACCTAGCCTATCCTACGATACAGGTAGCCAATATCCTGTAAGACGGCTTAAGACGGGCATTACATTATGTACGTACGTACGTAGCCTCTGCGTAACTCTAGCTCGATATACAATGTATGACACTCTACATATTGTCAGCGCGCTGTTCTGGAATACGCACACAACGTCATCCCTCTCGATAGAGAACAGCTGAAAGGCGTCGCGACGGTGTGTAGGTTTCGCCGACTACGCTTGGGATGCTAGGTAGTGGAAGAGGGCATCCAGTCATCCTGATCATCGTACAGTTGACTATTACGCGCAGACCAACGAGAGAGAAACATATATAATATCTTCATGCAATATACATAACGCCATGTTACTTCGAGGTAAGAAAAACTAATGCCGTTAAGGATGTCGCCAGCCAGCCCTCCGCTCCCACGCGCACGGTTAGGGAGCGCTCACGATCCCACCTAATCTGTGAGACCCGTATGGCTGCCAGAGACATACATACGTAGCCTTAAGGTCATTCTGTCAGGAATGCAACGTGTTTGCGAGATCCGAGACCTCGGCGGCCAGCCTATCCGTCCTGGTCACTACGGCTATCACGCCCGAACTGCTAAGAGAGAGGTCCGGCAAAGGGAGCCGTGGGATCGTCGCTGTCTCCTATTGAGCCTTTCGGCAAGACTCATTCGAGTGATGCCTCAAAGTAGGATCCCGGGGGTTCAATTCATGCTTATCATACGGCGGAGCGAGTCGTTCATCCGGGGAAAGGCCCACAAGCGAAGGAAATTTCGTGCAGCAGGCCTTGTTTACCATAAACGCGCCGAGGCGCAGCCTAAAGCTTGAGGGATTGGCCACATACGTAGGGCCTGCTTGTTGTTGGGGGGTACATTTCTTTTCCAACTCACTCCCCAAATCTTTCTACCACGTACTCTATATTACGCTCCTCTTGAGTCGAATTAGGGGTAAGCGATAACAAAGTATGGTCAGGAGATGACATACAATTGCTGTAGAGAAGAATTGGGAATTTAACCCTAGACTGTAACCCTTATATCATGGTATCTATGAATACGATCATATGGGCTAGTTCGATGACTCCCGATCATCATGTCAATAAGTCTTTTCCATGTGTCTGTGGACTCGTAGCACAGCATCTTACTACGTCGCGTAGAGCATATGCGACTAGTGGAGACGAGGCCAAATGCTACCTCCCTACCCTTAGCTCGGTAGAGATCGTTCTACCGTCCGAAGTCATGGCCACCCAGGGAGACCGTAATGGAGACTGTACACGTCAGGGACTTAATATGGCCGTAGGAATACAGGGTAGCATGGGTGTAGGTGTAGGGACGGGATGCGAAACAACCGCACCATGTGGTCAACACATCGGTTCTGTTGAGTCGATCAGCACGTACAAAGCTGATGCAAATTCTCATAACGCCTCTCGACCGCTACATCGCGTTTTCTATAGGCTTGAGCGTTATGGACGCCCTCGTACGATTCAATAGTCTCCTTACTTTGGCTAGAGCTGCCGTCTGCCGTCTGCCGTCGACGTTCCGATTTGGACTACATTAGATATAAGCCAGTGGCGTTTTCCGGAGTCTAGCAAGTCGGGTCGAATCCAGTATCTAGGAGAGCTTGCCACAATATTACCAGCTCTGGCTCATCTGCGCTCGAACTTGCTGAATAAGGTACGGGTTATCGTGTTGGGCTGCATGACCGCATATGGTGGAGATGGTAGATTAACGAATGCACAAGAATCCCTCTAGATGGTTCTGTCTCACTTTAATCGGGCGAACGTGCTTGGTGAACCTTCTCTTGTATTACCTCTAGAGGACTAACTGTTGATTGTGAAGTGCATGATACTTCCTGTAGAAAAACGTGAAAAGGGTATAGTTGGAGTTTGCGGGCCCTTCTTGTACATTGAGCGAGCCAATCTTCGTTGCCGAGGTTCTTGATGCACCGTCTTGATGTGTAACTGCGGAGGCACGCCATCCAGTAAGGAAAGGAGCGCAGCTATTATCCATTACTTGACTTCTTTCGCCCTCGGAATGCCCCTAAGTAGGCGAGTACTTAAGGTACGCGAGGTAGCCCACCTCGACCCAGGGGGTAACTATATGGCTTATGCTAAGCTATACTATATAGCTCGGCACGTGAGAGAGAGGCTATAATGTTGACACTCAATAATCATGGGCGGAAGGTCCAAGATTCGCAGGATGCGAGGGAAATTCTCAGCCTTCCTCGATTGGTCCGGCGTAGTGTCGGATATGGCCTCTTCATATGCGGCCACAAGCGGGTCAAAATCCCGGCTTCGATAGGAAATATGACATGATTTCTTTCCGTTTCCCCTCAGGTATGAAATACACAGGGTCAGTAGTGTTGAGTCGATCTTCCTCAGCATAAATCTGAGGGCTTCCGCGGAGCGGCGAGACGTCATATTCCGAATGCGTCATCATCCCTTCACCCTCCGAGGCAAGTAAACGAGTAATGTGTTGAGCTGAAGAAAGTCCGCTGAGTACGTAGCAAGTATGATACGCATCAGAAATTCTTTTTGTGGTATTTAGCCCGTGTCTAGATTACGGTTGGCATCTATGTACTTACTTGCTTGGCTTGTCTCTCATGCCACCCCTTTTTGATTGATCTTGCGCGCAGCAGAGGATATACCGGATAAGACCTTCGCGACTATAAATGTTGTGAATATCAATATCGGGGCTTTTATTTTTGTTTATGTCAAACACTAGACTAGACGGGCCGGCAAGGCTGGCCTCGACCAATGGCCAGCAACAGCCTACCCAATGGCTGTAGCAGCCATCGACGAGCTTGTTCGTACGGCCGCTATACCCGCCTTCCGGTGCATACTGCCGTGATGACAACCATGAAATAAGCCGTGGGACATCAAGATATCTGCACTCAGAGGTTAGTACGAGAACAACATATAAATTATCAAGATCAGCAGAGCTTCTGAAGATCAGGCAATACAAACTTGGGAAAGGTACAATGCGGAGCACCAAGGATCGCGAGGCAACCCAAAGCGCAGAAGGCATAAGCTCCATGGGCTTCACCATCTGGCTGTGCAGAAATTCCACCCTCAAATGTTTGGCCTGCAGGATTAGTTTGCATAGTTCTAACAGATAGCTACTTCGCCTGGGTCCTCTTACATCGCCGTACATAATCTCCTAGGCCTGCGAACAAGTTT